CGAAATTGGACTGGGGATATCCTCATTTGGGGTTCGAACACTTCGATTTCTCTGCCCAAATGACGATGTGAGATAATAGAGACAATGGAAAGAGTTTAAACTAGAAGATGACCAGTGCATTAAAAACATTTAAAGTCGAAGGAAATTTTTCAAGCCTCACAAATATCGAATCGAATATCAGCAAGTTGTAGCAGATCACAAGGGGTGCAGAGTTTTTCATTCAGATAATATGTTTATTTGACAACTATAAGTTTGATTACAATGAGAAGCAACTTTTATTTCTAATGACAGGTAACAGGTTCAAAATTAGTTGTGCAAATACTAGTACCTCCCAAAACTTCCAGAAACTACAACTCCTCCCTTCAGTACATTCCAATATCCTCGAATCACATGAAATCTTCACCATAGAAACTCGTTACAACACCAAAACATTCGATCGTAATACGTTTGCAATCAACTGCCTAATGGCTCAGTTGATGCAGTTGCATACTTGTCCTCCAGCATTGATGCTATACTATGAAAAACAGAGCTCTCCAAAGTTTTGAACATCAATGGTAGTGCCGGAAGTAAATCGAGGTCAGAAACAGGTGATGTAATCGTGGGTCCCGGTAGATTTGTACCTGCTACAGGAATAGGAACAAGAGTTGAAGCTACCTGTTCAAACTTTGCCCCAAATACAGCTGCTACATCTGCCAATGCGTTCTGGCCGGTGGTGAAGGGTTTAGAGGTTTGACTTGCTTCAGATTGTGGTGTAGTTTGCCTAGTCTGAACAGTAGTTGGCGGGAAAAGAGGCAATGGGGACGCGGAGGCTGCTGTGACTGGTGTCGTGGGAGTAAAATCCACCTGACTGATCGTCGTTAATTGAGTTCTTTCGCTTGAAGATAAAAGCTGGGAAGTGGATTGAGTCTGCAAGGCGGATATTGGTACAGTGGGTGTCGCGGCAGAAGTTTGTATATCTGGTGTGGGAATGAGAGCTTCATGTATCGTCGTAATTCCAGACGATACAAAAGCACCATCAGAACCATTCCTAAGGGCCGGGCTCCCAATGTCGGTGCCAAGCGACAGAGTCATGGCTGTTGATTGAGCTATGGAATTTCTTACTGGTGTTCCAACTACAGTGGTTCCCATTTCATGGACAAGTGAATGTGAAGAATCATTCCAGCCCTGTACAACAGGGAACACCACTGAAGCGCTAAGACCTGGACTTCCCAAATTAGGAACAGGTGGAGTGGAAATCTTCTCTATTTGTGGTCCAGGGATAGGGAATCCTGCCGGAGGAGATAAGATTTGTAAGGACGATAGAGGAGACGGCGGTGCTAAAGGTGATGACTTTACAGCTTGTGGCGTCGTAGCACTAGGTACCGGATTTGAGGCCGATAACTTCAAAGAATTTATCGACAAATTTGATAAGACTGGACCGGGACGTGCAAAAGAAGAACTTTTGCCACATTCTTGAGGAGATAAACCATAATTGTCGCGCTTTATAGTGTCAGCAGCCTAGCACTGCGTCAGCAAAGAACAACACAGTTCATGGGAAGCATAATACCTTTTCCGCTATAGCATAAACAGGTGCTTGTAGATGAGAGGCAGGAAGCATTGGTATGATGCCAGCATCAACAATTCTAAGATTTTTGGTTCCGTAAACACGAAGGTCTGGATCAACAACGCCACCCATTTCGCGTGGCATCATCGAAGTTGAGCCAGAGCCGTGAAACTCTGTTCGTAAGCCAGATTTAATTGCAGGTACTAAGGTCTCTGGTGTAGCATTTGGGAGGAATGGGTAGTAAGGTCTTGGCTGCAACAACTTCATAGAATTGGTATTCACAATCTTGTTGTTGAACATAAGGGCGTCCGTCAATATTTGAAGATCAAGTGGATTTGAGCAGTAGCGTGGGTTAATATCTGGTGGCACATATGGATTATCCGTCGTAATATGAATACTCCCTCTGGAGAGAGGATGCATTGCAGCAACAGACATAAGCCCCACGTTATCATTGAGAAGCTCATAGGCACTTACATCAGAACGGTTGAGAAGCTGGACAATCAGGTCTTTTTGTGCAGCATACCCTGATAAAACAGTTGCATCTAGGCCTGGTACCAAGTAGTCTGTTACCCCCTGGTTCTCTGCATTAGCTATTATGTTGACCCAATTTGAAGTAATCTGCGATAATGATGGGAATGCGACTGTATTAATTGCTCCAGCAGTCCAGGGCCCTGCATTCGTTAGTATTAATATCAGAATTCGGGTAATAACCCTACCAGTTTTGTTGACGTAATATTCCTGCTCTGCTTGTGTGAGAAGTTGTGGATTGTTATCTATCTGTACAATGGTTGGGTAACTAGAGTTTGCGTCTAGTACTGTTAGAAATGCTAGCAAGAAATGAAAGTGTACTTGCAATAGTAGACGGCACCAACGTAGGGATGATCTTGGAAGTTCTCTCCTACTCCTGGCAAATCGATGTGTACTGGCAAGCCGAGCTGCTCCAGGATATATGGCTGGCCAATGCCAGAGAGCTCAAGTATTTGAGGCGTGTGAATACTTCCTGCTGCAAGTATGACTTCCCGTGAACATGAAATTTCGCGTACAACAGTACTCAGAGAAGGTGCAATCTAATAGATATCAATGGATATTTTCAGGCTACCACAATGCACATGGTTCACTTACTTGAATACCAGATATCCATTGGCCAGCTGGAAGGTCTCGTGCAAGTACTTCTAAGGGGATGGAGCCCATCAAAACTCGAATGACAACTAGGCCTGTGGCAAGGTGTAGATTTGGGCGGTTTATGAAACCATTATAATACCCTCGTCTTGCATCAGAACGTGTTTGGCTATCTGGCGAAAGGTTATTTGGAATCAGCATTCCGCCAGCAGTTGTGCCATTATTTGGGTCGAGCAAAGTAGGAATTCCAAGCTCTCGTAGTCCATCTAGAAACAGTTCTGAGAATTTGTTAGATTCTTGTACTTTATAGAGACAGGGAAGATTGGGCAACTGACTAGATTGAGGATAGAAGTATTTCGGGTACGAGACATCAATATATCCAGTCGTACCGTGCGTCGAAGCATCTGGGTACACATAGAGTTCATGAGCAAAAGCAGCATCGACATCGTTGGTGTAGTTCTCAGTCTGGCTCACATGCGGTTAGCTTGTGATCAAAAGGAAGTGGATGTGTTCTTACTCTTTTGAAATAAGGTAAGAGATCGTTCCATCCCCAACCAGGATTTCCAAGAGCCACCCATGCATCATAATCTGCACTTTCACCTCTGGTCCAGCACATGCCATTGATGAGACTACCACCGCCAACGCCCTTACCTAAATCCACTGGCCGGGAAGAGCCATCAAGAGACATTTGAGGGGCAGTCCAAAGGTTCCAGTCATAACTTGAGCCCAGACCCTCTCCATCGTCAAAAGGATACTTGATGAAGTCTTCGTCATTGTCCCTTGATCTGTGTTAGCAATGCAAGCAGCATTGGTGTACAATTCTTACAGGTTACCAGCTTCAATAACCAATACCGTTACCTCGGGATCCTCAGACAATCTATTAGCAAGGACAAGTCCAGAAATACCACCTCCAGCAATGATATAATCGTAGCATGGCAGAAAGTCCGCATTGAGATCACGATGTCCGAGGCGTAGTGACGATGTCAATCCACAGAGCTGGGACGTTAGGAATATGGAGGAAAGGATGTAGAATCCCATTTTGAGAAATCAAAAAGTCACACAATACTACAGATGTGTACCCGGCCAAGAAATCAAAAAGCAGAAGCAAATGGAAGCAAGCAAAATGGGAGCAAGTTGTGATCAAAACCTCCGTTGAGCAAAATGGAGTGTGTTTATTTGAGGAAAAGAAGAAGAGAAGGTCAACAATCCAAGATGATATGGATATTAGATGTGTTTACTCGCGCTTTCTTTCTTTGCTGAATTACAGCAATCGTGACCATAGAGATGTATTGAGAGGAAGGAACGATTGCTCATAAAAGCATTGGATTTTGGGATCTGCTCCGATGCTCAGTGAAATCGATTATCTCAAATCAATCGGAACTGTAAAGAGAAATCCAATTCTACCGCCAGTTCAATAAAGCAATAAACTAGAAACAGGCGAACTATTTCCAGACCTAGCCAGTATTTCAGTGAACTAAAGACCAATTACTGCAGACTCTAGTTGGATATCTGCTACCGGTGAGGGCCTCCACGCCCCATTTAGTTGTCAGAGTATGCTCCAAGTAAACTGCCGGTGGGGTTTCTCAGGGTTGTATACTAGTATCGGGGGCGCAAGGCGAGAGTATTCAAAATAAACGTCAGAGTAGAATTACCCATTCGGCAGGAGAAAGGAATTCTTTTCTTCATCCCAAGATTCAAAATATCAGGTTTTAAACATCAAGTAGAGTAGCCATCGTATTGTGTGCGAGAATGTCTATTCACCACCCACTACATTTGGAATTATCTGTGACATGGATAACCATAAATTCTTTTGTCATCAGTCAATTGTCAGGCATCTGCGAACCAACCTGTGGCTGTCATCGGCCATTGTTAAAGATTTGAAGCCTTTGAAATAGTACTCCAAAGTCTCCGGAGATTGTCAATCCCCTTCGTCTTTCTGCTAGCTCTGCACACTCAAAACTTAGTTTCATCACGTCTCTGATTTCTTCAAACCCGTCTTAATATTGCCAAGTGATCGGCTGCCTTTTCTTCATCATACAAAGCTTTGTCCTCTTCAAGACACCCGCGATGCAACTTTTGATCCCCAGCGCACGCTTCGGGATGCTACTTAGTCGCACCTTGAAGTCCGGAAACAAATATGACCAAGTCATCTGAGAAAGACTGAAATCAAAGAGTCCAACCCAGAATGATATGCAATAAGTTGATGGGTTCCATGATGGTATAGTATACCTAGTAATTCATGCAAATAAATAGAATGGATTATGAGCGCGGCACTCATGCTTCAGAGGCTTGCGATCGTGTAATATCTTTGTAAACTCTGTTATTTCAGTTCCTCATACTAGGATCTTTTTGAACTTGTTGCCAAAAACAAAACACAAACTGCTATTATCGAGACTGCAACAGTCGAAAGTACCTACATATTTTTAAAAATTAGCTTTTCCATGGGATTTCATCGTCCATTTTGAAGACCAATAGAGCATTACGCATCCTTGTGTACCGGCGCCTCAACAATTGAAATCTTTTCCTTCACTTCTGCGCAGAAGTACTTGATATTTCTCTCTTGGTAGACAAGCCCCAGTTGCAATCAAAATTCAGAAAGCGAATTTCTCCCAAAATACCAACCCCATAGAAAGTAAAAGATGAGAAAATGCACCACTCACCCCTTGAGTCTTCCACCCACTCTGCACAATAGCCACTCTCCGACTATATTTATTAACCGTCTTCATATAGTTCCCAAATCCTAAGGCCAAGCAAAGAAGAGACAGTACCCAGAAGATTATGCCGAGAGGTTGTGCCATGCGCAGTTCGAGCTGGGTAGGGGTAGATTTCAAGTGAAAAGAAAGGACTATGGCGAGGGACACGATAGTCATGTAAATGGAAAGGCGGAGGTAGGAGAGAAACGTTCTCTCATTAGCACAGTGGTCGCGACAGTCGGAGTCCACATTATCGAAAAGGAGAGGACCGAAAAGAGGTGGTGTACAGAAAACGGATTCGCCATGGTAGCTAGAAAAATCCATCAGTTCTCTTCGACGAAATCTGAAGGAGTTGCTAAATAGGAGTATGAGATAGATGTCATTTAAGACGCTGGGTTCACGGAAAGAAACAACGAAACATACTTGGCGACATCAACAGGCGCTGGACGACGAGGGAAATAAATTGGGGAGTATATTTCCCGCTGAGAGCTTTGACATTCTTCCTCTTGGCTGCGAGACATTGCAGGAATATCTTGATTCTGTAGAACAAGAGAGTGAAAGCTGGGTATCAAGTGAGTGCTATTACTAGGTTAGCTCGTGGTAGGTATTTTCTCCTTTGTTGAAGTACTAGGTACTCCGTACCTTTTGTCACTGATTAGAGTTTAAGCTTCACCGAAACGATACCCCGGACTTTATTCCTCGTGCAGCGAAAAGGCGGGTCACAGAATGATCAGATACAGGACTCGGTCTATCATTAATCCGTTCCGATTGTTCGGATATCTAGATGCACCCTTTATGCTTTTGGTGGCTGGCTATTTCCATTTTCTTGACAAATCATCTTATTTCATCGCATGTCGTATATCATCCACTTTTGCTATCTTCTCACTATATCTTATCGGAATCGGTGTTCGGAAATCGTTGTAGCTCAAGAGGTCGTTTCCGATACTCTGACTCTAAAGGAAATACCTGCCTATCAGGGCCTAGCGAGCAACAGTCACAGTCATTGAAACTGGCTATTGGATGAGGAAGCTTTTTTGCATACAAACACAGTGGACTGGATGGATGTAAGGGTAAGACATTACCTATGGTGGGGGTGGTCGCCGTTCCAGCGCAACCATTGTCAGCATACTCGCATACTAGGGACCAGTATGGAAGAGGATGAAAACGGACCCACGAGCTTTGAATGGTAATCGCGTCCATTTGTTACTCCGTAAAGACTAAAAAAGTGCGAAAGAGCCTAGCACTTGACTGGGTTGGCATGGACGGTGAGTGATGTCTTATTCGATTCCAATTGACCTCTGCTTGTTTTGTTATATGCTTGACTTTATTTTTTCTTCTTCCTGAATCATTCGTTGTTCGTGAATGCGGGTTATGGTAGGACCGTCATTGCATGCATTGCGTCAATTAATTGCATGATTTTTTTTGTTGTTGAGTGAGAGGAAGAAAGCAATCTCTTGGAACACTCGACATTGATAAGAAATATACCATTGTGCAACGATGTCGTCTTCTTTTCCAGTACCCATCAAATCTAGAGATGAGGGGCATCTACGGGATCCAATCTCCAGATCTCCTTTCAGTACTTCATTCATATCTAGCTCACCCATAGCTCAAGAATCCCTTGCGCGCGATTTAGCAGAATACCCCGCAGATGAGGGAGAAGCAACAGAACACATTGAATGTACCAGCTCTGGAGATGAGTCTTCAGAGGCTTCTACAATTCGACAATCGGAAGCTCAACATTCAATGACGCACTCGTATCGACGGCCGAGTTTTGTGGCATTCGGTGGCACTCGTCCTGCCGTTACACCCCAATTCAAAGAAACAGCGTGGTTGACTCGGAAGGAAAGACACGAAACGAGAAATGAGGAAAGGAGTCTACTGAGGGACAATCATCTAGCTCCTCCAAAGCACCCCGAACCCGCGAAGCGAAGCGCTTTCAACCGATTATACAGGAAATTGTTTAGCACAAAAATATCAAAGCCAATGAGCGATGAAGAGGCTGGGGCACCCTCGGAGACTTCAGCATTGTTGCCAAACGGACAGCATGAGTCTGCGCGTTCACGTCATGAGCGTTTAAACAGACAGTGGGAAGAAGCTGTAGCTGCAGGAAAGATTAAGACGACATGGCAAAGAGAGGCGAAAACATTAGTAAGATATTCGAGTCCCTTAATTGTGACTTTCGTCCTCCAATACTCCCTTACTGTCGCAAGTATATTCACAGTGGGGCATCTTGGGAAAGTAGAATTGGGCGCTGTTAGTCTAGCTAGTATGACTGCGAACATTACTGGATATGCTATCTATCAAGGATTGGCTACAAGTTTGGATACGCTTTGTGCACAAGCATACGGATCTGGCAGAAAAGGTCTAGTTGGATTGCAGTTACAGAGAATGGTATGGTTTCTCTGGGCCTTGACTATACCAATTGGAATAGTATGGTTGAGTGCTGAGAAAATCTTGGAAACCATCGTGCCAGAGAAACGTTCCGCAGAACTGGCAGGATTGTATCTACGAATTCTACTACTTGGGGCTCCCGGATTTGCACTCTTCGAAGGCGCGAAAAGATTTGTACAAGCACAAGGATTGTTTTCTGCCACAACTTATGTTTTACTCATTTGCGCACCTCTTAATGCTTTCATGAATTGGCTATTTGTTTGGCAGTTTGAATGGGGGTTTATTGGAGCTCCAATCGCCGTTGCTGTGACAGACAACCTCTTACCTCTATTACTATTTCTCTACGTTCGATTTGTAGATGGAAAAGAATGTTGGGATGGCTTCACATGGAGAGCATTCCACAACTGGGGTAAGTTTTGAACTGCGCCATTCTTGTCAATCTTTCTTTAACAAAAATCAGGTCCAATGATCAAACTCGCTCTTCCTGGTCTCGTAATGGTATTAGCAGAGTATTTGGCATTTGAAGTTCTAACTCTAGCATCAAGTTATTTCTCCGTAACTCACCTTGCAGCTCAAAGTGTTCTCACTACCATAACCGCTTTGACTTTCCAAATTCCATTCTCAATATCCATTGCAGCTTCAACTCGCGTAGCTAATCTTATTGGCGCCACTCTTTCAGATGCGGCTAAGACCAGCTCGAAAGTGGTATGTATTTTCCCTCCCAATCCGAATTTCTCACATCTCTGTCCCACTACTCTTCAATCAATACGTGCTCACTTGCTACTAGGCTATCTATGGTGCCTGTATAGTTGGTCTATTCAACTTCACACTCATTTCCTCTCTCCGCAACATTGTCCCACGCCTCTTCACCGACGACATTGACGTTATAAACATTGTCGCTAGTGTCCTTCCTCTCTGTGCAGCATTTCAGCTTTTTGATGCGCTAGCAGCAAATTGTAACGGATTACTAAGAGGATTAGGAAGGCAAGAGATAGGTGGATATGTCAATCTTTTCTGTTATTATGTATTGGCTATGCCGATCAGTTTTGGCACCGCATTCGGACTAGGATGGCAACTGGAGGGACTGTGGTTGGGTGTTGCGTTGGCGCTAGGATTGGTAGCCGCAATCGAAGGTTGGTTCTTGATGAGGACTGACTGGGCGCGTGCGGTGGAGGCACGTTCTGTTTCCTATTATGTTTTTTCATATATTTTACTTTATTGGAGAGATTACTAACACGGAAATATCATAGGCAGCACAGGATCGAAACGCAGCAGGATGAATTGATGATTTGAACTTCTATGAACTGAGTGACACAGCGCGGGGGGCAAAAAGTTACGAAATACTGGGTGCTTGTTCTTGTTTATTTTATGTTATCTTTGCGAACATTTAATTCCTATTTTTCGTTTTGCTTTTGTCTTTGCAAAACATTATGATCTTATGTCTGAGCTTCTTGTTTTATATGAGCGAAGACGTCTAGTTATATATACCCCGTTTGTGGTACATGAGCATGTATACATATAATAGATTGGATGGATACTGCAATTAATTTCCTGGATTTTCAAGATTGAATGAGTGTGGTGTTTGGCTCAATGCGTGAGGTATATTTTACCTGTTTCGTATTGGTTGATACTCTGCCTTACTGTTTTTTGGAACTTTAAGTCTCTTAAGGTAGGTAGATATGGAGACAATAAATTACTCTATTGGCTTGAGAAACATATCGCTAGTAATAAGAGCTCAAATCTTGAGGATTACTGATAGTTCTCCCGGAGAATGGTTTTCTGCTTGCGTGTGGGTTATGGGGTAGCTCGAGGTGTTTTGGCAACATTTCATTTTGGGGCTGGGGGTTGAAGGCTGATGTCGTTTTCATTATCATTGTCGTTGTTTTTGTCGTTATCGTTGTCGTCCCTTGAGTGACGAAGATAACTATATGGATTTTTGCGATGCTATGAACGAGTGTTTAGATATCGTTTGAAGTATGGGGGTCATAACGGAAAATTCATAGAGAGATTAATCCAGGATATCTTATCTTTCCCCGTGCAACCCGAGAATCCCCCTCTTTTCAAGCTTGGTGGAAATTTTATTGATACTATGATGCTGAGATGTTTGTGAGCTAGAGCTCTCTTATATATCGTGGCGAGTGAGGACTTTGAGATCCTTAGACGAGGGAAAGTCCCTGAGCGATATGTACTAGTTAGTTAGTCTTACCTTTGTTGGACAGTGATCAACAAATGAGGTGTAGTTTTTCTTCAGTATAAAAACTCTATGCTTAATCAAAACCAAAGGGCATGGAATGGGAAAACAGAAAATTCGCACTGCGGTGCAGGTGGTAAGGAGAGGAGAAGAGCGCTCTTGTCGTTTGTAAGAGGTAGTTTTTGATATGCGAATAAAGAGTGAAATTGGCAGAAAAAGTTCTTGGTAGCGTCGATGTTCGGGTTGAAGAGTTGGTGACAGCGATAATAGTGATTTTTAGCAATGGTAGGGAGATAGGATGTAGGACGATGATACTTGAATCAGTTGAGTATTGATGGTAATAGCAAGGAATCATAGAGAAGTCCGAAAGTAGAAGGAATTTGGGATAGTTTCATTTGAGCAAACTATTCTTTGTACCTAGGTAGGCATCAATACATATTGGCTATCATGATGATGGAAAAGAAACACCAGATGTTTTCGGTTAACTCTTGCGGCTCTAGTGTAAATTCTTCAAGGGCGATATTCTGTACTTATGTAGTGTGGTATCGAGAACCCATCTAGAGAGCGAGTACCAGAAACAGTAAATGGTGTGGAAAATATACAGATTTTGAAAGCAGTATATTTTGACATTCTGCGGGTAGAATTGCAATTATAGTTTTCGAGATATCACTACAGGATCATGGATCTGACGTCTGATTGCCCTTCATAAAAGGGGTTCTGGTGGTGAGATACAAAATAGTTGTGGACTATCAGACGATTTCAATGCGTGTGTATCTCGTTTTTTTTTCTATTTTTTTTTTCTACATAGAGTTGGATGGTTATTTAAGGATCAACAAAATAACCATTAGCTACGTACATGACCTAGAAATTGTTTTAAAAATAGAAGTGATGTGGAATTAATGACTTTGGGTGTGAAATCCGAGGGAGTCTTCATTAGTATTTTGCTCGATAGAGGTTTATCTTAGACGAGTAGATTCATAGTCAAAATCAAGACATGTAAAGCAAGATGGGATAACAACAATCTTGTAGGCCTAAACCTGCACAATCATAGACAGCGAACAGAAAGAACAATGGCGAGAGCCACTATATGACTGTATTTACAAAATCCGCGGTGAAAGATTAAAAACGATCAGAATGGTATCTACAACCTGAGTTTGGTTAAAAGCTAAAATTTTCATTGGGAACTATCAGTCAGAATGAGCTTGCATACAAATCGACGTCGATCTCAAGGAGAAGATTTCCATGTCAACCTTGGCTTAGATGATACGTATTTCTCATAGAATGAATAATGGCGGTTGCTTGGGCAGATCTACTTCTATATATACCATGACGGTCTCCACAGGGAATTCAATAATTGTATGCACATCTATCATCTGCGAATACTCTACAGCATCTTGGATTCAGATGCTCACAGTGAATTCATAAACATAAGCCGGGAGGTACGATTGCCTAGCGGATTGATGAGTAGCCTGTATCCACAAAAGTTACTTAAAAGCGCAACTTCTTTGCAAGCAAATACTGCAGCAAAAGATGCGATTTTAACAAACCTTGGTCCTAGGGTGGAAAATTGATAAAATTCTGGATAGTCGACTTGTGCCTTTAATTCGAGTGCAGTCTGATTTATGGCATCGGGATTTCCGAAAAAAAAAACATGGGGGGAGGAAGTTACTATCGCTTGATCTCAACGACAGCAATCAAAAGAATATGATGATGAATTGTTACACAATGCTGAGTTATAAATCAACCCGCTCCTTATCTGCTTGTCAGTTATAACATTGTATTGTTGATAGAGGCCAAAAGAGCCTTTTGCAGTCATTTTTAGTCACTCGATCCATCGCCTAGCGACCCCTATTTAACATAGAGTCGGACTCGCATGGTATTCCATGTTGTGGCATTTGAAGTGACAAGGGAACCTTCCACTATTCTAGTGAGTGCTGCCATCTTGTGCAAACTTATTTGAGGCCTTGACTGCATAGTATGCTTAAGTGACAATAATAGAATAATTGCACACCGGGTACGATATCGAAGAAAGACGAGATATAATTTGTAGCTATCTCTTGACCAAAATCCGAGTAAAATGCTCAAGTCGTGAGCTGTAAAAAAGATGGCTCATAGCTTTTCCCTCCTCATTTTCCGCGTCGAATCCCCGAGGAACTTCAATGGAAAGAAAGTAAGGTAAATGCACCTATATTTATACGAAGCAAATGAGATGAATGGAACTACCTAGGTATACACAGATATAAAAACTATTCGGTAAAAATGATGAATCACCGAAAACGTTTCGTTTCTCCCTTGCATTCACTTTCGATTCGTACATTCCGCGCTAATCAGCCAATCAGTTGAGCTTGTTCCGCCTCTTGAATTTCTTTTGTTGCATATCTGCTACAGCGCCGAGAGCCTGGAGGGAGAGCCTATAACTTGATATAAATCGTACCTGTAAAATTGACAGTTGATATCATCGTGATGAAGTGAAAAGGTGTCTAGAGTTAGGGAATAATCGTATAGAACTGTCACCTCGTTTGTCAAATATCATGCCATGTCAATGTCCTAGGTATTACGCTCACATAATAACATTGTAACTGAAAAATGCGCCATACCAAAGTGGCTTGAATGATATATAACTGCCTAACTATGAATCAACCAGGGATGAAAGTTTCCTTCACACTTGCTAAAGGTACGCTCTTCAGACTCAAAGTTCGATTGATCCCATTTGATACAACTAGAGTGGTTCGTTCGAACGTATAAAGCTCTTCAACTCCAAGAGATTCTATATACTCTATCGCTTTAACAAAATTTGTTCCTACATGCCCAATACCATGACTGTCATCAGACATCGTGAACTTGCCACCAAATCGTAGGTATGCCTATGGTGCTGTTAGAATCTCCTCTATGGCATCATCACACGCGTAATACATACCTCACAGATCTGTTTTCCCGGATATGGCTCTTTCAATCCTTTTCTCAGTGCACTAGTATTGATTTCCAACAATCCTCCATACTTCACCACCTCCAACAAATTTCTTAAGACCATATCCCAAACTCCCTTCCACTCAGTCAAGTCTCTATCCGGATTCTCACTTAATAGTCGGATCAAATCGAAATGACCCACCACCTTCGGTTTCAAGGTCTGCAACATCTCATACTGTTGCTCAAAATAGTCCTCATACAATTTCTCCTCCGAGCCTCCTGAATTCTCAATCGCTTTGGTATACAATGCAGCGTCATAATCAATAGGAACTTCATTCACGTGATGTATCGAACCAATGAAGAAATCAATGAGAGGATTCGAAGCAAGATCTTTGATTAGAGGCCCATAATCTGATCGAATCCATTCTCCTTCAAAGCCTATAAGAATGTTGAGTTCATTCTTATATTTTTCGCGGAGACGAGTTGCTTCAACAAGATAGGCTTCGTGTCTGGGCACGAATAGAGATATATTATCACCGGCTTCGACCTAGATCTGTGTTAGATTGTTGCGGGGTGAAATGAAAAGGGAGTCTGAAAAAGTACTTCTTCAGGATATAAATCCGAATTCGAGTTTCGGGGCATGTGCTCTGTTAATGCAAAGGTTTGCATGCCCCGGGATATGGCCGTTTGAATCACTTGTTCTAATGTATCTTTTGCGTGTCCAGGACAAAACTGCCCGGAATGGCTATGCATTGAGAATGCCATGACGAAGAGGTATGTATATTGAATAGGGTTGGATATGTGTGGTGATATAAAATAGTATGTCGGTTTCCAAAATTTGAAAATGGTGACGCGAAGATTTGCTGGATGCCGACTGACAGTTTCTGTAAGTGATATAAAAAAGCAGATTCAAAGACAACTCAGAAAAAGAGTGACAAGAGGGTATAAATGAACCTTAAAAGGACTGTATAACTTCAATGTAACCTCCTAGGTATATAAAAATATCGTACCCCGAGTGATAAGAAAGATAGAGATGCCAACCCAATACCATAATCTGGATTATCAACGTGGGGTAATAGATTGACCAATCATTTGCAATTCACATGGCACGCCAAATCGTAGGGCTATGGCACGTGATTGTGGGATTTGTCGAGATATATGTAACATGTCACTCTTCAAATTCTTGGATTAACTTATCAAAATTCAAACCGCTTTGCATAGAAATATTGGGTGATTGGCGCAATGGTAGCGTGTGGACCTCCTATCATTAGGAAGCTTTCCAGTCTAAGGCTGAGGTTCGAGTCCCTTGTCGCTCGTAGTTGAGGTATCTTGCCTTGAAATTTTTTGTTTGGGACCTCCTCAAGGTGCGAATGTCAACTCAATCGGAGGCAAAGGTTACTTACCTACTTGGATTTGCAAATTTCTTTTACTGTGGGCTAGATGGTGGAGCTAACAGCGTCCTAGGCGCCCAAAATCAGCAAACAAACAAGGCAGGAACGGCCGCCTTTTTGGCTCACATTTAAGATACACATTCTAAAGGTCTTTCCATGATGTGAGAGGTTTTTGAATGGTTAGACTCGCTGCGGCCAGGCAGATTACTTCTATGAGAGTTCATTCTTCATGTACCTACCCAGGTGCCTCAGTCTGTATCATATCTAACATTAATTGGTAGAGCTAGAATGTCCATCAATCAGGAAAGATCGAGGTCCCATCCGGAAAGAGATAATCAATCATATATTCAGATGATTTGGTCATTTGGATTTGATTCGTATCTCTCGAATAAAGTGTGAAGAAAGAAGCTTGGTTCACGTACAAGTTATCCTGTTACGGACTTCGGATTGCAAAATGTCCTTGAACAGGTCCCGTCCTGGGCATGACAAAGTTCAAATATGTTAGTTGAACTTGAGCATGCCAATTCCAAGTACGCAAAAACCGGTTCTTCTGAATTATACAATTCCCAAAATTTCTCCGTTCCTGACGTTTGACCCAACCACCGAAGAAGTCTTTCCTAACATACATAACTGAAGTTAAACCCAATCCCTCGACAAATGCGGCATTATCAAAAAATTATCTTCATCTCCGTCTAGGGAATACCATCCTCTTCCAGACCAATCATGTCCATTGGCCTTGAATTCCATGCTAACTTTCACATATCCAGCATCCCCAACCGCAGTTGACACCCAGCTATATGGACCATCGCATGCCACATAATCTGTCGTGAGGCCAGTCAACCCAGAGCACGACGCATCATATACCGCTGGACCTTGCTCTTCATTTCTGGCATCAGGAGGTGTGTAATTTATTATCATAGAGTATGGCGCTTCACCAGTACAATCGAGAAAAAGTCCCTCTGAACATGCCATGTTGAACTTAGTAATGAGGTACGATGGGTGAATACCAGAGCGTGTCGTCCATTTCTCACAATCTGTACATGTGGGAATGGAAGAAACGAGATTCGAAAGACCGAACAGTACGGCAATCGATAGAACGGAAGACATTAGTAAAAGCAAGAGAGTATTCAAAAATGGGGAAGATTCAATGCTTAATTTTGAGTTAAGGAAGTGTGGAATAGGGCTAATGCAAACTAAGATAACCCTTTTTAAAGTGTTTTCATCCGCTTCCAACAAGTTGTAATTGTGGCTGTGAGTGTGAAGCCAGTGTATGGACCCGAGAACTGGCAGTTGGTCGTTGATGGATCTCTGGGGTGAGCGCTTACAGAAAATTTTACTTGGGCCTTAGTAGCCCCTATTGATGGGCACCTCCAATGGAATGGAAATACTATTATTCCGTTCTTCTACGATCCCGAGGTCATTTTCAGACGCTTGATTCATCAGATCTAGGTACCCAGAAGTCAGCATTGTGGCTTGCCATTCAGTGGAACAAAACAATTCTGGTCCGAAAATCGCGTCGAACCTGTCATACAATCATGGTAACAATAATATTAGTTTTATGTGCACATGGCTGTACAGCAAATATAAGAATTCCGGCGCTACGAAAAAACTGATCCTATGTATCTACTTTAGTACTCTTTGGTTCATCGTATCAGAACTTATTAGAGATGAGCATTCAAAACTATTTAGCGAGAAACGAGGGGCAAGTCATCATGGAGGCTAGTGAGATGAGATTGTAGATGGGACGATAACATATTCATCACCATGCTACAGTCCCATTTTTGAATACTCATGCGATTAGTTAGGACCATTCATTCAGCAACACAAGGCGTCATACCTCAGCCAACGAAAAGATAGGGGGATCAAAATCACCGAAATTATATTATCAAAGACGTCAAATAAGAATACAGGGAAAAGAATTGCAAATGTCTAGGTACGCAAAAGAGATATATACAATAATAACGAACACGCATGATAATCTGTAACCATCATCTTCGAATACTCATCTAAGCGTTTGAGATTGTGTACCCCAAGCTTTTCTCTTCCTTTTTGCAGCGCTTGGTAAACCATAGATGATAGTTTGCCATCCATTCATATCTACCACAGCTCACTCCAAATATGTGTTCCGCGGTAAAATCAAGAGTCTCAATTGACACTTTGATTTATATCGAACGCCGCTACATTCTGCGAATAACAAAATGAAGATAGCTGGATTTCGATCCAGCGCAACACTGTAAAGTTCGACCGGGGATAAATGCAAATGCATCAAACCCCCAAATCAGCATTGATGATCCATAGGTCAGAACAACAACAAATGCGGGGAAGCACTCCACTCCACCTCACCCCAACCTCTTCCCCATTTGTTATCCAGCTCGTCAAGTGCATCTGTTGCATATCTAGCCAGGGTGGGGTACGAGATATCATTATCACAGACGAGGACTCCCATGCCCAGCCAGCCCCGGATGATCTTAGCACGTTGGCCAAAAGCTTAAGAGGAGCTAGTTAACTAGTAACCGACCACCTAAGTCATCGATGGTTTGTATCCCTGTTGACCCCGCATGCAGTCCGGGATGGAAAGGAAAATAGTATGCAGATGTTACTTTTTGTTGCATGCCTGTACAGGGATTTGTATAGGTGCTTTTGGGGAGAGAATTTATACGCGTGTTAAGTACTGGAAATGGAGTTTAGCTCTTCATTGCGGAATTAGGTTGGCGCTAGTGGGTGTTGGTCAGAGAGTCCTCTTTGATCCCCTCGAAAACTTTATTGCAGGTTGAAGATTGAGTTCAGTTGTTGCATGTCTATACCGGGGTCTGTACGAGCAATGCGTCTCTTAAAGTATGGTGTGTGAATCTCGAGACGCTAGCAGAAAGCTATCCATTATTTTACCATAGTCATGCTTCTTTCACGACAGTTTATAACTATAATTGAAAATCGTCCGCATTTTTTTGCGAATTTATATAAGAATACAAATAGATTCCCGTACATTAGGATCCGTATTACGACATTTTGTAGAGATCCCTCCGATCTTTCGGACCTTTCGATGATCTCTTTGTTACTTCATTGGTTTGGCGGAGTTCATGTTTCATGTTCTGTGTATGTTTTCTGAGCTCGAGTTTCAAGCTTCGAGTTCTCATCAAATTGCGGTGATTCAGTATGAGGAGTCGAAGAATATGGTGGCAATCGGGAAATATTGCTTAGGTGTTGGCTCATCACTTACGACTAATAAGCTCGCGATGACCTTTTAGGATCTGAAGATCCATATTCTGGAGACATAATTAGCTGAATATTGTCGATTTACCTTGCTCATGAGAATAATCGCACTCTGCATAGTAATTTTACTTGGTTGTTGGGCAGTGTACAGATGGGTGAAGGTAAATGTATTCAATCTGTCATCAGAAATCGTATCCTGCAGTTGCCAGAATAATCCCTGGCAATTAAGTGATTTTAGTATTAACTAGCATTCTCAAAGAACGTAAAGAGTTCTTCATTGATACATCCTACAATTCAATTTGTAATACATCCGCCGACCAAGGCTTTGCCCCAAGTTTGTCGTCCACCATCCCACATTGACAATACCTCTGTGTTCTACTCATGGCTTGTATATCCATTATTTACCAGTCCACAGCCGTGGAATCCCACTGTAAATATATCATGTTAATTTAATTCAAGCACAAACAGTGCAGAATAAAGGCATTTACTTACAGGTATTTGTTTGTCGCCGATCTCGGCGCAGAGAAAGCAATGCTTATAACAGCCTTCGCCAGGTCCGTCATTGGTACGATCCAATACAAGATTATTGACCAATAACGGATCTATTTCAGACTTAAGAAATTCTGCATCACCGCCCACGTGAGCTAATTTTGCGCTCAAGTCTTTCCAGAATGCAACTGCCATTTTTGGTTCACTTTGAAAAGAAACGTAGTCCTCCTCAGCGGCTGCCAAGGCATTTGTGAGTTCCGGTGTATCCAGCGAGTCTTTGGCCATTACGGCCTCAATATAGAGTGTATGTTGCAAATGGTCGATCATTTCGTCAAGTTGAGAGAACCCTGCTCCGATCAAACCACGGATGATCTCCTCATTTCGAGTACGATGAAACTTGAAAGTGTCCTTATCCTTCCAATTGGCCACGACGTGGATTAGACACTCGCGAAAAAGAACGGAACTTCTAAGCTTCTGCGCGTTGAATATCATAGAGTCGCAATCTTCCGCTAGCTGATCCTTCGTGCACGCAGTTGAATCTTCATTTTCTCGTTTCAAAAATATAGGGCTATTGAGAAGCGCGTCGGTGAGAGTGACCGAAACTATCGGAAGAGCGCAGTAGAAGTCTGCAATGCGAGTAAGTGTTGATAGCTCTTCAACACTCTTGATGGTATAGGGCCTTGAATACATGGCGCAAAGGAGTTGTCGAAAGCCCTCAACTTCTCCCTCCATATCCTCTGCTTGGGATATCATTTCCTCAGTTAACAACGGAGCCTATATCAGTGTATCAGTCGGCATGTCGCCGAACAAAGGGAGAGCTTCACAGTACCTTAGCGACGGCCTCCAAGCCCCAAGCCCCATCCTCATCAACAACTGTGCTATAATCATATCTGAACAGAGCTAAGTCTGGTCCGGGTGCATCTTGCTTATCAGGCGAATCAAGAAATTTGCGGAAATAAATTGACCCTTCCTTCAAGATATGGGAGTGCACGTGAAACTCTTGTTTAAAAACCATCAGACGAACATCGGGTTGACGCCCTGGAAATATGTAGATAATGGGGGTTTTGAGATCTGCTTCTTCGGATGCTCTGGAAGACATTGTGAGTTGATGGTAAGTGGCGCGTTAAGTTAAAATAATACTGGTAGATGTGTGATTATATGGCTATGAAGATGAATGTGATTGTGATTGATATGGACGGGGCCTTTGATTACGTCGAAGGTTGTACAATAACGAAAACCCTCGGATTTCCAACACAAACTAGCCTTGTTGTTAGTGTTGAGCCCCGTTCCTACTGAGATCAAAGCTATTTATAAGATGCCAGAACTGAGTATTTGACGTTCATACCCTACGGCAGTATTCACTTGGCATTTGATATCAGTAGTAGATGCATGAGATGTTTGATAGTGGATACTTGTCAGACGGTTTGATGACACGATCCTCTCGCAACCGCAGAAGGGCATACACACGTATGTATATGTATGAAAACTACAGATTGTCAGCCTCAAGCAAAGTGAATTGAGCGTATGTTTTGGTATTCAAATCCACGTGACGAACTACTGATGGAAATATTCGGGTAGATACTAGCCCTAAATTAGTGATATAATAGTTTGTGAGCAGTATAGTCGAGACTCATTGAACATATTCATTGAATGTATTCGAATACGGCCATTCAAGCCCTTTTCTTCTTCTTCTTTTATTATATAAACTTAGTCCAACAGCTTTCACGCCCACCATCTTGGAATCTCAAAAGTTGAAACTTACCGCGATAATCCGAGTCAACCTTTTCTAAGCAATCGAAACCGATAGCTCTCTCAATAACATTAATAAACCAACATTGATAATCGATCATTACAATGGAACAACAAAACAAAAAAAGAAAGCGCAATGAAGATCCAACAACTGCGCGACAAGAAATTCTATCACCCATAATTTTCCTTGCGCGGGGTGTCAAGGCTGATACACGATTCACGGTGTTCAGACAAGAATTCCACTTGCATTCTTCCGGTCTCAAACATCACTCCAGTTACTTTCGCACGTTTCTTGATTCAGTGAGTTTTACAGATTTCCTTTATCAGTCCTCTTGAAAACTTAGTTCTAGGTGCTCGTTTCAACTCATCCCAAATAATTTTCATGTCCAACACAATCAGATACCGCGAGCAAACCCACTGACAAGATGATAAACTTGGGTTCATTATTTCATGCCAAGGTTTCCTATGGTTGAAAATCACTAACTCCAGTTTTCTAGGTCGATAAACAGCCTGCGTCCGCTTCTGCGCTATTCAAGTATGACTATCGCTCTGTTGTTGATGAAGATGGAAGTTGGGCTTTGATGCCAGTTTCAGATGTATGTTTCCCGCAAACTTCCTCGAGAAACACTAAGTGCTAACTATCGAACTCCAGTCATCAGAGATAACAGGCCAACAGATGACTCTTGTCGATGGAGTCAAAGAAGAAACTGAAGCCCTTCGAAAACTACTTTGTGCCATTCACTCAAAAAAATATAGAATTGAGACCGCAGATGAGCTCAAAAGACTCACGTGCTTAGCTGATTACTATTGTGCTCTGCCGGTGGTTTCAGGAACCTTGACTGGAGCTTTGTTCAGGAGCAGTATGTTTCAATTCTTAGCTCCACGATACGATGCCGCCGTAGAATGCGAATGTCACGATGAGTCTGTATCCTTACTTTTGCTAGCCCGCAAACTTCGCCATGGATTGCTTTTCAGAGAATGTTTGATCCATACAGTCGGGAGATGGGATTCTCTCTCAGATATTGAGAAGAGACAAATCGAAGAAGACCAAAGCCTATACACACTGGTGCAAATCAAGCTTAAAGTCTTGTATGAGCTTCTTGCCAAGACTCAAGGTGCACTACTTTGGGCCGTTGTCGAGGGAAAATTCAAGGTTCTCAAGACTGCTGTTGGACGTTCCTTTCCGACACCATTGATCGGCGGAATTCTTTCGGTGTACAGAGCTCTGAGTGAAGAGAGTTCATTCTACGATCTCCTCAAAGAGGTGGAAACAATGGAACTAAGTGTTCTTATGTTCTCGGTAATCAAAAATAATCTTGCTTTGGGCTGCTCACGGCAGGATCCAGGGAAAGTGGGTGGTATTTTTGAAAAAACATTTCTATGTACCGAAATAGAAGATGATGAATTCCCATGGGATTTGGAGGAAATAGATTGGTAGGGTAGAGCATTAAGTGGGAAGTTATAGCCTTTGTTCGTCGAGCAAAGTCAATTTGTACAGATCTTGAGCGCGCATATCACGTTGCAAATCTTAATTGGGATCAAGAAATATAGAGCTTCAGAATATTCATACATTCTCTAAGGTTCCACTAGGGAACGTAGAATCATCTCTTTACAGTTATCCTTGATATCACTACAAATGAGCTCGAAACGACTATACAAGGTATAGATAGTAATATTGCTCGCTCGGTGAGAAAGGATGTCACAATGATCAACGTCCACGTTGTGAACTATCTAACCACGCAAATATACAGCTTTCCGTATGATATCATCACCAATCTTCCAAACCCTATAAGAAAGTCGTTCCATCTATATTTCCCCGACTCGTTACATCTCCAAGAAGGTCACATACACTTTGATATAATTACATGATCCGAAATTCCCCCTCAAAGTTTCTACGAGACCAACCTCGCTTATTTCTTCCCTTCCGCTCTGAAATATCGATATCCCTTGAAAAGCATTATATAGAATCCTCCATCCACCACAACCCCCTTCCAGAGCCCCCAATTTCACACCACTTCCCCATCAATCTTCCCCTCCTATCTCTCATTCAGTCACACGAAGCACCACATCAAAATGAACTCTTCATTACTAACCGAATTTACCTAGACACCGATTATTCTCCCAACCCATCAGATTCTCTCATATAGCGCGTAAAGATTCACAAACACGCAAATGGATGGGAAAAATCAAAATGCAGTCTAATCAAATGATAAGTATAGATTACATATCACATCCAATACACAGCGTCACAAACACAAAATCATCATCCCGCAAAACACAGAACACAATCCAATGAATCAGAAAATCCTCGTATATAATGTTATATCTGAGAAAGAATTTATAAAAGGACAAACATCCATATCGCTGTCTAAACTTCCAGCTCAAGTTCCAATACATAAAAATACATATATTTAGACAGTACATATATACCATGAATTCACTTCTTCACTTCTTCACTTCTTCACTTCTTCACTTCTTCACAGTCCACCTATCCACCTACCCAGCTCCCAAGTAATCAAGACCTCAACCCCGTTAACAAAATATCAATCCATCCATCAGCTACCCAATATCCGATATAATTCCTAACTCTATGGCGCTATATTTCTTATCTACATGAGCTCTAGCTAGATTCAAAGACTGAGTTGAACGATTTGATCCGCATCATTAATGATTCACTACTACCATCGTCAAGTCTCAAAGAGTCAGAAACAAATAAACATATATACCTACACATCAAACACTCCAATTTACGAATAAATATATTACTCCAATATCTAGCTATCAAGCTAGTCTATGCACCGGATTACCCCCTGGTCCCAGATGCTTACACACACATGTATGTATATAGGTACAATGAATAAAGATAAAAATGATTACTCCCCAAGCACCCACGTGACGCCTTGACCCGAAAAATACCCTTCAATGATACCCCCAGAATCTCCTGATTTATAACCGAGCCAATGAAACAGTATGATCAAATGTAGACCTATATCACATAACCCTGACCATAATCCGAGAATACGGTTCAAATGCTAAAAGACGAATGTAATGATAGATGGGTATCGACGCCCGAATGATGATGTGAAAGCCAAATACTCCGAACAATGCTAGTATTTACTCCTTGAAGGATATCTCTTTGTATGTACTTCATCAGTTAAGTGAGACGCCGTATAACAATACAATGCAAAACGTAAAGATAATCGATCGAGCTGCGTAATATGCTTTTAAACACGTCCTGGTATACGTCTTCCCTGTGGTAAAGGTAATTCGACCTCTTCATCACTACTCTCCTCCATTTCATCCAACATCCTATCCGTCACTCGTCTGCTTTGAAGATTATTTCTCATGGTACATTTTCTATGGCTTGCTGCTTGGTATCCATTGTCGCTGCCACCACTACTAACACTTTCTGCGAACTCCACTTTGCGTTGGTTCTGGGGTCCCGTTTTAGCTTTCTCATTTTGAGTCATCTGCCCGAACTCTGTACGAAGAGGGCTTTGCCTGGGGCTTTTCTTCGCCAATTGTGGAGGAGTTATATTAGGTCCAATGGTTTGTGAATTCCCTGGCGAGCCCATAGATAACAACATTTCGATTGCATCCTGTTCTAGCGTCTCCCGCTTCTCTTGTTCTCTTGTTGGTCTGTGTCCAGAAGTTATGTTATGCTCAGCGCGACGATGAGCAGTCCCACTGGGAGTTTGAGGAGCAGAATTATTAAATGAATGATGCGAGTTGGCGCTTGAGTGGCGTGGGATAGATGGAAGTTTTGAGAATTTTGAGTCTGATCTCCTAGAAGGAGGTGTTGGTCGTATATCAGCTGGAGGAGCGAGAGACTTAGATTGTGGTGACGAAGAGTTATATAAGTTATGTCTATATGATTGGGCCCCGTTGGCGGTAGAATGATCACGCCAGAATGATTCATAGGTTCGAGATAATGGTTCTGTTCGTGTATACAGGTCGAAATCGGCTGTAGGTCGTGGACCAAATACATCTCTGGATCCCTGGCCCTGGATATTTGCTATAGCTGTTCTAGGAGAGGTGTGAAGGTTTCTGCGATTGTTGAGGGTTGAATTCGATGACGTTGGAGATCCAGCTTGTGATGCAATAGTTTCAACTTCATTGATCGATTTCGATTCCCATCCATTATTAACTTTAACCATTGCATAGGAAAGACGAGTTCTTAATTCGGAGGATAGCTGTTTAAGTTTAGTTCAAGTACCCTATCGCTCGAGAAACTCTACTGACCTCTCCAAATCTACTTGCGACCGAAGATGCATTGCTGACTGTGCTTGTATTTCTTGTATGGCTTCGAACAGACGATGGGCCTTTAGGACTTGGTGAAGTTGAATTAGACGCTTTTGATTTTACATGACCATCTGCAGTTCGTTTCTGACTCGCATTCAAAGTGATGCTGATTTTTGGTGGTGTTGTATTGGTATTACTTTCAAGTGGTAGTTGTGCGGCAGCTAATTGCGAGAGTTGTGAGAGTTGCGACAAAGGTCCCCCATCTTGATCGGTACTTTGCGATGAGAATTCATCAGAAGCTGGTGGTGTAAAAAGAGCGTCCTGACCGTCTACCGTCGATTGAGAATTGTCGGATATGGGCGCGATGGCAATCGCGGGTTGTGTTGCGACGCTCTTCTCAGCGCGGTATCCTTCTTTGTCCCCTTGCGATATCATATTCTGGAGGGATTCTACTAATTCCGGTTCATGCGCACCGATAGTGGTGGCATTAATGTCGTTGTTTGCCATCAGAGGGGAGTGTAATGAAACGCGGGTTTCTGTCGCGTCAAGTGGGACTCGATCTTGTTAAATTACCCTGATGTAGAATCGCAATGTCGCGACAATGACTCGTTGATTGAATGATTATGGGGTTTGCGGAAGATAGCAATAATGTAACGATAATTGTCGTGATGATTGTCGAACTTAAGAATATAACGGAGGAGAGAAATCAATTAATTGATTATCGATATAACTATTGATGTTTAATATTAGGTTGGAGGGTTCGAGGGTTGATAATGATTGTGGCGGGTGATATCGAATGCTGGTTCGGTCTGTGTGTGGATTCTGGTTATGGGTGTGTGGAGAGAAATGAGGGTTGCGGCGCGCAGTCGCGAAAAAAGATGGACAGACGCCTCAATTGTCCGCGTGTATTTCGTCTTTTCGGCTTTTCTGTCGAGATCTCTTTTTCTTTGAATGACAGATGCAGATGTGATTTGAGTTGATTTGATTTGATTAGATCAATTATCTTGTTTCGTTCAGTAGGTAGCTAGACTGTGATCTCATATATTCGATATGAAGATCCTGTTAACAATTGGATCGACGTAACGATTGGACTTGTTTTTTTATTACTAGTATGTGTTAATTGATATTGCCTTCTCAAAGTGGAAGTAGAAGGTCGGGCGTGTGAGAGTATATGGAAGTATGGAAGTATGGAAGTATGGAAGTATGGAAGTATGGAAGTATGGAAGTATGGAAGTATGGAAGTATGGAAGCTATCGAAATGTACTCGTATGGATATGGATATGATCTGATATGAATATTGTAAGAAAGACGATCAAAAGGAATCGAATAAATGAGAAACAAGTCGTGCTCAATAAGTCAATCAACGGAGTAATGAGGAAGAGTACTTACTACCTAAGTCGGTAAGTCAGTTGGTTGGAGACGTGAGTCAACCCCACCTCCAACAGAAATTCGCGTGGTCACGGGTTCTTGAAAGGCTTTGATTGACTGGCTACTATAACACGCCACATGCGCCGGTTGAAGAAACGGCTCAAAAAAAGCAAAAAGCAAAAAGCAAAAAGAAAAAGAAAATAAGCCTCAACCCCACTATTGCATATATAGAAGTGGGGGATGTGGGAAGCAATATATATATATATATATATATATATATGGTGGGGGAGGAGAGAGGGAAGTTGTTCGTGTTAATTATTGTAATTATATGAATCATATTTTGCTGTTGTGTGAATAATAATTCGCTTCGTGGGTACAATCTGGCCTATGAGTAGTAGATAGTCAAAGTACTCCAGCTAGTTGAAGTGCTAGTGATAAAATTCTGCTCAAGGACATCTTGATGTTGGGCAATTGCGTGAGTACGAACGGGTAAAGGATGCGCACGAATTCCATACGATTCACACATTTGTTATCATATCTATCATTATTGAATAGGGGCTCAATTCGCTAATTATGTAAAAAGTCCATTAAATCTCCTATATAAAATTGGATTCCATAACCATAATCTCGGTTTGTAGAAATCGGCCTGACATCAATGCGACAGTATGAACCTATGATGGCATCCCGCAACATCATTGATATGTTATACTCCTAGGCCGCCATGAATGGCCAGATGAATTGATATCCACTATTGGAACCGACAGAAACGAGGACTGAAGGCTTGGGATTTAACCACAGCCAGATTGCTTAATCAAGATATATCAATTGACATTCTTACAACAAGAAGAGATGTCGCTGATCCTGAGGCAGGTCTGCCTATGTACTCAACTTGCGTGCAGTCCATCTTGTCGTGGCTCGAGTGTGTAAGATGACAAGCCGCATCTTCCGATACACAATCCCCTCGGTGTAGCCAGAACTGATCACAAGCTTTGAATGTATTCTTGAACATCAGCATGTGAAGCTTAATTGCCTTCTCGGTAAGGCCTTGATTTTATGAGCTTGTTGCTAGGGTGATCGTCGAATGGATTTGGTTAGGGTGAAGAGCCCTCAACATGAGACAATATGTCGGCTTTCACTTCTCTCCCAAAATTCCTCGTCCGGACGCGATATTTACAAGACTATTAAGAAGCTGTCTCGTCGCTCGATATTGTCCATCGTCTTCATGCTCGCCACTCGATGGCTGCGTCAGTTTCAACCTCCCTTCGCCAAGTACAAATGAGCCACATGCAATCTTAACAATCTTCACCTTCTCATGCCCTAGATCCAGTGCCAGATGAGCCTTGACATAAGTTTTCAATGCAGCCATAAAGGGAGATCCATCTTTCGTGATTTTGTTCCCTCGTGCAAGCATGCGAGGTAAATCCTCCCTAGAAATATGTATTTCAATAGTTTTTAGGGCAGCCGATCCACCAGGTATATCGAAGCCAACAGAGATCTGAACTTCTTTAATAATCTTTTGTATACTAATTTGGCGCACTTCGGTTGTCGTACCTGAATTGATCGAGTTGGATGTATATTTTTCGAATGATTTCATCAAATGTTTTCCTTCCAATTTCAGTGCAGATACCCTTGTATCGAATGTCCTGCAGATGTATTGGATGAATGTTTCTCTTAACGACAAGGGCATTCGTGTCAAAACTAGTGGCAAGCGTAGGAATCCAGCTTGATCGTGAGAATTATCCATGATCGAGTCATCCATATCGTCTTCGGAAGTGGTGCGTAATAAAATTGCAGTGTATTTCGCTTTCTCATAATTGACTTCAACCAATACTCCGCGGTTGTTTGTAGATTCAAATACAGACTCATCGAGAGCTTCTCCTGTGGTATCTTCGACAGCCCATTCTGATTCCACCTTAAAAATCCTCCATACCACCGCTTGCAGAGCTCCTACACGAGCCAGCGTATCATCTTCAGATCCTAATCCAACCCGAACTCCTCGTAGAACATCGCCTGCTAGTATATCTCGAAATCGGCGCGCATGCACTTGTAAGGTCGAATTATTAAGAGGTTGGTCGCCAATGAAGAGTGGAGAAGCACGATGTAAGGTGAATGTGGTGTTGTAGAGGGGATACTGAGAGCCAGGTTCGGGAGCCATAGGATTGAATTCAAGACCCCGCAATATTGCGGCGCGTTATAGGATTGTTTGACTGGCCCCAATGTCTTCAAAAGTAAGAGTGCTTAAAACGAATTGCAGTAACTTGATGAACAGTAATGTCTCCAATGAGTATTGTTCGACAAGAAAGATTATAATTATTTACTTTATGCTTGATCCCAATGTTCTACTGACCCGGAAACGCGACGCGGAGATATTTTTGACAGGGGTATTGCGTAACAGTATCGTTAGCGCGACTCCTTCAACATCATGAATCTCCTGCACGTGAAAGAGTCTACTATTGACAACATCATTCAATTTAACATCTAAACCTTGTGGTGGGAAGTTTTGGTGTTTATTTTCGATCAATTCGTAGATTTGTCGATTTCCATTCCCTTTGCTGGTAAATCTCGACAGCGAGATTACGCATTAGGTTAAGAGAAATCTACACGCCACCAGTGATCGTCGACGTTCACCCGTTATTGCGCGATTTCAATATGTTTTTCCTGCCCTCATACCATATCCAATCAATTTTCTATCTCAAATACTTTGCAAGGTTTTGTCACTTATAAGCAGTACCTTGGGCCTAATTCTTTTTGGAAATGTACAGAGTAGTTCCTGCACTATATTTGGATCCTGAAATCCGTCCGAGCAATCTTGGCAGTACGAGCGGCATCATATTTTATATATGCACTCCAGAGAGAAGTTTCGGACGTAAACCTTCAAGGAAGAAATTCTTATGGAGGCATCACGTTTCCAATGTCTTAATGATTTTGCTGAACTTGTTCAAGACGCACAGCTCTCCCGACTTCGAGATTGGTAAGACTAGCTTGCATGCTGTTTCTGCAAATATCGCTATCAATTTTTCGATACCTTTCTTTATCACGTCTAAATGATTATGCTCTAACTACCGTATCTTAGTGAGAAACCGAAGGATCCCAGATGTTGATAGGCAGGACTGGTCAATGTCAAGCCAAGTTTGCTCTGAGCAGCGTTGGGTTCTTCCCATCCGGTACTGGTGGATTACGATTTCACCTGGTGGAGATAATCCCCAGAGAATGTTGATCACGGATAAACATGGTTCAACAGTCAGGATAAGAACAAGCAACATGTGCGAAGTCCATCTTCGATCATTATCAACACCAATCATGAACCTACAAGCTCAGTCCACATGATTATGACTGCCAAACAGTAATTGATGCCAAGATTTCAAGTCGCATTTCATACGGCAAATCTTGATATGAAATTCTGATAAAGTGGTAACTTGGCATCTTTTGAAGCATTGGATTTCTTGGGTGGTTTGGTCTATTCATGCTTTCGAAGTCACTTGCCCACTCGCACAGATCTTCAGCCCTTTTCTTTTGAAAGTCGGCGTTCTATTCATAGTCAGGGCTGTCCCGTCAAGGCCTAAAGCCTTTGTAATGCTAGCTTCAACTGTTGAAAAATTCTCCGTCAGCCTATTATCGTGGGATGGCTATCTAGGTATCGCGCTACGCAACAAACCTCGAGTCTGAGAGTATGTCGCACGTACATCAGTAGCTCTGAACAAACCTCTAGCATGCACAACATCTTCAGACGAGACCGGTAAAAAGTTCCATTTGTACAAGGCGGGATAGATGTGAAACAACCTTAGAGATCTTCCTGGGATAATACTGTACTTCAATTTCATGATTCGGTCATTACAAGCTTTCCATACAGTATGCTTAAAAAAATGGGCCCTAAAACTGCGTTCGGTTCGTGGTATCTGATAGTAGTTTGTGGGTACAATCGAAAGGTTTCGAGGATTCAAAACTGAGATCTGGAATTTTTGGGTCATTATCGTCATGTAAAAAGGAACACAATTTCCCAGTCATCCTATGTCACAGATTCGGTGCGAGTTTTGATTGGACGAATTTTCTTTAGTATTGTTTCAGATCCAGACTATTGCCCATGAAGAAGCTAGATGGTAGTGCAAAATTGAAACGACTCGCGAATTGTGCCCAAAATGGACATCTCCAACGGCAAATTTGTCTGAGCATGGTTTTTTTGACGTCCCATAGTTGTTTTGGAAATTTAATCCAGTCTAATTTCCAGCTGATTGATTTCAGACGCATCTGAAGTTTTCTTGGAAGTTCTTGGCTACCTGTATATACAACGTCGATAGATCATTCACAACAAGGCAGTTGTTTAGTTTTCAATCTATCAAAGTTCTAGTTGTTTTCACTCTTTAATCTACATTCACAATGAAGTTCTCTTATGTCCTTGTCGCACTTTCAGCCCTCACATTCTCTACTGCCTTACCCGTTATTCGACCTGGCTCCATCAATGCCTTGGTCGTTCGAGGAGGAAACTCTACTTCGTCATTATCAGGCAATTCCACAGCCTCCACGGTATCACCAACATCTTCCGGTAGCGCAAAGCCAACCACAGCAATCAACTTGGAAGATATCAATGAGAACGTCGCCTCATCGAAAGCAACATCTAGCAGCAAAAAGGTCACAGCAGCGCAAGTCAAGTCAGCTGTCTCCGGATTCGCTAGCGATGCCAATACTGTATCAGCAGCCTTGAACAAACTTCCCAGTATGTCGGATAAATCGGATATCTCAGCGCTAGCCGGAAAAGCATTCGCTGCCGAATCCGATGAGGACTCTCAAAGATCAGTCCTCTTTGCCGCAGCAGGTAGTGCTGGTTCTTCAGCAAACAGCAAAATCGTCAAGAACACCCCTGCGGTTCTCAAGGGCTTGAAAGCTATGATGACAAACCCCTCAACTGCTTCTGTCAAATCTAACGTGGCTACCATTGAAAATGCTCGGTAAGCATCATCCACTTTCATCCACATCACGAACTATCAACTAACAATCCATAGAAATCCAAATATCCTCCCCAGCATCACACAACTCTCAAACGCAGCATTGAGCGCAATGAGTCTTTCTCAGACGGCGCAAAAGTTCCCTGCTACCGGAACAAATTAGGCTGGTCCTAGGTAGCTCTCCGTATATATCTATCCATCGAGCAGATATCGGATTGTTTAAAGTTTAATTCGCTTCTCTTGTTAGTATGGAGAGGTGCTTTTATAGGATAATTGAAACATTTATCTTGTCCTGTGTTTGGTGTCGTTTCGCTTCTTGTGTGCATATATATCCTCGGGTTAGTTTTCAGTGTGTAAATACCTAGTCTAGTGTAGCGGCGTTTTTTTTTCTTGGGCGGAAAGAGGGATACCATGGGAGTGGGAGTTTTGGGTTTGAAGAGAGGAAATGAAATAAAAAAGTGTTCATAGCAAAAGAGAGGATTCTGTATTTTAGGATTTTAAGCTGGATATATGTAGATGTATACTGAGAAGAAATAAGACTGTTCAGAACAAGTTTCACTAAATACTTCATTGTGAACACTGAGTGATACCCTGCCATACAGCTCGTACTTATCAGTTTCATTGGAACGCGTGTAAAGTGCAATCTCAACTGAGGCTCATTTTCAGTCTGCACTATTTAGAATCCCATATTTATGCTCTCTTTGAGAATCGTTTCTAGCAGATTATTCTCCAAAGAACGCAGCAGAGCCAATGATAGTTTGGTATCAACGCAATTACTGATAGACTGAACGATATATTTTGGAAAGAGAAGATAATCCCAAGCTTTCACAAGCACAATCATAACAAATCACGGTTAATGAGGTATATTACTGCATGACGACAGTGGCAGTAGAGACGGAGAGAATTCGAAGCGGGAAAGGTCTCGGGTAAAGAGGGGAGCGAAGAAAATGACTGAGCATAAATATTGGGACGGCGGCTCAGTGTGCGGGAAGTGAATTGAATAAGGGGTTTCCAGCGGAGGATAACAGAAATGATGATGGGAATGGTGGACATGAACGGAGTCATGGATCGAGGGAACTTGGAAGCATTTATTTGGAAGGCAAAGACTGGATTGGAAGTTCTCATGACGTGAGTAATATTTGCAAGAAAAGTATCATGATGGAAGTAAAGGGTACTTTAGATAGTATGTATAACATCAAGCTCCCCACGCCGAGAGAGTAATAAGTGATAATCAAGAAGTGAACTTCTTATATCTTGCACACCCGGTCTCAAAATACCGAAATCAGTTCCTGCAGTAGACAGCAGAACGTGCAGTGTCGACATCACCTAGTTGGCTGGCCTCTTCGGTCTTAATGTGGAACATCGCAACGCTGAGGAAAGTTTAGCATGGCTGACAAACGAATACGCAAGAAAGAGACCGAATCGACTATTTGTGAGTTGTTGATACCATTTCTATGTTCGAAAAAAGGAACTAAGAGTGTAAATCTGGAGTAGATAGTTAAATCTTCAAACTCTACTCGTAGGTCTTCGGAATTTCAGAGGAATTTCCTGGATTATATATGTGGATCAGAGGTTGGGAATTTTAGGTCGAGTTATCATGCGAGTTTTGTGGACGGGTGGAGATTTGTATTGTGATTAAAACGGTATGGTGCTATGGGGGATGAGGAGGAAGTTGAGCATTAGTATGGGGGTTGTTCAAGAAGACGAGTCTTCGCATATGGCTGTCTTGGGCAAAGAAATTATGGGATTTGTGACGAAGAGCTTGAAGGTGGCTCGAGAAGGAAAATTCAGGATGTAGAGCACTAGTAAGGAAATCAAGATTCTCTGGAATGAAAAAGGTACTCCCGTAGACCCACTGAACTGGAGTTCCATGAACCTCCTCGTATATGTAACTAATATGTTTACAGCAGATCCGCAACCCACTGAAGAAGAAGCAAAACAGAAGAGAGCTTCAAGCCTAAACTTTCCTTTTTCCAACGATGTCTCCATGTTCCAAAACATTGTGGACTCGCAGATTTCACCCAAAATGATCTACGGCAACGATGAAGTACGACTGCGACGGGACTACGCGGTGTCAATGCATTAGTTGATCTTCGACAGGATGTTATTGAGAAAACATATTTTTAGAATGGTGGGGTAGTATGTTTCATGATGTTTTTCAGATGTTGTTTCTGGTTTGTACCATGTGGGATCTGCATCACATAACGTGTTTTCGATGAGCTTGTTTTGTGGATATGCCTTGTTGCATTACAATAGTTTGGAATAATCGGGATAAAGATGGCGGACAAAAATTGACGTTTATTCTCTAGTATATGTAGCTTTTATCTATGTGTCTTAGTAGCTTATACCTTGACAGGTTTCAATATGATGTTATCTATCAGCCTGACTGGAGGTCCGTCAGATAAACCGCGATTCTCTCCAACTTGTGGTGCTTCTACTGGCAACATCTTGATTGCGCCGCTCAAGATTGCGCCTTTTGTTTCGTCAACCTCCTCGATTTCCTCCATCGTCTCAGGGTCAGCTAACGAGATATAATCCACCTCATATCTTACTCGTTCTTCGGGCTTCAATTGATACTGTTCCATTAATATCAACTTCGACAATTCCAGTGCAGGCCCCAGAAGCTCATCTCGTGATCTATGTCCAAGATTGTATCCTTGCTCCGCAACTTTGAGCATTTTTGATAATGCTGTAGCTACATTTCTTCTCCTCTCTCCCAAATAAACATTTCGTGAACTCAATGCCAAGCCATCATGTTCTCTTTGGGTTTCTCCGATAACAACTTTGGTGTCGAAGCAGAAATCCTTGACCATCTTCTTTATAACAACAGTCTGCTGTACATCCTTCTGTCCAAAGTAAACATTATCCGGCATGACAATATTAAACAATTTCATGCAGACAGTAGCCACTCCTCTGAAAAATGTTGGCCGGCTTGCCCCCTCCAGTAGCTCTCCGACTGGTGTAATAGTGACGAAGCTTCCTTTCGCGTTAACTTCTTGACTGGGCGGTCCGCTCGGGTACATTGTTTCCGTTGTAGGCGCAAATACAGCTGCGATCTTACCCATGTTCCCATTGTCGGCCAATTCCATATCAAGTCCCTTCAACATCTTGCAATCCTTTTCCCATGTCTTCGGATAGCTATCGAGATCTTCGTGGACGCCAAATTGAGTCGGATTCACGTAGACGCTCACTATGACATTTGAGTTTTCTGCTGCAGCAAGGCGAATAAGTGATAGGTGACCCTCATGAAGAGCTCCCATGGTTGGCACGAGACCAACCATTCGATGATCGATTAATTGTTTACGGCGCCATTGGCGTAAAGCAGGTACATCTCGGAAGATTTTGATGGAAGTACCTGGTAAAGTTGGATTCGCGACTCGACGGAGAAGGGCAGAAGTTGTCGAGAATGCTCGTGGTGCGCCATATACCTTGGTAGTCGAGCTGAGGAGGGGCAACATGGATTGGCGAATGGGGGACGACATCATCGTGAACAATCGGTGCTCTTGTACTCCAAACTGAGTCTTAATGTCAATGTAAATGAGGAACTGACATCTAAAACCCAATTAGGGTCCATATCGGTAAGAAATACAATTTTGAGTCATCCTGTTCTGTTATGTGCAGCGTAGAATAAAGCCCGAGATAATTTTTGATATTCGCTGGAGCTCGAATAACGCTTGTCTAGGAATAGCTTAGACCTCCCCGTGCTCCCGCGACTGGTGGGACTGAGGATGGTGGTCCAAGCTCAACTTTTTTTCTGGAACGAAACTTCTGCATTTGCGCATTTTGTTTCTGGAAATTCAAAGCATTTCAGATCAAATTCTCAGCAAACTAGCAACAATGGCCGACGATGGAATGTTAATGAATTTTGAGATTGGGGATGTACCTATAGTTGCGAAACAAGCATTTAAAGGAGGACGCTGGAAGGATCGATTGGCTGCGAAAAAAACTGCGCAGCACCGAGTCACTAAGAGCACGAATAAACCATCAGCGAGAGAAATATTTTCTGAACCACAACATGACACCAGCACGGAAGAGTATATCGGGCGAGGAGATTCATCAAGAGCACCGAAGCGACAACGAGTCGATGATAATTACAACTCTTATGGTGGAAGAAATGAAAATACAGCAGCTTACGCTTCCGGAAAGCTTCCATCTGGAAGTATAAATGTTGGAGGAGGTAGGAAGACAACTTTTCAAGAAGAACCTAGAACAGCATTCGTCGCTGGCAAATTGCCTCCTGGAAGTATCAATATTGGTGGAAAGAAGGCTACCCAAATCGAGGACGAGGGTAGAGCAGCGTATGCTTCCGGAAAATTGCCTCCAGGCAGTATAAATTCTGGCGCAAAGAAGGCCATTTCATTCCAGGATGAAACGAGACCGGCTTATATCTCTGGAAAGCTCCCGCATGGCAGTATCGATGGTATGCGAAACCGCGAAATGGCTGCTGTCCACCGCGAAATTGCTGAGGGTGGGAGGAAACCAGGCCAGGTTGTCTCGTCTCTATTCACATTCAATCCCACTTCAAAGAAAACTTTCGACGAGCCTGGAGAACAAGCGGAACCAGCAAAACCATCCAATGCACCTTTGACAGAGGAAATGGCGACATTCACCAACCTAGGACTATCGAGAAGGCTTGCAGCCCATTTATCGACTAAACTCGATATGAAAGCTCCAACCGCCATTCAAAAAGCATCTGTACAGCAGCTGATATCAGACGATAGCGATGCATTCATACAAGCAGAGACTGGATCCGGAAAAACCTTGGCATACCTACTACCTATAGTTGAGCGGATATTGGCGTTGAGTGAGAATGGCGTACAGATACATCGAGATTCCGGACTTTTTGCAATTATTCTTTCACCCACAAGAGAACTGTGCAAACAAATTGCAGCTGTGCTGGAGAAAGTTTTACGCTGCGCGCCATGGATTGTTGGTACGACTGTTAACGGAGGAGAAAGTAAGCAATCAGAAAAAGCCAGACTTCGCAAGGGTGTCAATATTCTTGTTGCAACACCGGGAAGATTGGCAGATCATCTCGATAACACAGAAGTGTTGAACGTAGCCACTGTCAGATGGTTAGTGTTAGATGAAGGAGATAGATTAATGGAGCTTGGGTTCGAGGAAGAGATTAAAGGAATCGTTGAGAAGATAGGCAGAAGATCAGTTGCTAAAGCAAATTCGGATATGGGGTCACTTCCGAAGCGCAGAGTTACTATTTTGTGTTCTGCTACAATGAAGATGAATGTTCAGCGTTTGGGAGAGATCAGTTTGAAGGATGCTGTGCACATTCAAGCGGATCCTTCTGAGCAAGAGAAACAAGACAAGGAAAATGGCATTGAAGTCCAAGATAAAGCATTCTCTGCCCCTACGCAATTGAAGCAGTCATATGCTATTGTTCCCGCAAAACTCAGACTCGTTACCCTGACGGCTCTTTTGAAACGTGCTTTTGCACGAAAAGGATCCGTGATGAAGGCAATCGTTTTCATCTCTTGTGCTGACTCTGTTGACTTTCACTTCTCGCTCTTCTCTCGTACCCCAGAAGCTTCGGCTGAGGCTGTGGACGAGGAGAAGGTTGATCTTCCTGCATTGCCAAAATCAGAATTGGTCAAAGAGACCATTGCGCATGGGACTACGATTTCAAACAATTCCAACCCTGTAATTTTACACAAACTTCACGGATCTCTTGCACAAAACATCAGAACAGCAACACTCAAGGCATTTTCCGAATCTACGGAACCTTGTGTGATGATATGTACTGATGTTGCATCTCGAGGTCTTGATCTTCCAAATGTTGACTTTGTCATCGAGTATGATCCACCTTTCAGCGCGGAAGATCACCTACATCGTGTTGGCCGAACAGCTAGAGCTGGTCGCGAGGGTCGTGCTTTGATCTTCCTTATGCCTGGCGTCGAGGAGGAATATGTTTCTATCTTAGCATCCGGATACCGTGAAGGAAAGAAAGCCCTGACACGTCACACTGCTGAGGATTTGATACAGAAGGGTTTTGGTGGCATAGGTCGCGAATGGGAAGAGAGAGCTACAAATTTTCAACTTGAAGTTGAACGATGGAGTTTGGACTCACCAAAATATCTTGAGATGGCACGCCGTGGATACCAGAGTCATATTAGGGCCTATGCCACTCACGTCGCAAATGAGAGACACATATTCAATATGCAAGAATTGCACTTGGGTCATTTGGCCAAAGCATTCGCCTTGCGAGACAAACCTGGAAGCATAAAGGTACCAGGATTGAGGCCATCGAAGATGACCAAAGCAGATAGAAGTGTCGCGGCCAGGAAGGCGAAGAGGGGCGAGAAAGCAGAAGATAAAGCTCCCGAGGGAGAAAGGGTGCGTAAACAAAAGAAAATGGAGTTGGACTTGCCTACTGTAGATGGCAATGAAGCTGCCGCGAGGATGAAGAGGAAGATGAAGGAGCACATGGCTGCTGCAAGCGAGTTTAATATTGGTTGAGTGACTGTCCACTCTATTTGAGTACCGAAACGAATACAAAGGCTCAAACTAATGACAAGATTTTATCCAATCATATCCATGACATTCATTTTCTTACAACTTCTCCCTATCTAAACCACCCCAACATAAAACCCCTGCAATACTTTCCCAGCCTCGTGCACAAAGTCAGGCTATTTAAATATGCCACGATCAGCAGTGGATAAGCTATCGCACAGAAATACAATTCTCAGACATTGTAATTGATTGTTAGGCGCCAAGTCGCAAAACCCCAAAATTTGCTAGACGTTATATTAGACGACATTGTTCTTACAAAATGGCGACACCAAAGGCTTTATTAACGCAGGTTCCATTTCTTAGCGAATCATGTCGAGAAGTGGATATCGTCAACACTACCAGCCGTTACGTATATGAGATGCTTGGTGCAGCTAAGAGTGGATGTGTTCTTTGCGACATCATACTCAAGTCCTTAAAATTACAGGGACTTGAGGGCCAGTCTTCTGAGTCTGTGAAATGCCATGTTTCGATTCCAAAACATGAAATAAAATGGAATTTATATAAGTATAAATTTTCCTTGGGTATTTATACAACAGAAGGTTAGACTCTGTTCCATTCGGTGAAGATATCAAGCTAAATGACTTTTTTCAAGACGATCCACTGGCTGAACGTGTACTCTTGAGACCAATATCGACAGATGTTTCATCAAAGGAGAGCTTCAACATCATTTCTATCTGGTTAGGGCAATGTCTCTCGCACCACACGGATTGCCGAAATCGAGGTAATACTGAAAAAAGGTTACCACCAACCAGGGTTATTGATGTTCAGTCCGAAAACGAGGATCCCTTTTTGGTAGAAACTAATCAAACACATGGCAACTGGGTTGCTTTGAGCTATTGTTGGGGCTCTTCACCTACAGCAATAACAACCAGGCGAAATTTTCAACAGCATTGCAACAAAATATCTATGTCTGCCCTTCCTCAAACCATAAAGGATGCTATTACTATTACTCGTCGACTTGGTTATCAGTTTCTTTGGATCGATTCGTTGTGTATTATACAAGATTCCCCTGAAGATTGGGCTGTGGAGTCACTCAAAAATGGCCGATGTTTATGGAGGCGCCTCTTTCACAATCGCGGCAGAAGCAGCCATAGATACTGCTTCTGGCATCTTTGACAGCACCAATGTTTTCCGCCAACAGCAGAGCCAAATTTTCAATTTCTCGGTCAAAGGGTATCATCCCCTTTATCCTAGAGACAACGGGAGGCTATATATGAGGGATTCCGTAGACTTGCAACCATCTACACTTAAAAGCTGTCTGAAAAATCGTGCTTGGGCTTTGCAGGAAGATTTAATGTCGCGGCGCTTGATTAGCTTCGGGAAAGAACAATTGTACTGGAGATGCGCCACGCGAGAACTCATCGAGGCATATCCCTCTCAGCCATTGAACTCTATAAAATTACAGTTATCGGAAGACTACCACACCGATTTTGTATCCCGGAATATGAAGTCAGGTAATACGACATTGCCTTCGTGGTACGGTATCGTGAATGATTATACTAGTCGTCGTATATCCGTTCAAAGCGATTTGTTAGTCGGTATTTCGGCTATTGCCAAGGTTATGGCCGAAGAGATGGGCCAGCCCCCGGCTGCGTACAAAGCAGGTCTTTGGGAACATGCCTTCCTCGAGGGTCTTCTTTGACGAAGGTTACACAAATGCGATCGTCCACTCATACGACATGCTGAATATATCGCGCCATCTTGGAGTTGGGCTTCGATCAGTGCCAGCGATACTTCAACCCGTCGTATATATCCAAACGCAGTCACAGACGATGAGCCAAGTCGTACAGATGCTAGGATCATAGAAATTGTCATCGAGCATGAGAATGACGATCACTTCGGGAAAGTAAGTGGGGGACACGTTAAGCTCTCAGGGCCAACTTTGGAAGTCTGTTGCGCTAAAATACCACCGTTAATTTGGGATAGATCTGAGGATGCAGCGAATGTCCACGCTGCCAGTATCGGAGGAGATGCTGGACATTTGGCATTGCCTGGGTTTTATAATCAAACCTGCGTGTGGGAACACCATTTAACTGCGGATGGATGTAAAGAGCCTCACCCAAAGGTGCTGCTTATCAACATTTCAACATTTTCTAATACCAGGAACGATTTGATCCTGAACGTTTTGATTCTTCAGAGTACCGAAAGTCATGACGTATATCAACGGCTTGGGTGCCTCAATATGTACGCTGTTTACTTTGGTTCCACTGTCGAGCATCCAGATTGGACAACAAGAGAGATAACAATCATATGAGTATCACGAAGCTGGGGTCTCATCGATAACTCGTCAAAGTCAAAGAGCACCATTTGCTCCTATGTTTAATACGTACATGAATTTATCGGAAGGAGCAAAATTGCGGCTTTTGTTCTCGACCCCGAATAGCCATTAAGCTTCAAAGCCCGACTGAGACACGTATTGGAGCAGACATGAGGACAGAAATCCAATTATCCGTGATCTGGGAAAGAGTCTTGGAGGGTTTCTTGAAGATAAATGTCATACTGATTTCATTTCATTTCATTTTATATATACACACTCTCTTGAGGATTATTCTACCAGTCATCGGACATTATTTTCTGAAGTCAAAACGAGAGAGGAGGCGAGGTAATATTCTTTCATTAGTCTTTACATAGCTATTATCTTCTACTATGACCAATACACAAGTATTTTCTCTATCCATCTTTTTCCCTTCCGTCAACATTTCCTTTCCTCACGAGCAAATTTCTGAGGTAAGCGTTTGGAAGAATCTTTTGAAGAAGTGGGGAAACATAACAGCGTGCTTTATAAATCCACGATGAGGGGGATGAGATGGATTTCGAGGACATCCTTTCAGAGCGAATATCTTTTTAGCAATGAATGAATTTAATTAATATACATCAATGGCATATAAAAAGAGCAGGAGTCGAGACAATCCAATATTCACATATTCCCCTGACTAGTAGGTTGACATGATCCTTTTGTGCCCCTTTTTCTCGCTAGCTCCATCATGGCCGCTCGGGATTGATTACACAGTGAGTGATTTCGATGTGCTGTTTTGTTTGTTGGTCATTGATGTATAATAATGGGAATTTTGAAGACTCTGTCATTGGAAAAGTATTGAGGCTTGATAAAAATATGGTAGAAGCGCATCATTCTTCCTCATTCTTATCTAAACTTTTTCTAACCTTAGGCTTTTTACCTACAACTCCTTTATCTGTGCTATTTTTATCCATGATAATCTTGGTTATACTCCTTTTCTTACTCCGTACAGTTTACTGAATCATGCTACCTCTACCTGTACTCTGTCTATTCAAGAAGCCAGGACTCAAGTACAAAAACTTCAGCGAAAACATTGATATCATTGACAAAGCCTTCATACTCAATTCCTAGATTTATCGACCCCGCCAAAATTCTTCAATTGGCAGACCAACAAACACCAGATGAATCCCATTCTCCCCAAAATCCTTGATCATATCAATTTTCCAAGTCTCCCCAACCTGAAAAATCTCGATCACGTGTACGAACTTGACCTCTCTCAACGCAAAACTTGGAACAACTTCTTTATGTCTCTTCAGCCATAGCAACTCCCCGGTGAGAGTCACGCAACCAAGGCTAGCTTGACACCACAATTCCAGAGTCTCTAGAGAGTTCGGCAGAATTTCGTGTAAACGGAGATGAACCGAGTGGCCCTCCCAACCTATCAACAAATCCAGCTGCATCTTCATGTGTTTTAAACAGGAGAATTGTGTAAAGACGGGAGCAGTTAATATCCTGCGGTACGTATAGTCAGATATGGATCTGTGGATCCCCATCAAAGATAGAGACTCCAAGCTATCTCTATGCACAAAGATGCCTTGCATAAGTTCGTCAAGAAATCCGGGAACGACTAAGGAATCAACACGCCTCCCGTCGCAGAACATGTCTTTCGAATTTCCATCGTATGAGAAATGCTTTAGCTTCTTGAATATGGGAAAAAATATTCTCCAGTTCCTGAAATGGACTTCGAAATTATACTTGAGATCTAGAGATTCTACCGCACATGATCTCAGGTTTGTGACCTCATGAGAGAGCGACTCTGATTGGAATGCAAAGCCATCGACCTTCAATTTCTTAAGGGTAGGTATTTTCATAAAGATATCGAGCAGTTGTGCATTCAGTCTTGTGTAAATGACCCCTCTCGGATTTGATCTGCGGGCAATTACAGCAACGTAGTGGAGTTCTTCAAGTGAGACATATTTGGGAGGCCCTACGACTGTGAAGATCTGCCCCCGCCAATGATGATCTGGAACATTCGCACCTGAATTATTCATCCTAATCTGAAGCTTTTGTATGTAGGGGCTCAGGATAGTGAGTATGAATATCAGTAACTCAAGGTAATTCTGAGAAATATTCACGTCTAATAGTCGTTTGAATGCTTTTGCAAGATCTGCCACATATGTTGGGCAAGGTTGCCTTGTCTCTACTGCTCTAGTCTCATTATCTGGTCGGTTTTGTAACCTGTAAAGCTCGTCTGGCAGACGATCTATTGCAGTTTTCAAGAATGGGACATTCGCGAGCATCTCCATGTGTTGATCTCTACTTAAGGAAACACGAGAGATTCCGTAACCCCACGTAATGGAAACAAATTTGAAATTAGGCCACCGATCCGGTCGCAATATGAGCAGTCGAACAAATTTGCTCAATTTGCGAATGGATTTGATGCCATTTCTGTTGCTGTATCGGGAGTAGAGAAGGGATTCGCATATTCTGTTAAAATGCCTGCATGTTACTGCAAAGCTATATACACTCTTATCAAGTTGGAAGGGCGAATAGCTTTCGCGAAGGATCTCAACAATCTCGGTTAGGATCTCTGGAGGGATTTTTTCAATGGTTGACATGATTGTGTCGAAAGATTCGAACACGTTTGGAATATATAGAATGTATCACAGTCTATGCGTGAAAGATTATACACCCAAGGGGTTCTTATTTGAAGTAGGGAAATGTGATGAAACTACCTAGAATACCCAGAAAACAGGCATTTCTAGAAAAATGAGAGGTGAGATTGTTTGATAAAGATAGCAGCGTTGGTTCATCCCGCTCCTGGCTAAGTCAAGCCGAGCTAGGGGCTATATCAATTGAACTTTGAAGTAAACCTGCTCCTTCTACTTTCATATTGCCTATTTCAAACTCTCAGCTCGCACCTTCTTTTCGTGCCTTTGCTTCCTCTGATTTTGAGAATTCTCTATTGTTATTCTGTGACTATGCTGTGGAAGAAGTAGTTTGCTATGGTAATTAACTCCTCTTGCACGGAGACGAGTCAATATTGTTAATGTTTTCGGTGACTTCAATATTCAGTACCTTGAACATCAAGGAAGTGACGAGAGAATTGTTTCTGCATGAAATCGGCATTCTTTTGATTACCTACCTTAATTTCAATTTCTAAACTGCACATTCTATAACTCACCTCTATCCCAAACATAAGATGATGCAATTGCCATCTACTTAATCTACTTAAGCGGTCTGAAATGAGAACTCACCACACATGGGAGAAGAACACCGCCGGAGAGATCCTACAGAAGACCACGACAGAGGAGTTCATTGCACTAAACTTGCGCGTCTTGATGGAAACAGAGAATTGAACGCCAAAGAAAGCAAATGACTTGCCAAACACACAAGAGGCAGATACAACAATACAAAAACTACATTCCATTCAACGAAAGGTGGAAAAAACCTCACAGCTTCATCATGCGAGGCGTCCCAGGCTCAGACTCAAGACATGGCTGATGAAGATGGCAGCCCATTTCCCTTCGCAACCCTACGACAACTTGCCGACCTAATAACGAGATAAACATTCCGAGCTCTCAAAAACACCACACATAATATATCTCAAACCTTACCATCAAGATGTACAACCACGTCTCATTTTCGACGCCCCATAGAACTTCCCACAATAACCATCCTTCAAGTTTCCAATTACAAATAGTAGTGTTTCTTCCCTTGTCTGCCCTCCAAATCCTGAATTTGTCTTCAGACCGTGGAGAAAATATCGATCGAATTCGAATATCCAGTATCCCTCCTCCACAAGAAAACAAATCATGACCTCCACAATATAAACGCATAAAGAAATGCGATCACTATCGTACGAAAATATCTCGATGCGTATCATAGCAAAGACCCATCATTCATAAACAAAAATCCCACCCTATCAAATCTACGAATATATAGACCCCCCCCCCTCAAAAAACATCATGACCTCAACACCAAACATTCCCCCCTTTCTACCACGAAAACACCACCCTGATCACCACCCTCACACTAGCCTCAAGTCCCAACACCACATCACATAACATCACACCCCCCCCTTCAAACCCCAGAAAACTGTGAAACCCAAGGATTCTGTTTCTCCTCACGAAATTCAAATCTCTCTACCTTGTGTTTGAATTCCCATGATCTTCTCCTATTACTCATTAATCTGATGATTAGATATGCGCAACGAATGAAATCCGAATCAAACACGTACTCAAATCAAAGGATACTTAAACAAGTAATTGTCAGTTTCATTTTTGAGTTTTGACCGGAGTGGTCCCGCGGTAGCTGTGTTGACTTTATTGTTAGGTATGTATTCATATGTGCTAGCTAGTTTTCAGATTGCTCGAGGGTATATCTATTGCTCACATGAGTATATTTGGGGATAAATGCGACGATGTTAATGATTCTTGTATATATTACCATATTCCATTCTCCGCACTCATTCATATATGCGTATACTCATCACCAAACTCCAGTACCTAATAGAAATCCATTTGAACACCCAAAGAAATGCAATTCATGTTCTTTCTCCTCCTCCTCCTCTTTTACCTCCTCCTCCTTTACCCCACCCCTCTCTCTTCTTTACCTCTTTTTCCCTTCCCTTTCCCTCATTGCAATCTCCATTTCCATCTTAATCTCCGCCTCTCATCCTACACTCCACCTAAAAATCCCCCGTCCCTCTAACCCTATTGATCGCGCCCAAAAATCCCTTCGCCCAACTAAACCTCCCTGGGTCAACTCCAATAACATCTTTCGCTTCCTCTCCCCTATCATCTCTCCAAATACCATCACTCTTCCCCACCTCCCCATACAAATGCGTATTTTGATTTCTCCTCAATCCATCAATCCATCCCTTACAAACCATCGCGCTATCAATCATGACGTTGATTTCCTGACTATGGAACCAACTCTGTGTGTCTTGATTTCCGTTGCCTTGAATACCGATATGTTCATCTACGATCATTACTTTGATATGGCAATCGCGAAGCTTCTTTTTGGCTACTAATGGGGTGGTTTGGTCTTTACCCACGTAGAAAAAGTAGTGGAGATGCTGTTTCCCAGCATCGGAGAGAGTGGTGTACATTTTATGGGCGATCATTTCGTTGGTGCCACCTTGCATTGGGAGGAGTTCACCCTAGGGTCATTGATTAGAAACATTCCATGAAGTGGTTGAGGAACGTGGGTGTATAAGACTTACAGTATCATTATATCCAAGACAAATATAGCAATAAACATCAATGCCCCTCTCACAAGCATTGATAATTTCCGGAACCAAAGGCTCCGCATTGAGTGTTGGACTCTGGATAAACACGTTCTTGGTAGCATTTCTCAATGCAGAAAGCCAAACCTCATTTTGAGGGTTATACACAGAACTATGATTTGGGGATCCATATGGTTCACGACAAACCATAGCAATGGGGAATGGTTCATGAACCGGATGAGGAATGTAAGGAGTCATCTCCTCCTGTGGTGCACAATCTGGTGCATTCCCTTTGAAGCCTGTGTTTTTAGTGTGGTTGAGATGACGAGTAACAGCTTCAACTCTGGTTTCTCCATTCTTGGGAGATACGGCAGTTTGGACTCGGGCTACTTCGCCGGCGATATCTTCGTCGTAATGAGGGTCATCAGTCGTGTGTTCTGGGAGAAGATTGCCGGATGGTGAAGGATGTTCAATTTGTGATTGGGGAATTACTTGGGTGCCATTACTCAAGAATTCTTGAGTCTCCATGTCGGGTCCGTTGACTCCATGCTGAGCAAGAGTACCATTCTCAGGGACATTTTTCGGGCCATCTTTAGTGTGAACAACGTGCTCAGCATCTCCTGTTGTTGCAATTGCTCTTGCATTTTCGGCCATGATTTCTGTAGTTTTGAGATCTTTAACTTCGAATCCAGGATGAGTATTTTGATCGCCATTCAATTGAACCTGTCTGACTCCGTTGCCAAGGTCTTCTAAGTTGTCAGAGTTTCCAACAGGGTGTGTGATACCCTCAGTCGTTGAAGGTCCTGTACCTACATTTCCATTGACTGTAGACTCGGGGTGAATATAACCAGGCTGATTTGAAGCTCGGGGCTCATATGAGTAAGCGGATTGTGCCTGCATTCTTTCTGGGTGGACCACAGCTGAGTGGCCTCTGATTGCTCCATTTTGATCAAAAATTTCATTGTGACCTTTGTTTTCAAATGATCTCAGCCCACCCTGAACCGCAGGGGAATTATGACTGGGCAATGGCGGCTCAAACTTCTTATGCCAAGAAATCAAAGCCATGTCGTACAGCGAATCAACAATTGGTCCTTCCAAATGTGTCATCATCTCCATGTTGTCGTTATCCTGAATATTGTTGCTTTGGAGGACAGCAAATTTTCTATCCACAACCATGTATTTGCAGTGGAATGTTCCGAGCATAGGTCTGTGATAGTTCATGACCTGGAGGTCGATGTTTGGAATATCTTCTGCAGCAGGAAGCGCAACAGCTTTTCCCAAATATTCCTTCTCCGGAACGAAATAATGATTGTCGAGCAATTGTTTTGCACTTCCTCTATCATATTGTAGTTTGAATACGATTCTTTCACCTCTCTCACCAGCTCTTCTAGAAAGCTCCCTCATGGCATTTGTAATGTATTTCGAGGCAACCGAATTCTGCCAATAATTTGTTGCTAAGATAACTTCTTTCTCGGCTCGGACAATTAGATTTGACATATGTCGCATGATATCCGGTACTCTGAGAGTTTTTTCTCTCGTTAGAATTTTTCTTTTGAAAAGGGGGAGATCATCCGATACAATTTGGGGAAGAGTGAGTGGTACATACACTGAAATAACACTCAATGGCATAACACCAGAACTACCCATCAATGGCGGACTGACCATACAATTGCTAACGCTATTGTCCAGAGTACATAACGCATCGTGATACATCTGCCAATTGTTAACAGTGATCCCTAATGATCAGATAAAGGCCTCTTACTTTTAAAAAGAGTTCACTTGGCTGAGATGAACCCCAATTTCCGCACTCCAGCGCTCTTTGCAAATCTTCTGGTGTAATTGTATCGCGATGTCTCCTGGCCTCATTCTTACTCTCCTTCTCACCTGCCGCATGGCCTCCGTACAATTGCTTCCATGCATCACCTGGCGCCATAGTAGGATCCTTTGCGAGTAATGAGGAGACCGTCTCCCGGCTCGTACAGAGCTTGTAAACTTTATCTGATATCATGGCTCCTGGTTTTCTTTCTGGTTCTTTCTCTTCGGAATGTGCAGTATGTTCAATCGATTGTTTATCTTTTGGTATCAATTCTCGCTGTCGTTGAATTGTTAAAGCGCTATACGGAAATATCACAAACAGTTGTATAAATAAAGTTACAATGGCTTCGAGATTTTGATAGAATGTCATGGTGAAGCAAGAAAAAGACAAGAGAAGAGGGGGATAAATCAATAGTTATTATATTGTCAATTAAGAAAAAATGTTATTTAGAGCAACGTCGGAATAAATATTTAGTAAACGTTTACTGATGGATTCGTACCTGCTCTTCCTCTTTTCCACGCGTTTTTACCTGTTTTTGATATAACGTCGCATTCGGATTCGATGAATTTGGATGATTGGAGGGGCTCCAAAGGGTTATGACGCTGAAAATACCAGGATAACAATCAAGCTTTTGCCAAGTTATGTTTAAAATCTTGGCAACGCATGAATTTGTCGATTTTAAGGCTGATTTGATATAAATAAGTGGTAAAAGGAGTGGAAGAGAGGGAAGGAAAAAAAGAAACCTTGATTAATCCTGGTTGATCATATCTGAAGTGGTTTTTTTTCTTCTCTGGATTCTCAACGGCTTTCCAAGTCTTGGCATTAAGGGTTCCGGGGAAATCCTTTTCTATTTGGTGGTATGCCGTGGATTGTAGGCAATATCTGCGAATGAGAGGATTGTTGATAGATATTCCACCATACATACATCTTTGATATACATCTTGGTATGTATGTATGTGCAGATATAGATTGTTTCTGCCAGGTAGAAGTCAAGGTAGATAGGTAAGATTCTCTGCAAGCAAGTTCTTAGTGACATCCTTTTCCTCAATCAGTCAATTCAATTCAACAAATGACGTCGGAGGTTCGGATAACATTGCCGAGTATCTTTTCTCGGAAATGTACGCTGCAGGTGCCCAGGTGTACCTCGAATATCTGACTAAGCGCATTTTTATACAGCACCAGCCACAAACAGCACAGCCACAAATATCATAGCCACATCTCGAGTCACCCTGGGGCCATCTAGGTACCCCGGCCCCGACCTAGGTAGCATTTTCTCAAGATCCAGACCGTCTCAGATTCTTCCCTCACAATATAATTTACATCCCCCAAAACATGTCGTCCAATCCACCCTCCGATCCTCCATCGCGCACCACAACGCCAAACCCACAGTCGCGCTTTACATCGCAATCAAAAACCGTTGAAGATGTTCTCAGTACGCAAACCGTGGGATTGGTCAAGCTGTCTGATTTTCGCAAACGCAGAGCGGAGGCGGTAGAGATGAAGGAGAGGGATGCGCACGAGATTGGAAGTGGAAGGAGTGGAGCTAGTACACCTGTGGGCGACGGGTGAGTTTGTTTCGATTTCTTTTGCGCTTGGGTTCAAGGGAGAGGGAATGTCAGAAGCGCGAGATGAATCGCATGCTTTGAGTATTGCGAATAGGACTAATAGCATTAGTACAGTGCCTCCACACCCACCGATCATCAATCTGGTCCCCTGAAGAAAAAGAAAAAGAAAGCAGGAACACCCAAATTATCATTCGGAGTCGATGACGAAGAAGGAGGAGAAAATACCGAGTCTGAACCTTCACGATCCGCAACTCCAGATATTCCAAAGAAGAAGAAAATAGGCGTCAATTCTAGTGTTTCGTTCGTCCCCAAAACGCTGACTAAGTCTGCATTGTTGAAGGAAGCGCAAACGCGAGAATCGTTACGGAAAGAGTTTCTGGCAATTCAAGAAGCGGTCAAGGGAACTGAGATTGCGATTCCGTTTGTCTTTTATGATGGGACAAATATACCGGGTGGAGTAGCGAGGGTGAAAAAAGGAGATTTTATTTGGGTTTTCTTGGACAGGAGTAGGAAAGTTGGAGCCGAGCTAGGGGTTGGAGAGAAGGCGAACAGCAATAGAGAGTGGGCGAGAGTCGGTGTAGATGATTTGATGTTGGTTAGAGGGGGTTTGATTATTCCTCATGTAAGTTGTCTTGCCTTTGCTTTGAATTTTCGGATACGTATTGGATATAATGCTCACTATATTGGTTTCTAGCACTACGATTTCTACTACTTCATCATAAACCATACCCTTGGACCCAATAACCAAGTCCTCTTCCCTCATAGTTCTTCACCGCCTCCTAGCGCCTCGATAACCCCTCTCGACACCGATTCCCCTATTCCAGAATCCTACAACCCACTTTCACGTCCTTCTGCTTCCAGTGGCACCAAAACCCCCACAACGAAAGTCGAAGATTTAGAGGGATTTGGCGATGATCCAACTTTCACAAAGGTAGTGGATCGCAGATGGTATGAGAGGAATAAACATATCTATCCAGCGAGTGTATGGCAAGAATTTAACCCTGAGAAGGACTACCAGACCGAAGTTAAGAGGGATGCTGGCGGAAACGCCTTTTTCTTTTCTTGAGGGCATGCTCTGTGTGTCCCGGTGGTATAAATTGGAAGTGCGGAGGTCTATCGAACTTGTATAATTGTAGCGGAACCCGGAGCGCTTTGGATGAACAAATTGAAGAATACATGCATGGATAGACAGGAAGCCTTTAGACAGAAAGGAATATGAAACCTGGATAGAAACAAAGAATTAGCTTTCAAAATAACATAATAACTTCAGCGCGAGTTCTTACCCCATTTGTCCAAAGTTTCCTGCCGAATCTTCCTCTTTTTCCCATTCGCATTGATTCCCCCTTTTCGATTTCTTCGTTCCCTTGTATCTCAATACCAAAATTCCCATTTCCGCTTTCCACCCTCCCCAACCCTTCAGCCCCAAACCCACCACACGCCCCCCACCACCCCCAAAACCGGTATCCACCCAGGCCACAATAGCAAAAGCATGAGATTAAACCCGCCTCCTAACATAAACAATGCGAATTCAAACGCTAGACGACGAGCTAAAAGATCGATATATTTGTAGATCGAGAGGAGGATAGTAAAAGTAGTGGATGTATTGGGAGTACCGTTTGTAGAAGAGGGATTGCTGGTCGAGGAGGGATATCGGTAGGACAGTGAGAGGGTTTTGTAGAGGGGACGGAAGGTGGGACGGAGGGCTGAAGATGAGGAGGAGGATGGAGATGAAGATGTTGATTTAGATTTAGATGTAGATTTTGAAGTCGAGGAAGAGGGCGCCAGAGAGGGCGTAAAAGAAAGAGAAGGAGATTTGCGGTGAGCCTCTCCACTCAAGGGAGTTGGTTTTGTGAGGAGTTGGAAGTTGGACATTTTGCCTATGAATCTTCCTCTCTCTTCTTCTTTTTCGTAGCTCTATATGTGAATATGTAACTTTAGATATATGTACTCGTACAATCGAGAAAACCGTAGACCGCAGATGAAAAACTTCAGCAATGGGATTTGAGGAATTCGATAGTCAGTTAGCATCCTATTTAAATAAAAAAACGCACAGATCTTTTTCATGTGATGATCTGGGGGGTAGCAGTGGGGCTGTCAGGGGTTTCGTTTGGAAGAAGGAGGAAGAATTATGACGTCGTGGGAATTAGGATGGTTTCAGTTCTTTTGGTTTCGATGGATTGGGTGAGTTTGTTGATTTAGAGTTGGATTTGGGAAAATGATGCGTGGAGAATAGATCTAAATCTAGATCTTGTGATCGTGAAAAGAGTGTAGATTCATAGAAGTATTTGATTGAAGCTGGGATACAGTGATGTGGAATGAAGTCGTAAAATTACGTTATCCCATGAATAAAGATAGACAAATAAGGCCTATGAATAAGCAAGGATAGAGAAAGATTTTAAAGATTGTATAATTCATCGAGAACGCTTCGGCCCCTGGCCAAATATATAGTTGATGATTTTTGTTTCCACGAGTGAACTTGGTTTGCTGCAGGCTTTTTTGCAAGCGATGTTTCGATAGGAGAGAGAAGTGATGTGCATAAACAGCGGTGCATGCATATGCAGTAGATATATGTCCCGACGCCGTGCCCCTTGTAATTGGCAAACCTAAGCTTATCGCGACGGCTCGACTCTTCACTTCGTAAGTGGGGAAAGGTCGTGCAAAGTGTAGCGCGAAGCGGAAAGGTATATGTCTCGGTCTCGGGAGTAGTTTAGAACTGGAAAGAGTTCCAAGTATCAACGAAGAATACGAGGGTCAAGTCAAAAATGAGCTCTCCTTTCATGGAATAATGAGCAACCTGTGTAATACAGTACGATGGTACAGTAAGACAAACGTGTCTAAGACTCCTTCCCTCCAACCTTGTACAAGGGAAGTGTATTTGAGACTCGCCGCATTTTCGATCAGTCGGTAGCTTACAAAAGAAGAAGAGAAGAAGTAGAAAAGTAAGAGATCGTGGAGAAATTATAGGGCAGTATTGATTAGTGAGTTGGTTGGTTTGACCTTATTCGAGGCCATATTTCGTACGGGATATTGACTTTAAAATGGCCAGGATGGAGGTCGCAATCGACATAAGCGAATAAAAGGAGAGGACTAAGAACATGTGGGGGGATCGATTCGTGGGGGGAAATCTCGGGTAAGAGTGTTAAGTATACAATGGGGTATGAATTCGTCTATACAAGTATCATCGTGGACTTAACAAATGGTATCATGTGAGATCAATATATGAAGCACGAAGATAAGAATGGTGTAGACCTTGTGAAACAGATCATGTTCTTGTGATCGAATGGGTGCACAAAGCACGCCCGGTAGGATTCGTTGTGATAGGTGAAGGTGCGGTATAGCAAAGCCATAATTAGATTCTAGTATCCTAGTACGTACCGGCTGCTTAGAAGTGTAAGAATGTAGAATACACGCCTCAAAAATGGCCAAATATGCACCAAAACATACTTACTCTCGAGATTAATAGACATTAAGGTGTGATCTCTGGTCCTGTCTTAGAGCCACAAAGCCTCGAATCTGAGTGCCGGCCAAATATTCGTAATCATGAATCCCCTCCTTGATTAAAATTCATGCTATACCCACCAGTCTTCTCATCTTTGACCATCTGGAAATTATCGGTGGATAATCCAAATGGCTTCAGTATTCCATTTCCGAACTATAAGAACACATTCCCAATTGTAAGCTTTTATGAACGAAAAAAATAAGACTTACAAGAATCAATCAAACTAACCTGCTTTAATTTCCCCATCATCTCGCCCATTTCTCTGTCTTGGGCTGCTTTACTTTTGGGTGGTAGAACACGAAGTTGTGTCTCAACTGTTTTGCGGTCGATGGCGGAGAGGTTGGTAAAGGTTGAAAGGAGTTTGTAATCTAGATTGCGGGGTGTGATGTGTTAGACTGAGACTCCGAGCACCACCATGAGACATGACATTGCCAATGAAGGAAAGAGAGGAACGACTGTACCTTCCACGGCGCCAGCTAAAGTAGACCATCCATCCTGTTCACTCCTAGCCCTCGCCCTTCTCATCAAAGCTTTTGCTCTTATTCTCTCAATGTCCTTTGCTCGACTCTCTTTCGCATCATCAATATTCTTTCCTCTGGTATCCTCCGCTTTTGCAGCCCCCTCACTAATGATTTCCTCGTCTGCTTCTTCCTGTTCTTTCACCTCCTCTTTTCCTGCTTCTTCATCCTCATCCTTTTTAGTCTCCGTCGCCTCGTCTTTCTGCAATCTCTCGAGCCCATCTAAAGCTTCCGAACTTGCTTTGGCAGCTTCCTTCCATGCCTCTAATTTCAAATGACAAGCCGCCACATTACTCTTCAATACCGCTCTCTCATATTCTAGATATTTCGGACACGTTGATAACGCGCTTTCATAAGTATCGATAGCTTCTTTGTATAATTTCTGTGAAAATAGAGTGTTGGCGGCAGTTTTTAAAGAGTTAGATTCGGCGAGGAGTGACTATCATTTACGTCATTAGCAATAAGTAAATAGAATGCAGTTGCGCATCGCAAAATGGTGTGAAATACGCACAGCTTCTTCTTCTGGAGAGAATCTTAGGATTTCCTCAGCCTCCGCTGGTTCGTCATCAGCATCGCGAGGTTTGCGCTGAAACTTTTCGGTACGTGTCGTCATGGTGAATGAATGATTTTGGGCTGTATTCTGTAAGGTCTGCTGGCGTGGAGCATGTATGAACGGAAATGATACCGCATCGGCCGCACTGACCGCGTGTGATATTTACCCCGCCAACATCTTAACCCCCACACTTCACTCACGCCAGCTTTAGACTCTATTGACATCAGAGCTATAGTATAATACCGCAAATATGGCACCTCGAACAGAGTAGGTTTCTACACCGAAATCTTATTTCTCACTCAATTGAATCCCTCAAATTGCAAAACTCCAGCTAACATCATACCAGCTTTCCCTCGATCCGAGCATGTCTCTTCGACATGGACGGACTCCTTCTCGATTCCGAAGACAAGTACTCTATTGTTACCAACACCCTCCTCGAGAAATATAACAGACCACCACTTCCCTGGTCCATAAAAGCACAATTACAAGGCCGACCCGCAGCTTCTGCCAGCGAAATTTTCTTTGGCTGGGCCAACCTCCCAATTTCCCGTGAACAATACATCGAAGAACAAGAATCCCTCAAGCGAGAATTATTTAAAACCTGCATGCCGTTACCCGGTGTAACAAAACTCTTAGAAGAGCTAAAGCATGCGAGGTCAAAAGCAAAGGAAGGAGAGAAGGAAAGGAAGCTACATATTGCCCTAGCAACGAGTAGTCATAAGGAGATGTACGATGCCAAAACTATGAATCATGTAACACTTTTCGAAGTTTTTCCTCCACATCGAAAAGTTCTAGGTGATGATCCACGAATTGGGCCTGGACGTGGCAAACCTGCTCCAGACATTTATCGACTAGCATTGGACACTATAAATCAGAGTTTAGAAGAAGGAGAGGAGCCCGTGAGAGCGGAAGAATGTCTAGTATTTGAGGACTCTGTGCCAGGCGTAGAAAGCGGGAGGAGAGCAGGAATGAGAGTGGTGTGGTGTCCGCACCCGGAGTTAAAGAATGAGTTTGTAGGGAGAGAAGGAGAAGTTCTTGCAGGATCGACGGGAGAAGGAGGAAACTTGAAAGAAGATGGTGTTGTTGGTACTGTGGGAGATGGATGGGGTGATTACTTGGAGACCTTAGAGAACTTTCCCTACGAAAGGTATGGGATCTTGGTAAACTAGAAGGGAGATACTTAGACTTGCATAAAGATGCTTCACGATAGATCGTACAAAGTCGATAGACTTTTGATGGAACAGTATAGAGTTAAGATACCTTTCCAGTTAGCCCTGTATAATCCACTATATTGAAACTACTTAAGCATGGAACTACCATGTGTAAAAGAATTGCACAGACAAGGGATCAGTGATCGGTCGTGTGGTTTCTCCTGCATGAATCGAATCCCGTTCATTTTAAGGAAATGACGTGAGAGCAGTACTGCAGTATTCATTAGGGTTCCAAGAAATATCGGCTCGTCTAAACGAGCACCGTGAAGTGAAGAGATATAATGAATAGATCAGAGGTAGTCATCATTCATTCAACTCGATACGCTTAACTTCACTGCATTTATGAGATGCTTTGGCAAGTCACTATGAATATTCAAGTCAATTAACACCATTCAATTCTTCAGAGTCACCTTCATCAATTCAAATATCACGATTCCAAGTGTGCACATCAAAATGGTAAGACTCCATAGTCTCATTAAGGATTGAAGCCCTCAAAGGGTTGCAGACAAAAGAAAGTAAAGCTAGAATACAGAAAAGTCGTCCATTGCAAGCAATTGGAACAACGATCCAAAGAAAGAAAACTAAATACGGAGAAAGGGCACGAATGCAATGTCTCATGAATGAAAAGCCATGATAACTAAAAAGAAAACTGAAAAATTCCGCTGAAGAACCATAAAGAACGCTTTCAAGGGTATCTTTCCCAACTCCATCGCTATGCCTTATATCCTAGAAGAAATTGAGATAAGACCGCCAACACCTTGCAATGTAATGCCCGTCATTGTAGAACCATGCCAGTACCAGGAAAAAGTGACGTAAATGACGTGAATGCTATGCGAATGTGAAATGTTGTAAATTGCTCTGGGTATCGTTTTTCGAAAACTCCGCTTTATGAGTGATGCTGAATGTATTTATGCTGCAGTGTATCCTTTCGATTTGCATCTGGAAATAAGAAAAAAAGCGTTGGAAGAGACGTCAATGGATTGTTTGACACTGGACTCAGTAAGTCCAAATGCCAAATGAAATCATGCAAGACGGTAGAGTGGGTGGCATAATACAGACGAATGATATCTCTTTTGCGAGAAGTAAAATACTCGCTACTGGAGCTCATATGATACAGACATCAGTGAGTATTGCATGAGTCGAGGTAGAGAGTAATAATGGAAATGCATGTATGGTGTCAATCAGGTCAATATCTGAGCCCATAGAGTCAAGTTACCGCAATTATGACCTGCAAGAAGCAGGACTAGCGAAAATAAGTGTATGTATGGCGCTTTTGTTGTATGCACAATGACCCCTTATACGTTGAACGCTTTGATAATATCGAGTCGAAGTGAAATGCAGCCAGTAAATCGGAAGATGAAAAGCAAGAAATCAAAGGAAAGCGTTGGGAGTAGTGCAAACCAGCACTAAAAAGAAGCCATCTGAATAAGTTACTGTCTATGATAGACAGTGAGAATCCAGAGTACAATTGGAGGAATCAAAAGGCTGATGAATCAACAGAGCAAATTCCAGCTAAAAACCGGTCGATGACTGAAAACTGAACCTTGAATCTATTGCGAGCTTTGTTGATTAGAGCAGTCCTCCGGGTCTGGGTATGTTCCATCGCTATGTTGAGTGTTGAGAGTGGGCAAATGTGGACTTTGTGAGACAAGGCCACCATTATGACCAAGCTGAGGAGTGGTGTAAGGACTGCTTGGGACAGTGTGACTAGGGTTGTAGCTAGGAGTCGGACCTCTGAAAGAGGTGGCATAGCCAGTTTGGGTTGGACCAGGAAATCCAGGACCATCATTGAACATGGTACCGCCTTGAGGATTAGAACCAAAAGTGTTGAAGTTGTAGCCCGGGTGGTGAGCGAATGGTTGTCGATTACCCATATGTCCTTGTTGAAAAGAGCCATCATTAAAGCCCCTACTGGTGGAAGCAGCTAAGTGAGGTAGATGACTGGCATGCTGATAACGATTATGGCTGTATGGATAACAATGATCATATGCACTTGAACGTTGATAGTAACCATGATCAACTTGTTGATATTCAACGGGGGGCTGACGTGCTTGAGGCTTGAAATTGTTGTTATCTGCAATCATTTGTGGGGTGCCATGAGACTCAATACTGACAGGAGCAGGATATCCAGCGTGAAAACGCACAGCATTCATAGCAGAACCAAGCGCCATGCGATCTTCTTGTGACTTGGGCTTGAAGGTCCTATTTCTATGTGGCATCAATTTTCCGTCTACGTAATCTCCGCGCAGCTTAGCAAGCGGCATCAATGACTTGATGATGATAGAAAAGTGGTCCACACGGTTGTCATTCTTGTCCTTAAAGACATGTCCAAGACCCTTGTAATCAGGCCATTGTGGATGTGACCATTCAGTCTCCATGTAGTCGACATTGTATGCTCTCGCATACCATCTGAGATCTTCAAGGCTATAAGCCATGACCTTGGCATTCTTAGGGTCAAGACCGAGGAGTCGACAAATAGTCTTCTTGTAATCATCTTCAGCTTCGGCTTCCTCTACTTCCTGTGATTTGATAGGAGTTTTGGTATTGACGAGACGTGAGCGTGTGTTAGTCGGTTGCCCCTTGGTCTTTTTGGTTTGTGGAGTCTTGCTCATGACAGAGTTGCTCGTGTTGGATCGTGTAGGGGTCTTGAGAGTCGCCCGGCGACCTCGAAGAGTTGGTTTGGCGTTGGATCTGACTGCTGAGTCAATGTAATCGTCCTCCTCGGACTCATCTTCGTCCTCAGACTCTGAAATATTCTTGCGCTTGGTTGAGTTGGTGACAGCTGATCGAGCAGGCTGAATGCGCATTGGAGCTATTGGAGTCTTTGGACCAGCTAGATTACCACCAGAAGTTTGCTGAGGACCGAAGCGGGCATATCTGTCATATGGCTGTGCCTCTTCAGGAAGTAATTTGGCTAAAGCTGTAGCGGCCGCTTCGGGTCCGACGCCTTTGCTCAAGAATTGACGACCGATTTCATTCTGTGCGTCGCGCTGAGCGTTGATTTTTTTGTTGTTGAGCTTCATCTAAAATTCGTATGTTAGTAATAGTACAAAGATAGGAAAGGATAAAATTCTTTACTTTCAGCTCCCCCTGTGGATGACTAACGAAACGATCGAGGTATGGAGCGTCCAACAACATTTTACACAAGGCTTTTGAACGCTACGAAATAGATTAGAATACATTCTTTTGGAGCATTGGATGCATACTTACAGTGCAGGCGCCACAAATAGCTGTCCAACGTTGACCAAATGAAGTATGGATCATTGGTCCCTCAAACTTTGACTCGTGAAATGCTTCTAAGAGTTTTACATCCATCTGTACAATTCTAGCCTTGTCCTGTGATTTTTTCCATTAGCATTTTGAAATGAGCAAGAGGAAAGGGTAGCAGGTCTACTTACGAAAATCTCCCAGCAGATTTCTTCGATCGCATAGGCTGGATACCTATTTTCCTTGAACTTAGTGGCTGCTTGAGACAACCTGCCGTGTTTGGTCGGCTTATCAATGATGGCGTCATCGCCCTCTGTTTCGACGGAGTTGAACGCCTCGAACAAGTCCTTAATGAACTCTCGCTGGTCGGCAGGGTCAACAGGAGCACCGCTCAAGCGTCCCTCCTCATAGGCTGCCTCTATGCGTTCATCGATTCGACGACGCTTTGTGTCCTGCATGTCGTTCAGGTCTGAGTAAATGGCCCGGTACGGACCAGGGGGACCCCGAGGAGCTGACGACATCGGTCGAAGGTGCTCCTCATGGTACCCGCTGGTACCGTACTCGGAACCATTGTCGTCTTGGTCCATCTTCTGGAAATGAATATGAAAGTTAGTCAATATTTTTGAAGGTGAATTTTTCTTGCGTTGGAAAGTACAAAAGGCAAAAGTAAATATCTCAACGTAAAAGAATATGTATGAATGAATGAAATATTGTACTAACCACACGCTGGTGTGCGAAACTGGAATTGGTATTGAGTATCTGCAGATCAAAGAGTGTGAAAATAAGTCGTCTGGATACGACAACTCGTGTTGATTATTTTAAAGAAAGTATGGTGGTGTAGTATGATAAGTAGACAAGAAAGAGAATAGCAAGTAAAGAAGCAACGAACAAGAAAATAGCTGGTGGAACTTGTATTGCTTTTGCTGTAATTTGTATTGATTGTTTTTGCTTGTATTGAATTGTATGTGAGATTGAAGGAAAGAGGCTGTAGAATATCAGGAAGTTGGGGCTCGAATGTAGGATGAATGTAGGATCAGGCGGGGTAGTTGATGTTTTTAAAAAAAGGGAAAGGAAGCGGAGTCGAGAACAGAAACCAAATAAAGTGGGTACCAAGTCAATGTGATCAAGAAATATATTTAAGTGAATTCAAACCGTGAATGGAGGCTGATTTTAAGAGGGGAATGAACCAAGCGAGGAGCCGTATTGGTTGATTAAGGGACTTCAAAGCTCAGAAGATAACCCGTACGAAAACCGAGGTAATGAGATATTAGGTGATATGTACGAGCCAGTCACAATGGGAGAAATGGAAGCTGGTAGTGATTTGAATCAGAAAAGAGTGGCCTGTTGCCCTGGGATACAATGATTGTATTGTATTGAATTCTCGTCTGAACCCCTTTCCACAGTTTCTTCGAATAGAATAGTGGGCCCACGTGAATGAACCTTTGCAGTCATCAGGCGATACAGTACATACCAGTATCTTCGGTACGCTTGTATCTCAAGAACGAATGCGTGTATGTAAGTGTCTTCTTGTATTGTAGCAATCGCCTAGGGTACATGTATTGTCGCTTTATACAAGAAACTCAGAGAGTCCGGAGTTAAATGGTGAGTGCACTTGCTTGAGAATGAAGGTAATGATCACATAGTACACAAGTGTCTATCGATCAGTCCCTTTAGAGTCTTGGTCATACCTGATAGCAACACGTGGTTTCATTCATAAATTATGGCAAGATATTATAGAATGTTCAGAAGTCTCCTGTAAAAAACTGGATGAACCATGGAAAATTGATGATAGAAGGACCGTCTTGATTTCATCCTCATTCAACATATCTTGGTAGAAGTGATAAATAGTTGGGTATATACCAGGCCGGCTTCATCTGCAATTCCCTTCTTCACTTGCGGCTATCTGGTCTTGTGTTGAGCTTTCAAACACAAGTTGTAACAGACATATTGGCAGATGAAACAGAGGTTCACTTGGTATGGCTTCATGTGTTAACACTCTCAAGCGGCAAATACTGGCGGCTGACATTACCATGATTTATCACATGCAGCAAGCATAAATAACACCACTAAGAGCTAATTGACAACGCATATTCCCCTCTATAGCAGCCGAGATGATCACCAATACTAACAAGGAAAGATAGCGTGATAACTTCAAGTGAAGTCAGCAATATGGATAGGGAGAGACCCCAGCTACCAATAATTGCTATCATCAAAGTTCAACGGACAACAGACTTGTTGTCACTCCTTTATATAATACAGAAGTCCATATAGACCAAGGACAAGTCATCTACTACTTCATTGTTGTGAAGTAGTAATGAAGCTCGGAAGTTCCGACGTCGGACAAGCTCCAGTGACAGCGACAAATTTGAAGGAAAACGACGAAAAGGGAGAGATGCACCGAAGATATGGCTTTGCGAAGAAAGAGTCTGCTGTTGCTGGTCATACCTTTATGGAGGCCGTAGCCCGTGCCATTTTGGAGGCATGAAGTTTCAACTATCCACTAAAGCTTTTTGTTGGAATTTTCCGTTGATTGAGAAGGGAGCTTAAATAGATACTAGATGAAGAAGGAGACTGTTAGAGACAATTCCAAACTCCTTCGGATTCACCAATACTCAACAATACCTGTGTATCAATCATGTTATTGATCCGGGCAAACAGGTGGATATAATACGTGCACATGGAAGCGGGAACTCTCAAGGTAGCATGTAGAAATTAAGTCCCCGCTACCTTGATGAAAGCTCCAGGGTGTAATACTTGGCTTCGACTCGAAGCCAGATGCACACTAAATGTAAGCTGGTCTGGTTATACTAGAGTCTACCTGACAGCAGTTTCTTTTCCTGTACGTAGTTTACAACGCTTGTTGGCCCTAACTTATCAAGCGATTTTGTTTATTGATTCATCAGGCATTCTGACAAGAGTTGTGCTCGCCGTGAACGAAGATAGGAATCATGATTTTATCTGTACGAGCAGAAGCAATATAATGGAAAGTGTTTCGTACCCTGATCAGATGGCATTGACTTGCCCCGGTCGAAAGACCACTGGATATAGTTAGCACGGATTCGTTTTGTTGTCATAAATAGGTCGATGAAGGTTGTAAGGAGGTTCCCACTTACTCTTTTTGTTGCTATTTTATGATTTTGATGTTTTTTGGTGCTTTCTGGAGACAATGATTAGTTGTAGAACTACAAAGTTCCGCTTATGGTCCCAATTGAAGAGAAGAGACTGCGGAGAGTTCAAAAAATTAGTAATACTCAACGAAGGCGGAGGCATGCTACATTGACAGCAATCAGAGGGATGATAAAGTGAATTAACACGGAAGAACGCCCGAACTGCGGTGCTTAATCCTCCTCGTAAACGAGGTCGGCAGTATGAAAAAGCATTATTTAGATCACGAAATGCTGCCGGCTGTTGGAATCTTGTAGACAATACCACTATGGTCCACAGGGAAGGGAAATGTAGAAATTGCTAAGATAAGAGCAAGGATGGACGTACACATTTGGAGAAAGATCGAGGCCAACTACTGGACGTGGTGTTTGCGTAAACTTGGGAGTCGTGGAAGATGCTCACCTGTTTGTAAATATTATTAGTAAGAAACAAATATTGTTAATGCAGTAGGAATATCTCGCGTCTAAAGATAGAAGAGGCACAGAGGTTAGAACTCACTTTGTTTTCAAATCTGTCGGCGGCGAGAATAATCTGGTCAGTTTGGTCTTTCACGAATTGTAGATTGTTGGCAAAGTAGAGGCGTACCTATATCGATTAAGGTCAGTCACTTGCTATCAAAGATGACTATAAAGCTATTCCAAGCCGAAGAGAGATTACTTGAGGTACCTGATGGAATATCATCTCGGTGTCTGCTGCGCAACTGGTGCGAACGCCATGCTTTTCACACTGATTTTGCAGGTAGGGCCGCCAAATCATGGTTAAATAGATGTAATTTTCTTATGAAAGAAATACACGTAGAAAATTGATCAAAGCAACTTACTTTTTTGATGCTTTCAAGGGTTGTTGTGCCCATTTTCGATTGCTTTTGGTATTTCGATGGTTTTGTTATTGGTGTTTTAGAAAGAAGCACGAGAAAATAACTATTTGTGCGAATATAATTGGCAGTAAGCTGCTCAAATCTACGAGAGAAGCCTAGCCCCAAGGTTTGCAGGGATCTTACTTCAGTTCTAAGCCTCTTTGAGAGAGCAGGCTACAGGTCACGCTGCGGTGCATAGTCCCGATTTAATTATAGGTCTTCTGGAACGGTTATATGTATCATTTCACTTCTAATGACTCTTTATGGGATATACGTAGTCTATTTACACTAATATACTTGCTTCTGAAGGTATGGGGAAGCTGCAATTAGACTCTGAAGCTATATTCTTCTGTACTTGATTCATAAGGATAATTTTGGGTCAGTAACTAGCCCTTTCAAGCATAACAGCTTCTTGTTAAACTTAGAAATTGTATTGAATCAATGGAGATAGTTTGAAAGATCGTCTCGTGAGGGTACATGTGCCTTTGTCTCAAGCAAAGTAATACTTGAGACCCTGTTGTCCACCTCTAGCCTGAGCCTGTAAAGTGACTTCATCTCTGAGATCACCAATTTGTCCAGAACTTCTTTAGCCCTTGAAATGTAACTTTAGGGGCTTGATATATCCAATTGATCCTACCAAGTTCACTAAATCACTTTTATTTGACTCGATGTCTCTTTGCTTTGTCGAATTATGATGATATAAAACTACACTTTTCCGGATCCCATCAACACTTGATCTTAAATTTTGGAAATCTTTCAAATTTTGCAACTAATTCTGGTAGAACCCCAAGAAAAAGGTCCAAATATTATAATATACTAAGTTCTATTCCATAGACAATATTCTTGCTCAATAGACCAAAAGTTTGCCACCATGCTTATTAGCCACTTTCCTTACAATTGGTGTAAACCATGACAACTTTATAACAACCATTAAAAGTATCGTATCTAATATATACAGCCTTATACACACTGACTCATGCATTATTTTGATTGTTATGACCAATCAATCTCATGCAAAAGGTTTTAGCTTGCTTCGCAGACTTCAAGAGTTCTGGAAGTCCTTTTCAGAATTGTTAAACACAACACTATTTCAACTACAAGAACCTGAACACAAAAAATGTTTGGGATTAGCAAGGTTCAGCGCTTCCAGTTTAACATCATCAACTACCCTTGAGTACAATAAATAACCTGGTGAGTGTGGTCCTGAGCTGGTCAAGAGGGACGTACGAGACAGACTGGATTCTGCTAATCGGTGCTTCTTTTTTCAGTCAACTACAACCTCCAATAATTACAAGAACAGATCCACGAAATCAATACCATCTGCTGCCGATGTATCCATATAACACAAAATCATAAAAGAAGAGTCAAGGCATAAGGCAGGCTGGGGAGGAAGAGGTTGCCGCAAAAGTGCACGCTTGCGGCGGAGTGTCGCCATCAAAGGCAGCGGAGATCCTGTTGTATTTCACAACAATTGGCAGTACTTCAAAAGAAACTGTGAAAAATAAGAAGAATAGCTACTCGGATGTCTCAAATACTCGGGCTCAATGCTATCTTCTGCTCCACTCCACCTTGAAAAGTACGCACCTCAATGGTAGGTCTCTACGGTGCAAGTCTCGACTTTCAATTGCAAACGACGGCCTCGGCGCGCTTGTTATACCTTGCAATTGAAACTACATCTAGAAATGAATGCACACTAAAAATGGTTGTGCCACTCACTTCTGATTGAAATGCGCTGGAGGTGGTACAGGCGTACGTGCTCCGTTCCCATTTCGTGACTGAACCACGTAGCAGCAATGCTAACAGCTTTACAGATTTTTGCGATTTGTACATTGCTACTTGCAGACAGCCTACACAACAGACCCGAAGTCTTGTATCTCCGCAAATACACAGAAGTTTATCATCAATACCGGAATTATGCTCGCTCATCAAGTTCAAACGATATATGGAAGCGTCGTCGTTGACTTCGAAATACGAACCCGCCATACTACTGTTACATGTCTACAAAGTGGGAGATGGTCATAATGATGAAGGTCATTGTGCAGTACAAGTTACAACAGCGAACCGAAATTACAAACTTGGAACATCAATACTACAACATTCCTTTACCACGACAAGTCGTGCTTGTTTCTCCATTAGACGCGAAGCAACTATAGCAACTATCAACATAGAAGACCCCAAAACAAACAATGAATCCAAACGCCAATAAAGCAGACGCAGGCCGTAAAGAGAACCAATAGAGTGCAGATTACAATTACATTGACTCAAAGTGAAATCTTCATTCCATTACTTGATGCCATGGCAAACAAAGCTTTTAGACATGCAATCTTGCATGTCCACTATCATGATACCATAATACTGAAAGCATCATTCTCATAAGCCATATAAAGTACTGGTAGAAGACCTACAAAAAACACACCTGTTCACGCTTGGCCATCACGTGTTCGCTTCGAGGGAAGCTTGACTTTCAAGCCCCTTTTCAAAGTTGATTCTGTTTTACAATTTCTGGGTATACTTCGGCTCGACTAAGATGCCTCACCACACTTAGAGATATGACCTTTGAGGTATATCATTATGTTTACCAATTTCCTCTTCCTCTTCTACCTCTGCCTCTTCCAAAACCTCCCCTATTAGTATTTTCACCTCCAGAACCCATCATGCCTTGATCAAACCCTCCACCACCAAATTGACCTCCCCCAAATCCCCCCGCACCTCCCGCCGAATTCGAGCCTCCAAACATCGAGGGGTCCATCTGGCTAGGATCCATTCCACCCGCTGCCATCATCTGTTGCATTTGCTGCATCATTTCTGGTGTCATTCCTTCCATCCCAGGCATACCACCTCCAGCTGGCATTCCCGGCATTCCACCCATAGCCATCATCATGTTCATATCCTCGAACATTTTCTTATTATTCTGTGCGATTTTATTGGGGTCGAATTCTGAGCGCAATGATTCTTGTTTGTTGGCGTAGAGGGCCCAGGTAAATTCATCGAAACCGTAGTTGAAGTAATCAGATATGTCGGTACCGGGTCTTCTCCAAGGTTTGTCGTTCTCGTTGAGATCTAAACGGATTGAAATTAATTACATGAACAATCTTGGGGTAAGTAAAAGAGGATTAAATACCTTCATCGATATTGATTTGTGTGATTGGTTTTCCGGCTGGCTCGTACATGGGCTTTGCATTTACATCAATTTTTGATATCGCCAGTCCAGGTAATTCTGCACCAGATATCGCTGGAGTCTCGGAATCCTTCTTTACTTTTTCTGCTTTCACGGCGGGAGTTTTCTCATCTGCTTCGGCCGTGGATTTCGTATGGCTTGGAACATCACTACCGGGCAGTTTATCATATTTTGTGCCTCTATTCTCACGTCAATACTGAGCACTGTGAGCTGGGCGCAAAACATACTGAGGCTTTGTGGACGGCGGAGCACCATCTTTCTTTTCTGTGATAATATCTATATCCTGTACCCATATCAGCAAAGCTAAGCAGAGCTTCGATGTGACCATATCATACCGAGTCACTATCCTCGTCCTCATCTTCCTCCTCGCCCTCCTCTAAATCTTCATCCTGTTGTTCGTCTTTGACTTCGGGCTGCGCAGCTTCTTTTGGAGCGACTTGGTTTAAAGAAAGTGGCGCACTCTCTTCGGGCGCATAAAAATCATCATCTTCATCGATATCCATTTTGATTATTGAAGCTGTATTGAGAGTCCGTGTTGTAACTTCTGGGATTGATAGTTGTCGCGATACGACTTAGCTAGCTGGTTACGGTAAATAGGTATGGCATGTACTGTAACACAACAGCCTGGCCGCCTTAGTCTTAGTGAATATTAGACGCGTTCAGGCTTAAGTTTCAGGACGAGATGGCCCTGGAAAATTATTCAAGTTTTCTCTTATTATTCTATGATTTTATCTCAATCTTATCCCCAAGAAAATTCACCACGATAGATTTATTTCAATATGGCTTTAACTAGATCTTTTTCTGGTCCAGGTGGATTAAGTATTAATACCAATTCTGCTAATTCTTTATTGTAAGTCAATTATTCAATTGAATTGCCCAATTCGAAGGTTTATTTATTTTGTCGTGTCAACCAACTCATTGCCCAAGCTTTTTGTGGAGCAAAGGGAAAGCTATCAAAATAATTCATTGTGAAAGATTTCATAGAGAGAGAAAGAACATTGAGCGAAACAAAGAAAGAGCGATTCTAACATTTCATCCAGTAGCGGATCAGGAACGACACAGCCATCATCAGGAGGAATGTTTGGAAGTACACAGGCTGCGAAGCCTTCGACAGGTCTTTTCGGCGCACCTGCAACTACACCTGCTCCTCAATCTGGTGGGCTATTTGGTTCAACGGCTTCAGCTGCTCCTTCTACAGGTGGGTTATTTGGCTCAGCTCCCGCAGCGGCAACATCTGCGCCGGCAACTGGAGGATTGTTCGGAGCCGCTCCTGCTCAACCTGCGACTGGTGGATTGTTCGGAAACGCCAATACTTCCCAACCGGCTTCAACTGGGGGTGGATTATTTGGTTCAACGACTGCCGCGACGACTGCTCCTGCAGCGGGCGGGCTATTCGGATCTGCGACCACTAACAATAATCAGACTCAAGGAGTTACAGGTGGTGGACTTGGGGGAGCACAATCCAACAATCAGACAACTGGCGCAAATACAGGTGGTGGATTATTTGGTGGTACTGCCTCGTCACAACCTGCGCAGAATGGAGGTGGATTATTTGGAAATTTAAATCAAGCAAAACCTGCAGCATCTGGAGGTCTCTTGTAAGTGATCTTCGCGAAGAAAAAATAATGATATATCAACTAACTAGCTTAGTGGCGCAAGTCAACAAACTCAAACTCAAACTCAATCCCAACCACAGCAAACCTCCTCTCTTTTCGGCGCACCGGCTCAAAATCAACCACAAGGCCAAACAAATAACAATATGCTTGGGGGTAGTCGTTTCATGGGTCAATCCCAACAGCCTCAACTTGTTCCCGGCGTCCAAATTGACCTTAGCCAAATGCGCGGCACGACACGATTCAACGACCTTAACGAAACCGTACAAAAACAAATCGAACACTTTGACCAAGTAATTCAAGCACAAATAGCTATGAAAAACGACTGCGATGCCATCATGCCCCAACATGGCAAGCTTCTTGAACATATTCCCAACGACGTCGAATTTTGCCGGAGGAAACTACTAGGCATGGAGGAAGCTATGGAACGCGACGCCACTGAAATTGATCAAGTTCGTCAATTGATAAAGAAAGACGCGGACAATGCCACTCTGAGTTTCCGCGCAATTGATAATCAAAAATTGCCAACTCAATATCAGACCCCTGGCATCTGGGCTAATAAATCTACGAACAATCCCAATAGTGCAGCCAATGACACTGATGCCCAAGACTTGGTCTCATTTTTCTCCGCTACGGCCGATGAACTAGACGCGACGCTCAAGAAGTACCAGAACAATTTCACTGAATTAGAAGCGCATCTGAGGAGCCTTGAACAAAGCACCGCGCAACAAACTCAAGCCTTACTAGCGCGCAGAAATGGAAGAGCGTACCAACAAGAAAACCAGATCCAAGAGTTGGGATTGGCACTTGTAGAATTTGAGCAGAGTATTTTACAGGTGGCTGGTAAGATTGGCGCGAGTAGAGAAAGTATTCAAGCGTTGCAACTTGGAAGTTTCACGGGTCCTGGAGATAGGGATAGGAGGGCCGAAACACCGACAGGGTTTGGGGGCAGTGTTAATGGTGCCAGCGTGAGGGGGAGAGGAGGTGTTTATTGAGGGATGGGTGTATATAAAGTTGGGTAGGCTGCAGAATCTGTTCCAAGAAAGATTAGAAATTGATTCAGGTGGCGTCTGGGAGTTTGGGTTGCGAGGTCTACGTGCTCGTTTTTCTGCGTAGCATTCATGTCGGCATTTGCACGAGAAATGCAAAGTATGAATTGATTGGAGATACCAAAAATGAAATCTAATGTACTATCTTCGAATTGGATTTGATGTGTTAAACTTGTGAGAATAGAGGTTCGCACGCAGTAAAGTGACTGGTAAATCACTGTCAGTAAGTCCAAGTTCATGATGGTGGTCTACATTTGGAGGATATTTGAAAGTCGTTGCCCGATTTTCAAATATTAAATTTTGGAACGATCTGAGTAAACGGTTATGTTTATTCTTGTAAATGAGTATTTGCATAAATTCTAATCCGCTATCAAATAATTTAAATGGCAACGCTAAAATTGCAGCAAGCTACCATGCATATGCCGCTCCCCGCTGTAGAAGAACTCCTCATTCCTGACCTCCTATCCCAGTTCCCAAACTCCGTGCGGAATGCAAATATATATATATATATATATATATACACGTTCTCCATCCATTAATTCCTAATCATTATAATTGCTCTGGCCACTCCCATCCTTATTCACAACCAGCAATCCATACTTCTCCCCCAACTCCTCTTCCTGGCTCCTTGCATCCTTCTCCAAAACAGGTTTCTCCCCATGGCAACACACTCTAACGGCATGTCTCCTATGTGGCGCAAATCCATACGAAGCAGTGTGGTTCGAAATTCTATTATCCCAAAACGCCACATCATCCTTTCCCCATTGGAACCTCACGTGCAGTTCCTGCGTCGTCGACACAATTTCATTTAGATACGCGAGAATAACATCGCTTTCAACTTTAGGGATGCCGACAATCTTGGTCACGAACCCGGGGTTGAAGAAAAGTGATTTCCAGCCCGTAACAGGATGCGAGCGGATGAGTGGGTGTTCAGTGATGATGGGATCACGTCGAACGGGTCGGCCTAGTGCTCGCGAGCCCTCGGCCTGGAGATGAGAGGTGTGTAGCGCGGTGAGGGATTCGAGATAATTTTGCATGGGCGCGGAAAGCGCATCATAGGCTGCGTATTGGGAAGACCATAGCGTGTCGCCGCCGCCGCCGCGAGGTGGTCCGGTAAGGACTTTCAGTGAGGTGTAGGAGGGTGGTTGGATTTCGTATGTTACGTCTGAATGCCAGAGAAATGTAGGTGTGAAAAGTGCTCTTTGGTCTTTCGATTTCTCGTCCGTGTATACGACATGGATATCGTCTAGATCTCCGCGTTTAGGCACAGAAGTGGTTGCATGCTTATGCAGTGTTCCGAAATAAGAACCCAATTTGCGTTGTGCTTCGATATCAAAGTTCTTTTGATTACGGAAAAAGACGACCCCACGGATGGAGATGAGTCGAGCAAGATCGTTTTTAGCAGCATCAGTGAGGTTGGCTAGATCAACCCCGTGAATTTCGGTGCCAATCTTAGGAACGTAGTCAAATACATCAGTAGCGGTTGCCAAGAGGTCTTTGAAGGTATCTGAACCCAAAAGTCCTTTGTCTATGTATGGGACTTCCTCCAACGCCGGCCACTTCTTATCTGGGAAAGAAGGTCGGAGATCTTCATACTCATAGGTCTCGTGTTTTTCAACTATAGTGCAACCTGGTGTATAAGAAAGTGCCGGTTTGGTGGTGGGTGTAACTTTAGTGGAAAGAGGAGTAGGAGTTTGTTCAAGACCAACCTCTAATGAAGGAGCCATCTTGAGAAAGACAGTATTAAACGTGGGAAGTATGCGGCTAAGATGTTTGTTCAAGAAATGAATACTACTGTGTATTTGAGAAATTCAGGGAATAGTGATAATTTGGAAGTGGTATGGAAAAATAATATCCTACTTAGGAATCTACCTATATAAGAACGAACCCGAGTGACATGGCACCATCGATCCCATCAAGCACACCATCTTGCGTTTACACACTTTGAAATCAACAAATTAAAGAATGAGTAAGCCTGAAACTTCAAATGGCATTTCAAACCCCACATACGCTTGCTTCGTCTGATATCATAATCCAAGCACGCACTGTAATCAATCGCACGTAATGAACATGTAGATACCTACTTACCAACCTACCTAGTCTGTGGGTACCTAGCCCTCGACCCCGTACCAAAAGCCTGACATTGAAGTTCCTTTGAGCTCACCGTTGCACTTTCACGGGGATCTTTTGACTCAATTCAGCATGGAATTCTCGAAATAACTTTTCCACCGCTATTCCAGAAGTTTCATTCCCAGGAACAAGGTCAATGGGATACTTTATTTCGGGGCAGGAGCTGACGATCGAGTTGAATCGAATCAACACATGTGTGGGGAATGCAGTGCCGCATCATTTCTAGAAAACAAGTACCGATAGCTATTCCATATGAATCTACTCATCCGACTCGTCATTCGTTGATCAAATGTCTTTGATGCATTGATATTTTTCCCTATACTGGAGCCGCAAGTCCCCATACCCCTGATTAATGAAACGTATGCGCTGACGTTTCGTTCCCTAGAGTTTAGTATTAACGACACTCGCCATCGAGAAGGTTTAAGGCGTGATCAATTCAGATCCCGATAATGATAACGGGTGCTCCGTACAAAGTAGTATAAAGTTTCCTTTGAGTCTTGATTTCAGAGGAAGCGGTCAGACTTCTAACTACAGATCGATCACGACATTGATATCGCCATATCACGGGACATTAATATCGCCCCACGAAGGATCGGTTCAGAGATTCAGTATCCTGTTGACTCGAAACAAAATAGTAGATGAGATCCCATCCATCTCATCTGGCTGCGCCTGGTTGTGAAACGTTTGAAGTGTTACATTGTAGCCCTTGTATGTTTATTGCAAGGTAGTTGAGGAAGGCTGTCATTTTTGGCCAAATGGATGATCGAGATTCATCACCAGCCACAGGTCTGCAAGCCACTCACCCCATCCATCACCAACGACCTCGATACACCAAAAATCCCTTCAAATCACAATGTGATATAATTAACTAGCTTCAATTATCAATTCAAATAGATGATAAGTAAAAGGCAATCTGAATTATCCTTAATTAATTCTGAAGTCATTAATATATTATGTGGCTGATTTATGACGAATATTTCAAAAGCACCGTACCTACATGTCGGAGTTGCTGCAATTAATTGAAAGGGTCGGTCGGATTAAACTTTAAATTGTTAAAATTTTGACCTCGTTCCAGATTTTAAATCTTTCATTTTGTAGACATGCAACAAAGAGGTGTTTGCTCTCTCTGGTCATGTGTGAGTCATGCTTTATTAAGTAATCAAAGTTCTTACTTTGAAATCTCCGAAAATCCCGATGTAATTAAACTGATTATGCTAGAATTCTTGTTCATTCACAGTTTGCTATGAGACATTGCCTTTTGTTGACAGTTGTATTGTGCGTTGATATGTAATCATGACTTGAGGTCCGAGATCAAACTGTTCTCCATTCTCGCAACACCGGCGCTACATCAGAGAGACTTTACTGTCCATGGGTTCTTCAATACTCGGGCAAATGTGTCGATGAACGCGGAATCAAACCCATGATATACGAGGATCATTCTGCTTGTTGACGTGCCGTCTCTATGGACATTGGCATCTGTCAGCTACCTAGCCATATCACACACGCAGCCTTTACGTCTTGAAACAGAAATCATGTTTGCTCCTCATATCATAGATACGGCAACATGATACACTTTTCTACTGATCGTATATCTTCTACGGAATGTTCACAGAGCAAGGAGTATAATTTGTATGTATGCGCAATGTACATTGGTTGTCTATATTCTAAAGGTTGATAAACTATTTACAAAGAAAGAAAAAGGAGAATCCATCCTATCAAGCCTCACAGTTCTCATCATCACCCGCGTCGGCGGCTGAATCAGCACCGGTGGCACTGGGTGCGAGGATAGCAGGGCTGCTGGTAGTACTACCTCCGGTGGCGACGTCGTAAGCTGCGATCTTAGAAGCAGCCTGCTCAGCGACAACCATGATAATAGCCTGGGTGTTACCAGTTGGTAGATCGGGGTGAATGGAGGCGTCAACGATGAAAAGGTTGTCAGTACCGTATACCTTGGTATTCAAGTCGACAACAGCGGTACCGCCGGTACGTCCGTCATCTGTGCCCATCTTAGCAGTTCCAACCCAGTGATCACCACTGACAAGAGAAGATGAAATAATGCTTGAAGGGGTTGCTCCTGCAGTCTTGTAGCTGAGAGTGGTGCTGCTGTTTCCTGCGGCATTTGAGGAATTGCTAGACACCATGTTCAAGAAGAACTGGATAAATTCCGAATAGACAGCCATATCTTCAGTTGTTTGCAACCATGGCTTGGTGTTAAGGACGGTACTGCCAGATGCCGAGATTCCAAGCTCACCAGTACTGGTAGTACCATGAGTAAGGAAGGCTTTGATGGTGATAGTATCATCGGCCATCGCGCTGACGGTGCCTTGGAGGTAGCGAGCTACACCGTCAGTACCATTGATTGAAGTCCACAAGTGCATTCGCTGAGCTGCCTGTGTTATAGTTCCAGAGCCTTGCTTGTACAAATCCAAGTCGGTGGCAACTGGCGATGTCGCGAGTCCATTGAAATCAAAAGCTTTGAAGGCAGGTGAAGTAGTAAACTGCAAAGGGACTTGAGCATGATCCTTCAAATTGTGACCGACAGGTAGGTCAATCCAATCGGACGAGTCTGGCAGAGAGACACCAGATGTGCCGGTTTTAACAATGTTGAGCGCGTCAGATCGACCAATGCCAGAGTTCCAGAGGATACGGGGAGTCGATAGAGCGCCTGAAGCAAGGACGACTTTACCCTTGGCATTGAGATTGATAATTTGACGAGAACCATCTGTAGCCTGAGTCAAAACACCGGTGATTGTGCTTCCATTTCGCAAGACCTGGACGACGCTAGATTCGAGCTTCAATTCAAAATTATCAAGCTTCTCGGCGAACGGCATGTAGGTTCTAGCGGGACCAGCTCGGAGATGGTTGGAGATACTCCAAGCAGGACGAGAGAAGACTGCATGTTTCTCGTTGGGGCTCTCAATAGAGTCGACCTCACTCCAACCTTGTTGTCCGAGATATGCTGACCAGGTAGTGTATGCCAAATCATCGTAGTGTTTTCCATCAGCCGAAGGCTGGGTGGTACCAGGGTTACGAGAGTAGAGACGGTCAGCTGCGCCAGAGACAGAATCCCAATCCCATCCAGTTGGCCATTTCTCAAAGTCATGAGCAGCGGGGTGAATGAAGTTGAGGCCATTGATGGAGCTCGAACCTCCAAGAAGACAGCCAGCAGTAGATGCGGTATCAGAACAGAACTTAGTTCCTGAGATGGACGCAAGACTGCTGCCAAGAGCTGGCACATCATAGGGAGTAAGAGTAGAGTTCCAAGAGAGGCCTTGAGTGGAGCCGAGGGCAACTGTGTTGGCGGGACCACGCTCAAGGAGGAGGACACTGACACCACTCTCAGCAATACGCTCAGCAACAATAATACCAGAAGCACCACCACCAACAACAATGACATCGTAAGTAGAGTTGAGTGTGGTGGGAGCCGGGACCGTGCTGTTTGAGCCACTACCAGTTCCCGGACTAGTTGAGTTCCCACCAGATGGAGCAGCGGATGCCCATGAAGCCCATGTAGAGTATTGCGCAGATCTAGCAGCTGTCAAGTTGAGGTTGTAGATGTTTGAACCGACATCATGGTATGACAAAGCACTTCCCGAGCTAGATGGAGTTGTGGGAGTGGAACTTGATACGGCATAACCGAGAGTGGCAAGTTCACTTGAAGCATTGAAAGTTGTCAAGCCTCCGATCACACAGGATTGGCAAACGAAAGTATAGGACAAGTGTGTGCTGTTGATAAATGTACCATTGGCAATTGGCAGAGCCGCAACTGTTGAGTTTGTGTACACATCGGGGTTGGAGTAACCAGTGGCATATCGGAAACCTGACTGAATCTCTTTGCCGTTGGGCCACGCAACAAAGAGGAGTTTGTTAGTCATGCCGGCGCCCATTGAGAGCGCACCCCAACCTGCACCAGAAGTGAGAGGAACCACCAATTGACCGATGAAATCGGCTGTTGGGCTCTGGGGAACCGCAATACCAAAGCTGTACCCTATCGAGGTGTCCGAGTATTGTTGAAACTCGATGCCAGTGTTTGCGTCGGTGTAGGCTCCAGTTGTGGTAGCTGCCGAGGCGATTTGGGCGAGCCCAATGAGGGCTGTTGAGCCCAACATTTTGGAGTACATAGCGATTGATTTTTCAAATGAGAATAGGAGAGGAATTGTTTGATTGAGTCGTCTTGTGAGAAAGAACGAAGAGCCTTCAAAGGCTTAAGGGACAATCGAATGAGTATTGAATGAATGACAAAGACCGACCCAGCGGCAAGCTTGAATGAATCTAGAGATGCTTCTAGATATCAAGAAGATGTGAGGAAAGGTACATGTAGACGATATCAACCTATTATATACTGCAACTTGATCCTCGTCTAACACCGATACATATCTCGAGCCCTGTCCGCGGCCCTGTCCGCGACCCCTGATTTTTTTGAACGTCATCCACTTCGCAATCTTCACATGTAGAGCTCGGCCTCCCCCTTTCATATCCGGCGTTCTTGGCGCCAGATTTGACAAGATTAATGGGGCTCTGGGTCTAGTAGTCGCTCGGTAGATAACCGACTGGGGGATAAATTCTGCCGAACACCGTCAACCTTATATTTAAGCTTCCATTTTTCTCGTATTGTTCTATAGTTTAAACATCAGAAGATTACCTTGAACTTTCTTTGATAAGGAACATAAAGCAAAAAATAATAATGAAAAAGTTGGTCATTGTCGGCTGCTTATTGGTCAGAACAAAAAATAACGTTTCATGCAAAGAGCCAAGACTTTGACGAGCCCTGGTGCTGATCCACTTCAGTTTCGTGGGATTGTTTGATTTTAATATAAGGGACACAATCCTATCACCGTTTGCCTACCTCTGTATATTAAATCAAACTGCAATGTGTTTCTTCTTTATTGTATTGAGTGATGAACGCTTACTCCTGACTATGCGTTCTACTGCGTATCGCGCTGAAGCTTGGCGGTCCGGGGTCAAAAAAAAGTGATGGCAGCAAGTTCGCATGATCGTGATAGATAAGGATGTATTTGAAATCATTTTCTCTATTCCTCAACCAATTTCCCCCGAATCAGAATGCGACGGTTACCCGTTTCTTCTTTTGGGTTCATCTCTTTGAGTTTTTCGAGATTCTTCCTTAATGGGAAGGCATAATCATGATCCTTGTAGTTGTCTCAGAAAATCAATGATATCAAAAAGTCAATATTGTGCGTGATATGCATTGATCGGACGGACACTAGAGCCTCCCTCGTAAATCAAGGGTTTTGAGGGAGCCGGCTCGAGGCTCCTAGGATATACTCAACTATCACGTGGGTTGAATTGAACCCACTTCGAGTGACCACTATCAGGTCAGAGAGCATCTGGGGGCTCTCTAGTGAGTACTAGGTAATCTTCAAATCACTTCCATGATTGCGGTGCAAAACTTTCATTCAGTACCACCGTATGGCTCAATAGGATTGAGTCCTGCAATGAAACAGTTCCCCTCCATTGAAACCTCGCATCACGTGTTGAGAGCCACTACTCTTCAGTTTGGTTCTCACTTTCACCTTCGTCTATGGCACTATCAAATCTTCTCTTTCTCCTCATTATCCCATTGCTATAAACATTAAGAAAATTTGATGAGTATCTTAGGCATCTCCCTTCTTGAGCTTGTAACACTCTTTTTACACTTTCAATGTGTTAGGGGAGATTGAGAAAGGATGACCATTCTTATCCGGTTGGTTTGTGTTCTCTTGCCCATTGCATCTTACGATCATTAATCTATGATGGATTGCACCATGGATGATTTTGTGGATATACAAGATGGCAGTATGGCCAATAACATCAGTTCCCAAGATGGTTCAATGGATTACACAATGGAGCCCCAGGACACCACGATGGATTATACTATGAGCCATGATGCGACAAACCAAACTTTGTCTCAATTAACAGACGCAGAAAGTCTTTCAGAAGAACGTGAGGAAGTAGACATTCCGGTTGTTGAGCTTGCTCGATCGATCGGTGTATCTAGAGATCATCAACTTGACAATACTTCGGTGGAGATTTTACTTTTGATGCAAGGAGATGCTCGTCATAGTTCCTCTAGTGATCTGAATGATGATCATCTGTCTTTATTTACTACACCAGAAACCAATACTAATGAGCGACTCTCGGTAAGTATCGGTGCCGCACGACTTCTCACATCTATAGCACAAAATGAGAATAAAGAATCTATTGATACTTTGACGCATTCTCTACTTGGGCCAAGAGATGTCAGAAATCTGCGGATCGAAATGCCCATACTTCAAAGCGACCACGGTTTCGATGTCAGAAGATTTGCAAGAAGGGATGGGTTTGAAGTGAGGCCTCAAGATATCAAATTGCCACTAGAGTTACTTAGTATTGAGAACAATGAGGGATTGGGATTTCCATCGGACTTTTATAATTTCGAAACTGAGGCATTCGAAACTATAGCCAATGAGAAGATTGAAGTAACAAGAAACTCGATGGTCTATCTTCACACAGCCTTAAAAGCAACGTTAACGATAGAGAATGAACAAGAGATTTGGGAAAGTGAGAGAACACATTCAAGAGTGAGTACTGGTTCCTTCAGGTGCATCTCATCTATTTTATGTACTAATGGCTCTAGAAATTTCCGGTCTCTTGTCATGTTACACCACCACTTTCTCCAATGCTAGCGTCACTACCTGATAGTCCTCTTCCTTTTGTTTCTTCGGGCTGCGAAATACCAATACTTTCAGATCCCGATTCCCTTACTTCGCTGGACCTCAAAAGGATTGAGGATGATGTATTCAAGGAAGATCTGCCGACATCTTTACGCAATCGATCTGCGACTCAAGTAACAACTCCAGCTTCCAATGAGCAATGTGTGAAGCCTGCAGATCTATACTCACCACCAGAATGTATCAGAAATTTCGTCCCATCTTCATCTCCTGTAGAGAATAAAAGACCTATCAAGAATCTCAAAGTAGAAGAGATTTTGACTCCACCAAAGCCGTTCGAAGAATCAGGGCCTAAGGGCGTACACTTCAATAACATCGTGGAGGAATTTCTACTCAGCAGTCGACCTCAGTCTGTGTTTTCCGAACCCGTAATTGAGACCAAGTTCTTCGAAGAGGCATTCGGCGACAACGGAGAACGAGCACAACATCGAGTTGAACAAGAGAGGCTCGCAGATACGAGAAATCGTGTCGAAGTACCCGTGATGGACTTCAGTATACCTGGACCTCCTTGGATGATTACTAATTTCCGCAGTGTCAATGCTGTTAATTTGGCTTTAACGAAAGTAGCCAAGGATATCAGTCTTAGTCCCTCAATGCTTTGGCCTGGACTAAGGAAGTTGCACTCGAAGGTACCATGGGTACCATTTGAACATAACCTGGGAAATGTGGTCGAAGAATCTATGGGCAACGAGAAGACTTGGGAGGCGTTCGTGTGCAGTTTAGAAAATGATGATGTGATCACAAGTTCAAATCTCACCTGGAAGAGGGAGGGCTTTCGAATTCTTCAGGAAGATGCTGATGATGACGGTTATGATGATGACGAACTTGAGTTGGGATATTTCCCAAAAGAATCAGTGAAAACGCCACCATTAATTGAGAATCAAGACCCCAAAACACAAGATGTTAGTCAACGACAAAAGCCGGCATGTCAACCCAACCTCAATACTCACAAAGACTTAATGGTTCTGTTCAAGCCATTAATCACTCCAGAGCTGCGTCGAGAGATAGCGAATGCAAATTTGTTACCAATTACTAAGAGAGCACGCCCAGAGGTCGGCGAACAAACTTCTTTACTTGGTGGTATATTTTCTGCAAGGGATGAACTTGATAATTTTATGGAGATACGAGGAGCAAAGAAACCAAGGCTGATTGAAAGTTCTCATTTCCCAGTTCCTGGTTCTCCAGCACGTCTGCCATCGAATCAAATTGCCCTGGGCAAGGAATCTCAATTTCAAAAGCCTGAGCCCTCTCTTTCGCCTCTCCCGACACCCATTATAAATGCCCCGACAGAACCCATCTCTATAATTCTATCTTCCACGATACTCAAAAGCCGCTCTCTTCTCCGCTCCCTCGAAGCCCTGATTCCGACTCTAAAGATCTGCGAGCGCGATTTCTCCGCCCACAATACTACGGCTTGGAATCCAGGTTCCGTGATCCGCTCTCCCATAACTTCAAGTCTTACTCACGAAGCCGACATTATCATTTCCCCAAGCACGGGGCTTATTCTTACCACTCTGCAACATATCAAGCAAAAGCCACTACCTGGGCATAAGACTGCCGTTCCGATTCGTGATCGAATGGAGAAAGTTAGTGCACGGTATGAGAGTTTAATAGTTCTTGTCGCTTCCCCTACAACCGTTATATGCGAAAGTGATAGTGTCGCCTGGGCTGATTTCGTCGGTTTCACATTAACATTACCCGCAAGCATCATTGTGAATTACATTCCCGTAGACAAGACTAACAGCGAAGATCAAAGTATGGCAAAATATATCTCCTATCTCATCATTCAACACTCTGAAGATACCGTTTCGAATCTAGATCTAGAACTGCTAGAGCAGGAGTCATACTGGGAGATATGGCTGAGAAGAGCGGGAATGAATGCTTATGCGGCTCAAGCAACGATTGCGGAGTTGAAAGAGCCGGAGCCGAGATGTAAAATGGGTGATGAGGGGTATGAGAGGGAGATGGAGATGATTCGTGAGGTGGGTCCTTATGGATTGACACTGTTCGTAGTGATGGGGCTGGAAGATAGGATTAGGAGATTGGGCGGGCTAGTGGGAAGGGACGTTTTGGAAAGGGTCAGTAGAGTTGTTGATCAGCTATGGGAGTAGAGAGTGGATCCGTGTAGAAGAAGTTGATTATAGGGCTGTAATGACTGATGAATATCTTGCCGGATTTATGCATCATTTACTTGCCGCTAAGAATTGGCTTTGTGTGAGCGAAGCAAGAATCGCTGGATATGCTCACAAATAGAATACAATAATTGAAATAAGCTTTTGTGTTATAAACTCCACACTTTTAAACTATTATCTGCTGTTCTGCCTGTATCTTTAGGTGTCCTAGGCGGTAATTGCAGCGAATTTTGTGAGCTTTCATCATCATTAACATCAAGATCGATGTTCGTTTCAGCTCTTTGGCCTGAACATGTTGCTATGACTGTTCCAGATGGATGTAATACTGTCGAGCCTATTGGATCTATTGGATTGAAGTCAGTATATAAACCATGATGCAGAGTATAGAAATGACATACCGTCATGAGCTTTCCACTCCCAATCGCACTCAACACCCCCTTCCTTCTTCCCTATTCCCTCCCACACCCTCACAACACCATCTGTGCCCGCTGTCCAAAGCTCCATCCCCTTCTCCCCTTCGAAAGAATCCACTCCCATCCTTTGATTCGTCTCCGCTTCCCTGCCCTCTAGCCAAGCAATCAGCTTCCCAGTAACCCTCACATCATATACAAGCACACCTCTGCTCTTCCGTTCCGCAACCCACAAGTACCTTCCGCAGCTACTCCACCCCACCTCACTAACCCCTTGCCCTCCAACCCCTGCCTCACTATCAGCTGCTGAAGAAATATCCCATGTAGCAACGGTTCCGCCCAATCCAGAAGCATCATAGAGACCAAGCCACCTTGTCCAAGTGCCGGCTGCGAGAATACTTGTACCAGACGGTTCAGGACATGGTTGCAACGATAATGCACTTACAATACCGCGCATTCCCACGCCGCCACCCTTGATTTTATGGCGTTTGGAAGGAATAGTGGGGAGCTTAGTGACGGGACCGGATCCGGGCCGAGAGATATCGAAGTGGGATATGAGACATTCGGTCCCGGTTAGGAAATGGGTCCCGGGGGAGCTCCAGAGAATAGATGCAGGTGTAAGGTATTTTTCGGTGGTGGGGCAGATAAGTTTATAGCTGGCTTGGGGGGTAGCAGTTGGAGATAGGATGTTTGAGAGGCGGATTGGGAGGGAATTAGGACAGCTGAGATAAAGGGTTGTGCTGGGGTCTGAGAGTAAATAGTGTGGGTAGGGAGCAATGCAATTCACGGGGGTAGGAAAGGTGTGTGATGTGTAGGGAGTGAGAGATAGTGGAGTAGAAGGATCATCGAGAAGCGTGGGCGGCAGGATGAATGTACGGATTTGGTTATCGGCGGAGGAAGTCAGGAGAGTTGTTCCGTCGGGTGTCCTACTGAATTTAGTAATTGTGAATACACCAAAAAGGTCCAGCGGTAACCATACCATTGCGCACTTTTAAAATAATTAACCTCCAAATCTTCATCTCTGATCCTATGATCTTCGTCTTTGTTCAACCCCTCATCTTCCACAGATTCTGTTCCGTCTTGCGCCGCGTCGTTTTTCCTCAATTCCAGCTCGCGCAAATGAGAAGTTGATATAGAACAAGAATAGGTATCATTTGTTGAAGCCACAAGAGTGGGCTTCTTATCATCCGCTTCCATGACCTATGTATCGACAATATTAATCTTCATCACATGTGAACAAACCGAGATATCAGTTCGTCGAGTCACGTTACACTTTTTCGCGTTCGGATCATTGATGATCGCTAAATTGGCAATTTTGCGAGCCTTTTTGTAGACGTGCAACAAACCCCAGCTTATCTTCGGCATTCACTCGGCCATCGTTATTCCGAAGCCGTAATTTCGGTCGAGATCTGTTGAGAAGGTTTTACCACGGCATGATTGGCTAGTTTATGTATAATATATTAAAGGTGTTCGATTTTACAAAGTATCGTATATGATTGAAGTCAAAAGAGATTTATCTGGTACCTGGCTTGTATTGTAGGGGTAGCAATTCTTTTACCTCCATCATCTTCATCTCAGCGCCGAGCACGGCTGTTTCGGTAGCTGTGATTAGGATATGGCTTCAGTTGATACAGTGCGATGATATAACAAATAGCATACATATCTTATGAGAGGAGATTAGGAAAGATGAAATGTTGCTAGTCGCCAATAGGTTTGATGACAAGAGGTTTGACTATAATTGATGATGCTTAGTCATTCGCAACTTGCAGAGCGGAACAGACCATTGCGGGCCGGGCCGACTTAGGCTGTTTCTTACCGACAAAAAGCCATTGATGTGTACCTAGGTATGCTCATAACAAACACCTTCTTTCTGCTTAATATCCAGTGACAGTTAGCTGGAAGCATCAAGAGGGGGACCTCCGTTAGCTGGACATGAAGTACATGTTGCTACGGAATCCGGATTGGCGGTTGCAAGCTTGTGCATGGAGCAATCATAATTTGTTCAAGCCTCCGCTTTCATTTCCCCTCTTCCACCACTTCAATGCTGTGTAAGCAGACTTTACCATACTTTCAGATATCCATGAGCCATTCTTTTGCACTATCTGGTTAATTTCATTACGTTATGATTATTGATTCATAAATCTCAAAAGCCATTTGTTATGACATCGGCCGTTCATACCCGCACATCTGTTACACATAATTTGAGGGGTTCTAAAGGCATGGCCAACCACTCAAATGGACAAGCTTTGACACATAGTTGCCGTGCTTCAAGCCTCCAACGTCTGAGTATTGAAGGCCTTTCGCCAACGACAACCTCTCCTCAGTAGCACGGGCCATAGCCGTATTCTAAGCTGGTGGTACAACATTCACAATGGGAACTTTCATCAAAGAATGCAGGAGATTTCGGCTTACTCCTCGACTGTGCATCATGGAAGTTATCATGTCTGCCAATAGATCCTCATTCAATTCGTCGCTCCAGTTATCAGTTGTCTTGTCGCCATCTGGTGGTATGAGACTTGCAAGCCCGCCTCCGAGACGGGAAACAATACCCGCAATACTGAGATATTGATGAAACTATATCAAGTAGATCAGTATCGTCGTACGGTTGGTTTTTCACTATCGTGGTTGTTCTACGTGCTGCCAAGCTCGGGCATATACGAAGAATATGCCATGAGATACGCAGACTTGCGGGGCAGATGAAGATAAAGTCTGAAAACAGCAACAGGAGACTCTCAAAGAGCTTGATCTGGCGTCTTCGATATTATCCTTGCATTGAGATGTCACTATCGACAAAGAAGGGACATGCTGTTGGCGACCAAACTTTTGAAATCAGCCATTTCATCGATTCCTGTTTATTCTTCAGTCCTGATACATGATCTAGTGGGGGTTAACTTGCTCATTCTCAACAATTGGAACTATAGACTCACTTGATCCAAGGCTTTGGCCCCATCTCCCCCTCATTTTCTTGGATCAAATCGATCACGCGATACTGCAAGTACTCAAATCCAATCATGTAATTTCTATATTACTCGTGAGTTCCTTAACTATGCCAGTTCTCTTATGCAGCCACGGACGAATATTCACTACGGATGCATCGGATGGGTTCAATAGATCGTATTCAAATGAGGGGGAAGTGCAGACTTGAAGAATTTGAATGTTACCTCCTCAGCCCTTGGCTTTACTAAAGTCGAGGGCATTCGCCTTACCGCAGCAGCAAAATCGTGTATATATACACCTCAGATCTCCGTGAAAGAGTGAGATCAAAGCTTCCATATCCATCATCATTTACTTACTTACTTACCAAAACTCATACTCATTACAATTCTTACAATAGCACCACAATGTCTTCCCTTCTAACCACAGAACTTGCTTGCACTTCTGCTCCTGATCAAGTCCTACACCTCTTCTTCCAGGAGGGCCAAAACATCCTTGAAGCGCGATCTCCAGATGGTGGCAGTGTCTGGACCACTCAAGACACTGTTATTTCAAAAGATGGAGATTACAATGGTTCTTCGATGACATGTTATTATGTAGACAAAGACGCGAACTTTGATAACCAGCCCTCAGTATGTCCAGTTTCACTACGCTTATATGCATCTGCTGACACAAATTTCAGATCCATCTTCTCTACATCAACAAGGACAAGCAATTGATGGAGAAAGTGAAGCGCATGAAGGGAGATAATCCAATCTGGGAGGATGTCAAGATCCCAGATGAAGTCAAGAAAGGTCCAGAGCAATACTCGAGATTGACCAGTGGGGCTTTCAATTCAGGTAGTGGATGGAATCCAAATGGTTCGCAATGGGCCTACTTTTCAGCGTGAGTTACTATCTATAGTTCTTCATTTTGGAAACTCACTAACTTCAATTGAAGTACCAAGGACGGCAAGATGGGTATGGTTGAAATTAGACGCACTCCAAAGGACCCATGGCATACTGAGACCATTCTCCCCGAGAAATGGGGTGAAGAGCTCCCAGGGACCTCCCTAGGTTGCACAATCTCGAGCGGAAAAATCAGGATGTTCTTCCAGCACCATGACTATAGCATCCGTTTGCTTGAGAACCAAGACAACAAGTGGCATGGTAAGTAGAGATGCTCATCTTTCATTATGCTAATAGTTCAGAAGCTAATCCTTTTCTAGACCGAGGTGTCTACGTCGAGAAAGACAAGGTTCAAGCCACAACACCAATTGCTTGCACCATGACTCAGGACGGAAGCGTTCATCTTTTCTACGTCGCAAAGAACAACAAGATTGTTCACTGCACAGATGGAAAGAAAGAGGAAGAATTAGTCAATTTCTTCCCAGGCTCAAAGTTGGGCGCCACATCAGTTGAAAACAAGATTACCTTGTTCTTCAGGAACTTGAACCCCGTCAATGAAGTTGGTACATTGGAGAATGAGAATGGCTCATGGAAACATGGCAGCAGTGTCATCCGTGCATGATTAATAGTGGATAATTAGGAGGAGATTCTTTCTTATGTTAATTCAGGGGACTCCCGCTTGGGGGAAAAAGTTATCAACTTTCCTTAAACACATAACCACAATCAGTCATATCGGGATGATATTATGAACAAATTCACATTCCTTGCAATTTGGTTCACGATCAATCAGCTATTAGTTACCTTTCCTTTCAATTCAGTCATTTGTCTGCCCGAATTATGGTTTTATTTACTCACTGTGACCTGCTTATGGTGTGTTTGACCTGATATGTTCTTGCAATGATACTTCTAATAATTAAACCATGAAAATCGTATTTCCATAAATTTTTAATGAGGTCTTCTTGCTCAATACCAATCTTATGGAAAAGATTCCCGTACGAGTTTTGTCACGTGATACTAAAGAATACCGAACTGGGTACAATGTCTTGGCACCATTCCTACTGTTCCAATATAATCGTGGCAAATAATCAATGACCACTCCTATCTGAAAGCGACAACATGTGTTGCCTGAAAATATGATCGACTGATGCATCATGTGCTAGCTTTCACAAACCCCTTCATCTGCTCGTGGGGTATCATGTGACTTTTATCATTGACATTGGTAGATGTTGACCAGATAGTCGGTAGATTCTCCTTGTATTATCTCCAATTTCTGCCAGGGATTTCTTGATATTTGCGCTTTCAATACAGTGAGTGTATCAGTCAACTGGTCAGTAGTCATCTCAAGGAAGGGTGATATTTTCCCCATCTCATACCGCCTTTAGAGGTTACTGAATAACATTCGGACTCGTCAAAAGCATCTCTGACAAATACTTTGAAGATTTCTTCCTTTCTATCCATATCCAGTTCTTGGCTTAGGCATTCACCAGAAGCATCAGACTCTTTCACAATGATTGATTGAATATGAAGATGCGAGGCAAGGATCGTACATTTATGGTGATGCCTAAGGTGGCTATGTTCGTTTTGTGGTTAGCAAGGCTGATTTCTTCACGTAAAATTGGATTGATCAACAGTGATCTGACCTACAAGCATTATCAAACCCTGCCTGGTTGAATGTTTGCCATTCTTGATGATAGATTTATATCTATTTGAATAAAGGTCTCCCAGTGAATCAATATTATTTGGTCTGTGACCCCTCTATATTGAATAAACGACAATCGACCATAACCTCATCTAGAATTTCTATCACAAGAATTCTTGCAAAACTACAGCAGATCTCAAAGAGAAGCTGCAAAACTCTACAATTTTCGCATTTGACACAGGTATTCGCAATGGGCGCTAAAATCCCAGACGATACTTCTGCTTCGCCAAAGACGATGAGCCAATCTCTCACTAGCTCATATCCTGAGAGCCAAGCGCCGTCAAACTCAAATTCCTCGGGTGCGACACATAGATTTCAACAGCAGGCACAGCCTTCCTTTGTGATCGGCGGAATACCATACCTTTTCCCCTCGATTTTTGGGGTTTACAAGGATGGCATGAGGAAACTTTGTCTCGCGGAACACCATGTCTCGACACCATTTATGTCCATTACTGTACATTCTGGTTTCTCTGGTGAGCCCTCGATTGTTCTGTCCTCTCCCACAGCAGTGATGGGAACTGCAGAGCTTCACACCTTTTCCTCCAAGATAGAGCTCGTTATCGGCAATACCTCTTCGACTTTACACTCTTCAGGCTTTATTTCACCGGTCTATGACTTCACCTACACATTTGATGATGGACGCCAAGAATCATTTGAGTGGAAAAAAAGCGTCGGCGCGGCAGTTGCAGGTTTAGGTGGCAGGAGTAGGGGTTACAAGCTTGTGAGGCTCTCTAGCGGGGAGATATTAGCGGCTTGGACGCATCCAGGCGGTCCAAGTATCGATAAAATGGCGAAAATTGGACTATTGGATAGTATGAGAGCGCTTGGTTGGGGTGAAAGGTGGGAAGTAACGCTTGTGCTATCAGCTATAGCACTTATTGAAAAAGAGAGAAGGTCAAGAAACAGTGCTGTTGCTGCGGCGTAAGGACGGTTCGAACTTTAGGGCGAAAGTCGGAGGGCCCGATATGATACCACTTGTTTTCGGCGGATTTAATAGGAGTTAACCTAGCTTGGATATAATTCGAAATTTGGTTAGCATTTGACATGCATCACGAGATTTAATTATGATTTTCAGCATGCCTGACTTGAATTTGCTATCATTCTTCCTGTGATTTTCAAGATACAATGACTCCAGTGAGCCAAGTTGATAGAAACTACTTCAATCGTTGAACAAAAAAAGCTATTTTTGGAGTTTCTCTAGAACCCAAACAAATTCTTCGATTCTTCGATTTTTCAATTACCCCGAAGATGACAACCCTTGATTAGTATCTTTCTTTGTACCAGGAGAAATTTCCCACTAATTTGTCGTGCCATGTGTGAACCAACAACCCTTTGTGTTCGAGAAAGACAAAGGGACAACCTGTTCGGAGTGTCCCACAAGGCGAGAAAAAGGTTCGCAAGAAAAAGTTTTCACAACACCGGAGTCATTGGTCATAGAAGTATCTGCATCAGACTACAAATTTTCTGGCGGTCTAGAAGGAATATACAAATTTGTAAAATTTCACCGTGCAAGAACAAAGGAAGGCATCGATGGCAACTAGCCTTTTTGCGGAACACTAAATCTTCTTTCATCAATATGATGGCTCCCTCGCCATCAACTATCCAGATTTTCTTGTCACCACCAATTTAGATCCAAGATATCACCATTGCTTCAACTGCGAAAATGTCACACAGCCCAAGCAGTCCAATTGTACGTCCGCAGGAGGATCACGAAGGCCTCCAAGTCGTTCCCGACGACGGTCTGCAAACCCCAGACCCAGAAGAATCCCCCACAACCAAAGATCTTAAATTCCAACCATATTCCGCAGGATCCGCCTATGGCGGCACCTTAAACGTTCGCGAACCTGGTGACGACGTCCCACCAGTTCCGGAATCGCCCCCTCCAGCTTTTCATCTCATAAACGAATATAAATTAGGTCAAAACAATACGTTACCTATTGAAGACGCGCCTCCGACACAGACCATTAAAAAGAAACGAGTGTGCGGATTGAAGAAGATAACATTCTGGTTGCTGATAATATTCTTACTGATCGCGATCATTGCATTAGCCGTCGGTCTAGGTGTAGGACTCAGCGGGTCTAAATCATCAACCTCTTCTAGCCCCTCAAATCCTACCTCCTCATCCGAGTCTACAAATGCCACAGGTACATCCTCTGCCGCACCATCTGCTTCTTCTCCGATCGGTCAGACATGCGTCAAAGGTACAGGACCGGGCAATTATCTCGGTCTCTGTGATTTCTCCTGTAATTTCGGCTATTGTCCCTCTCCCTGCTCCTGCGTCCAGTTTTCCTCAACCGCAGTCCCACCGCCCCCTATTTCAAACACGCCTGGATTTCCACTGCCAGGACTCAATGCGGATTATTCAGGCTTGTGTAGTTTTACGTGCAATCATGGATACTGTCCCGACGGAGCTTGCACTACGGATTCTTCGGCTGCCGCTGGAAATTTATCTTCGAGTGCGATATCAATGTCGAGTTCGACATCTTCCACACTGCCGACTTCGAGCCTGGGGCAATTGACACTGACGGCGCCGACAAGTACGGTGGTTGTTACTCTACAGGGCTCGCAGACTAGTACGGTAGTTGTGGTCCCAACTTCGACTGGCTAGTATTATCGTTGTGGAGTGGGCGGTAAGTTTGGGATGTTAAGTTTATATCGGCATTTGACGATCTGAGCTGTAGACTGAAGGGTATATATCAGAATTTAAAAAGACTAGGAGGGGAAAAGCCGACATTTTATTCCCATAGATTTGTGTACTGTATATTTCTTATGTTCGCTTCCACTGTACATATATTGAATGGGTTCCAGAGAAGAGAAGAATTTGTCAGATTGAATATAGAATTGTTTAGACCTAGAAAATGAATCAAGGAGCTAATCATTATTTGCAAGTGTATTGAGATTGTTCAGATGGCATCAGTAGCCCATTTAGGAGAATTTGAAAATTGTGTTCGAAAGTTGACGTTTCTTGATCTCGAAAGTTCGAGTGAGATCAGATATCTAGTAATAAGTCCGCATCTTCAACGGAAACTAAAATTGGATTGCTTACGTCGTCTCTATTCTTGTGATCAGCGTAATCATCAAGCATGAATTGTCTCATATTACTTCTTATAACATATCTTCAAACTCCGCATCATCTCATATACAGGCTCGGAAAGAATCCACCACTATTGATCTAGCTCATGCTTCATGCAAAGGCATTTTGCACATGCATTGCTGCAGCACGTACATCCCAACTGAATCAGATGATTACAGAGTGAAAGAACAAATTTATTATATTTGAATCATCTTTATTAGACTTCTTTGGGAAATGAGCTACTCCTCTTGTGATATTCACTTCCGCTCTTCTCAATACGAATAATAATAATCGAGAGCTTGAGAACTATTGAAATAAATTCCAGGTAGATATATCCCATTGATAAAACTAGATATGAAGCAGAGCTCACATGTCTTTGATGATCATCTACTTCACAATGTAAGATTACGTATTTACCCGTACTCACTTTCTTCTGCAAGGTAGTTGTAACACAACTTATACTGCTTTGATTCTGTTTGGTTCTCTTTGACACTAGTGCTTTATTAAGCTCAAACTTCCCCTCTTTGATTCATGCAGGGTATTCCATGTCATTTACATTCGCTTGCTGCGATGCCGGAACGATCGCAGCTCATTTTGATTATATAAGGTCCCACTTTCGGCACTTGCGAGCTCTTTCCTCCTCGATCAGCCTCCTCTTAACTGCAAGTTGATAAGAAACTTGCAAAATTTAGACACAAAAAACTTTGAAAACTCTCACGTCAATCAACAATCAGTTCAATCATGTCTGGAAAGGGTACTTCTGGCTCCAGTGGCTCTGGTAACTCTCTCGGTAGCCCATATACTGTCAACAGCAGTGGTACCAACAGCCAAGTAAGTTCCCGACCGCTAGGATCATTCTCTTCACACTCAACTATCCATTGATCTTGTAAACAAGAAACTAACTCTCTAATCTTCAGGGCAATAGCTATGATAATCGCTCCACTCCCTCGGGTAAAGCTTATCACTACAGCAATAGCGGTATGTCGCTTTTCTCCACTCTACTCATCAAGCCTTAGGTTCTCCTTCATATAATAGCCGCATGCTGATCATTCGTACAAAAGATGGTTCTTACTACTATGCTAATGGTAATGGCTCCACGTATTACAACGGCAGCAGCGGTTCTACCTACACTGCTCCCGATGGTACTTCATACAAGAAGTAAGCTAGAAGCTCTTGCTTCCAGCCACTCGGTGGGCATTCTTACGATGGGTTTTAGCTTGTGCAGACCAGCTCTGGGAAGATAACCAGAGGACATTTTAAAGGGTAGAACGGATTAGCAGAATTCATATCTCGATTATTTTGGGGATATGATCGTTCAGTTTTCCAATCGAATCGATCTGACTTTGCTTCTGAAAATGAAGCTTTTGTCTGCTGCGTGCAGTGAAGTGAAATGATTTAGACTGCGATTGCTTCATTCTTTGATCTCTTCACTACCACTTTACAGTGACTTGAGCAAGAACCACCTGGTATCTGTCTTACCGCAACTTTTCTCTCTTTCAATGAGGCAGAATCTGATTCTTGACGCGATCACATTTGCAGATGTCTAGACAAGAAACGAAATACCTGGCTGAAAACTATGATGGGTGATAGTAAGTGAATACCCATAGTTAGCGGCCAGTAAAACTAAAAGATTCAGAAACCCGTCACACCTGGCCAATAAATACAAAGAAGCAACCTTGAGAACCCAATACTTCATACATGAGAATGGGATAGGATTTGACAAACATCCCATTCCATATCATGATTTATATGCTTGACTAAACCACTGATTTCATCTTCTCGAAGCTCGGTTATCGCGCGCTACCTATAAGGATACTATTCATGTGAATGGCCCCCTTGCCACTCGCTTAAGCTCCCTACTCCTTATTCCCTGCAGATTTTATTTCTCTATCTGTGTATTATCATTTCGTCTATTCCCCTCCTACATATTATCTTAAGCATCGGTTGCATGATAAGAGTCTATTATTTTGCGTCTTCTTGATTATAGTAGTCCTACTCAGTACATGTAACATTCATCTCTATGTAGGTACAATGTGAGGATCGGAAAAAGAATGGGGACTACACGTCAAACAGGGAATCATGATATCCCAACAAAATCGTATCTCCAGAAGACAATCAGTGATCTCGAAAATTAATGGTATCATTTTGTAGCTCAAAAGAAAATATCCACATCTACTAAGTACAAACCCTGAATAGTCCTTTATTTTACTTCACGATCTTGGACTTCTTCTTGACTTTCTCGACCAAACTACTAAGATCCGCCTTATCCCCTTTCTCTCCCTCAACCTTCCTCTTCTTATTCTTCGTCTTCACTTCAACCTCTGCGTCATCCTCTCCACCTCTCTTCTTCCTTCCCTCTTCCAACAATTTCTTCATACCCTCTGTGCCCTTAAATTTTGGATTGCTTGGATCAATAGCATACTCGTGATTCTTGAAGACGTCAGCGAATCTCTCATCACCAACATCCATCTGGAAATTTTCTTGTAGGCCTCCTCTCTTGCTCTCGATTTCTTCACCCTTCTTTCCCTTTCCTTTACCCTTCTTCTTTTTCGCCTTTTCAGCGCGTTGAATCTCAGCAATATCGAAATGGTCCAGATGTTCTGCCTTGTCCGTCGAATTGTCCTGCATAAGCAATTCCAACTCTGCACGATTCGACGCCTTCTCTTCCGCTTCCTTAAGTTTCGCATCGTGTTTCTTCTTGCGTTCTTCTTTGCGTACTGATTTTGCTGCTTTGGATTTGGTAGCTTCATCGGTTGCAAAGAAAGGATCGTCGAATCCAAGATCTTCTTTGGCTTCGACTTCTTTCTCTTCATCATCAGAAGCGTTTGGATCTCTTCCTTCACGAACAGCCTTGGCCTTTTCTCTCCTGCGGGCCTTGCGTTCTTTCTCTTTACGGATATATGCTTCGGCTGTGGTTTCGTTAGGTATGGGCTCGTTTTCGAAGACGTTTCCCTTGGCGGTGGCGCTTAAACCGGCTGTAAATGTAATCTCCATGTCACCAACAGGGCCACTGTCTTTCTTCTTTTTGGTTGGCTCATCCCCTAGTCCAAGAGCTGCGCGAAGCTTTTGCCTCTCAAGTTCCTTCTTGGATAGTTTAGGCGCGTTTTCCTCGGCCTCTTCTTCTACCTCTTCATCGTCCTCCGAATCACTTCCTAGGTATGCTCGTAAATCGTTTTCGCCAATCTCTGCGCGACTACCTGTGAATGCTCGATTGATTGCATCTTTTCGGCTTGCTTCCTCAGGGTTCATATCCCATGTAAGTTTGACTTTGGAATGCTGAAGCGCATCTGTAACGAACTCGGTAGGTTTATATCCAGCAGGCACCTGTTCACACTCATCTCTTGGTTCATCATCAAATTCCGTACCATCGGGGATGAATCTTAGATCGAAAAAGTTGGCGGAACTCAAATACTCTGTGCCGTCGCATTTCTGGTAAATATTCTCTGCAGTTTTCTCGTCCGAACAAACAACAACGGCATAGAAATATCGTAGTCGTTCGAGTTGGTATTGTCGTAGTGCCGCGCCATCGAATTCATTACCATCGTCTGCCTTTTGTAAATCCTTCTTAATTTTCTCCTCTAATTCTTCGTCATCGGTTTCCTCGTCATCCTCATCCTCTTCTTCGTGCTTCTTTGCGAAGATCTCTTTTGGTGGGCCCTCTAATTCTTCTCGTTCCATCCTTTCTTTTCCATACTCAGACTGGTAGATAGAAATCTTATGAATCTTTCCGCCAGGATTGACGAAACTCTGAAAAACAGCCATTAAATCCACCGATCGAATATTGTCCCAATCCAGATTGACTACCGCTATTCTCGAAGAAACCTCTCCCATTTCGACTGCCTGCTGCTCTGCTTGCATATCTGGAAAAGTAGCTTCCTCTTCAATATCCACTCCTCCATCTTCATCTTCATCCTCATCCTCGTCTTCCGAAGAAGAAAAACCACCACCTCTCGCAGGATCATATCCCGCAGCCGCTTTTTTCAGTTCCTTTTCTACTACCTCGTCGTCCTCCACCTCCACGTCTTCTCCGCCCTCATTCTCATCGTCACTTTCACTGTCCTCGTCTTCTTCATCCTCATCAACATACAATCTCTCCAGCGCCTTCTTCTTTCCACTGCCACTCAATTTCCTTCCATATCGATCCACCTTTGCTGAATTGGAGAAATCATCATCTTTCAGCATGCGCGAGAATCGTTTATCAATCTTCGTTCTGGTCTGTTTCTTAGAAGGGAGTCGAAATCGCGGATCGGTAGTGAAATTCGAGAATCGAGGATCATTGATTGCAGAAGCAGAGGATGCATCATTTGATGCACCCTTAGGAGCTTTTTGTTTTGGCATTGTGCTGTAATAGTTTCTAAAATGTGCAATTGACAAGCCTAGAACTTGGAAAATTGAATTTCTTAGGAATTGAGAAACTTTTTTTCGAGACTGCGGGATTTTGCCGGTGGATATAAAAAGCGGTGAGATGAGTATGTACGCTAATTAGTCAGTCAGCCACAGCCTTAGCCACATCCCTAGCAGCAATGACGAAATGCCTTGTGTGGATCTTCTGTCTGACAATGAGTTTACTGGCCAGACTTGAGATGAATTAGAACTTCGTTCAAATAAGATTTATGTATTATTAACCCAATTATACAGACTTTAAATAAGTTTCAATTTCACAGCTTACAGCAGAATTGTCATCAAATATGGATCGCGAAGAGAAACTTGATAAACGTGTATGTCACTGCTCCCTGGTAACCCCCTCGCCCGCTTGGATCCTCAGCACCGCAAGCATCTTGTTCCCTTGATAACTCTGTTGCGTAACTAAGACCCATACAGATAGCCTTTACAGTGAGCGGGAAAGTCCAAGGTTCGTTGTAGAATATATCTATGGTTGATTATACATATGGACAGTACTTCACTCATCACGTTCACCCAGTGATTTTAGGAAGCATTGTTGACAATTCAAATTCTCAGGAGTCAATTTCCGCTGGTTCACGCAGAAGAAAGCGAGGGCACTTGGTGTTGTTGGTTGGGTACGCAATACGGATGATGGAAAAGTACGTTCCATCTATTCATATCTTTTGATCTCTTTCCCTTTCCCCCAATGTCCCCCAAAGCCTTGCTCCTACCCTAAACCAACATGATACGATAGGTAAAGGGTGAGGCTCAAGGTTCTGCCTCCCAAATCGAAAGTTTACGCGCAGATCTCAAAGAAGGGCCATCTCATGCAAATGTCACAGGGTATGAAGACAAGGAGCTGGATTTCAAGGAGAAAGGGGTAGCCGAGGAGAGGTTTGAGGTTGTAAGGTAGTGAAGATTGATTCCTATAGAATATGTGTTGGTCCGGATGTTGAACCATGAAATGATGTTATGCTAGTTCGTCAATAATCATTGCAACTTCCAACTCATATCAGGGGAGTTTACTGGTGGCTGCTGATCGTGCGTTTGCAATTTATTACATTATTACAGGTAAATAACGAGATCGAAGAGACAAATACCTTTAATGATGCAGACGAAATGTTATTCAATGATTGGTATCGAGTAATGATAATGACAATGGAGAGCTGACACCTCATCTCCAATGCCTAGAGTTTCTTCCGTCTTGCCTCTACTTGAGCTGTCTTGTCAGAGTATCAAAAGCTAGGTACCTAGGTAGCCACAAGTACCATCCGTCCACCAGGCCCGCGATTTAAGAGCTGAATTTTCTGTCTGGTCAATTTTATCTCCCTTGTCCCGTTGCTCCTCAAGATGCTCTCATGACTCAAGCCAGAGAGGACAGTACCATGATTCGTTGGATCTTGAAAACATTTATACCCGTACCATTTCTAGCTTTTATAAGCGGTGGAATGAGAAAGCGATAGACAACGGTAGGCTTTGGTGTAAATGGAACCATAGGTAGAGGCGGTGATGATGGTTTTGGGGGAAGAGGAGGAGCTGCAGTGCTTAGCGGTGGAAGCGTCCTCGACCAAGACAGTGACTCGTACGCTACTGACGCAGAAGTTTGTCTCGTTTTCTTGAATGTATTCCCCGGCGAAGGCGCCGACCGCACTGAACTCCGAAACACAGATCAGGATATTCCGGTCCCCTCCGTGGCAGCCGGATGTCACAACACCGTCGTCATTATCAGCACCGTTCGTGCCCGAATCGTCGACACGTGCATCGATTTGAAACGCCTATCATCGTAAAATCAAAACACATTGTCTATATTTCTCCCCAAACATTCCAGCATCATTATCCGACCATTCTATTTCCACATCCAACACAATGAACACTTCCAAACCTATCATAAATAAGCAATGTATAATTGTCATATCTCTCTTTCTATTAAGTTAAATTTTCAACCCATCGTTGCATCCCTCGATCCCTAATTGATTTTGCTATACAAAATTTTAGCTCATCTGATTCCACCAGCTACCGTCCTCTGCGCTATACGTCTTATGAATCTTTCGTTTCATCTCTAATCTTTCCACCTTACCCCTCTCCAAAAATGAATCAAACTACATATCCCATATAGTGAGTTATGTATGCACATCTTTCTTTCATTCGATCCGTCCGTCTCTCATTTTCAGCGACCAATTTTCAACCCCATATCTCATCTTTTCTCCCATTCGCCTACACACGAGTTTTTCTTTGAAACAACCAAATCCCTCACATCACAAATTCATCCAAACACCCTATTTCCCAACTTTCTTTTGTACAACGCAAACGCAACTCCCACTACTTGGCTTAATAATACAATCCGTCTTTCTCCCTTTCTCAAAATCAAACTTTGATATCCGTCTTCTCTTGTTCAACTCCTGCTTCGGTATCACTCTTGACATTTGTCGCCAAACCCTCATTTTCTTTCCCCTTAATATTCTCCTCAACCCCCGGCCCCTCCAAATCAATCTCCTTCCTCAGATCGGGCAAAAATCTGTCTATTCTCTTCCAAGTTTCGGTCCATAACTTCTCTTGCGTCTCATCTTGACTACGCGGTACCAAGTATCCGCTACTGGACATTACAAGAAGGACATTCTTCAAACTTTCTGGTACTGCTTCTTCCTATTTCATTTATTAGTAAATTTACAACAATCGAATAGTTCTATTGACATACCAAACTATCACCCTGTCCACTATTCATCAAGCGATCCATGATGTCAAGTATCTTAATCCAAAGATCTAGCATACCCTCCCATTTCGACAATAGTACCAAATAGTGCAAGAAGATCCTACATAGAAGCGTGGCGGCTTGAACACGAGTTTCACTCATGCCAATGGGATCAGATGAGTATACTTCTGGCTTTAGCAATCGAGTTATGAGAGGGAAGAGAACCTCGCCGAATATAGCGGTCCATTCTTCGTGATCACCTGACGTTAATTCAGGTGACAATAACGAACGCTGTAACGAAGAGAATGCTTGATGTCGAATTTCTCGGCAAGGATTGGTACACTGTGTGGTCAAAGCCATGAAGATTGGTGACCAATAATTTGCCCAGGCTATAGTGAGTTAGTAAAAGTTGATGCGATGGATGAATTGACACATACCCTCTTTGCTTTCAAGATGTGATTGTTCCATCAGGACAGGAATTCGCGACGTCAAAGAATATATCATCGTTATAGCCTTGACTCCTCTAGCTACGACCGCATCTACCACCTGCGGCTTTGGTTGTTTGACTGGTTGTCCTCTTCGTGTCCTCTTATCCTGTTTTTGCTCCATGGTAGACCCTACACTCCCGGCAGTGGCAAAATCATTGAGCAACTTAACAGCCGATTCATAATTGTCTGCCATTATAGTTGGTGGAGAACCAATAGCAACGCCTTCGAGGATTTCGAACACAGCCGATGCTGAAGGACTGGTTGCAAGATTTTTAAGAATTACCCAGAAGTCAGGAGAAGTCATGATTTCGTTTCGTAATGGACCTGGCTCTTTTATACATTGTGTTAATCCTTGAAGAACAAGTGTGGCAGATTTCTCGAACAAATCTTTCTTGAAACTTGAGATAGCGTGAAGCACCACAGGAACACGAATATATGATTGTTCCTACATATATTAGCTTTGATTGGTTAGACAAGATAGGATATACTAACATAGCTTGCGTGCAGTAGGTGCAGTAGATAGAATATTGTCCTAGATACCATCAAGGGATGCCAACTGGCAGAGTTTCGTAGAACATTTTGTAAAGCTTCTGCAACTTCAGCCCCAAATGCGTTGATAGTTTCATTATCTCGCATTGCAAGCACGGTACACAGCTCTAATATGTAAACCATGGATGGATCATACACAGGACCGGATGGTGCACCGTTAACGCCGTTGGTAGGACTTAATGGAGGTTCCACGTCCGATTTTACACTTATGACGACCGATGAAGGGTCATCTGGCAATTGCGATATCAATGCTTGTATGAGAGGTCGTAAGGAATCAATAGGCATTTTTCTAATCACATTAGCTATCGAGTCAGAAGAACAAAGTAGACACTACTTACACTACATTTGCGAACACGTCGCCCATGAAGCAAGCATTCACACAATCGACTGCGCACAAGGTACTTTCGAGCTCTTCATCCGATGGCTCTGGAGGATCGTCTGCAGCATAGCTAGTAATGTATGACGCAAAAGCAGAGAAAAGACCGGTGTCGCTGGGTTTCGCCCCACGATCAATGACTTGGGAAGGATTTTGTAAGGGAATTGGAGCAATATCCATGCTATTAGATGTAGCAAAGAATGGGGGTATCAAAGAATTAACAAATAAGTTCAACCAAATCCTAGAAATCTGTACATGCGATTAGCAAATCTTAGGAAGTGTTTGACTATTGATCAACTTACGTGCTTCCAACTTTCTCGTATCACACTTTCACTACCTAACACAACACGGAAAAGAACAACAGTCGCAAGCTGTGCCTTCACATCTCTACCAAACTTGACTGCAAGTTCACTGACCATGACACTATTATCTCCAACCTGTATCTCCGTATTGAGAGTAGTACTGGATGGAATTTCTGTTGCAAGTGTAGTAATGTGACTCAGACAATACACGACTTGGTCAATGACTTCAGTCAAACCATGTTTGGCTGCGATACGGACACACTGATCAAAACCAGTGATAACTCTCTCAAACACAGCATCATCAGTAGCCGACATAAAGACATACGACAGAGTTGCAACCACCGGTTTCCAAGTAGCTGCGAACATATCTGCATCGAAGATATTAGTGTTGCAAATAGTGAGATCACCCGCGGTAGCAGTTTTTAGTAATAGTTCCTTCCAAGCATAGTCGAAAGCATGTTTGTTGTCGTGCTCATCAGGTAAAATGATTTCGTTTGATTTGATAGACTCGTAGATGTCCTGGAGGTATTGCGGAGCAAAATCCTGCCCGCCATTAACCCCACGTAAATTCCGTGCAAAGTTTTCTAGCTCCATACGTTTACCCTTCATGTTCGGATTATGCTGATCCGTGTTCAACATGATAATGGCATAAGTCAAAACATATACGGAATCTTTATCCGCGATACCTTCGGGTAAAGTGCCCGAACAGTAATTTTCTGCGAAAGTCGAGATAATCCGTTCAATCAAAGCAGATTCTCCTGGTAATCTAAAAGTCTCGAGGAGTTCACGCAGCGCCTCATCAACTCTCTTGTTTTCAAAATCAAACGAGTCCATCAAAGCTTCTAAAATTGGCTCATTTCCTTTCTTGGATATGAATTCACCCAATTGTTTTTTATCGATTCGAGATGTTCCTTTCAGGAAATTTGCGACAGTCTTTGCATCTCTTGGATCATCTATGATGCCCTGTGATGCCAAGAACGCAATTCCAGCCTTCGGGCTCTCGTTAAATTTGACCGTTCCCTGAATGATAATCTTCTTCCTTCGTTTCTGCTCGCGTAGTGTTGCTTGGTCAGGGTAGCCATCGTATTTCGGCTCATCGCCAAGTCTATCTGCAATAAATTGAACAAAACCTAGGAGGGCATCCAGACAGAGTGGTGGGACACTTGTCGTACTCCAAGTTGCAGAATCTGGAATCGCATTGCGAGACAGAAGTCCAACCATATCCTCGCAGATATCACTTCGGTCGATCTCGCAATCATAATTGACGTATAGTTCAGCCATGTAGCTCGGGATCCGCGCGAGAGCTCCAACACTTTCCACCATTGCTTCACGTGCATCTGGCTTACGCGATCCACCTTCTAACCCTAGGGTTCGACGGTCTTTCACAGGTACAGGCGTGGAACGACCGCTGCTAGCTTGTGATGGTGGGGGTTTAACCAGTTTTGGAGCCTGTGGTATACCGGCATACAGGGAGGGATCGATTCCTCTTTCCCGGGGAATTTCTACACGAGGATGCAAGCATGCAACCAGATAAGACAGAAAGAGCTCTTGCTGCAACTTCAAGACTCCTCTGCACGTCGAGAGAAGAGTGCCAGCAACAATAAGCGAATCCTGTAAGATGGCCATATTGTCTGATCGGACTAATTGGAATAGATATCGACAAAGGCGGTCTTCAGCAAGGGTTGCCAAAGCTGGATGCTTGGCAATTGAAGGGCCTGCTATCTCTAGAGCTACGTTGATCATACGAAGAGCGATAACTCTCAAAGAATCGGCATGTTTTCGATCGTGAGGATCTAGTAAATCTATCAAAGCCCTAAATAGCTCACAAATAGATGGGAGAGAATAAGGCTTGCTGGGAGTATCATCCGAAGCTTCTGATGCGGGTGCCACAATTCCAGCTTCGGATGAAGATTCTAGGAGAGGAACCTTCTCCATAGCAGACGACGGACGTGATGTATCGAAGCTTGAAGAAGGCGGCCGTGATCCGGCAGGAGATGCGGTCAATTTCGTGATAGCACTTGTACTCACTGCTGAAGGGGCCATCTTGACAGTGTCCATATCTTCCTTTGTCTTCTCGTCTAAAGCTTCTAGATCATCCCCAGCCTCAATTTCTAAATGCTTGAGTCTCTCGAAAATGATCTGACACATCTTGGCCATAGTCATTTCGGCAGACCCACGAAATAACTCTGATAGCTGTGGCTGACAACACATATTTAAGTTCGTCTCCATCATTTTACAAACACTTCCATCACTCAGTAAATCTCCGCCGGGGCCAGACAGCATTCCTTCCATAAGTTTCAATATTTTCTGATATACCTTCTCTTCAGCCACTGTATCTCGAGCTTCAAAGCGGCAATTTGTCATGGCAGCAGATAAAGACTGCATTGCCTGTGAAAGTCGAGGGGAGCTTGGACTAATTAAGTTGTACGAGAAGAACTTTATGATAGCAGCTAGGGCTAAAGTTGTGATCGGCGACGGCGTTGCGGGATTTTCGATGACCATAACTTGGAGAAAAGGATGGAGTAAAGACGGCACATCGAATGTGTGTATATCTAGCAGTAGAAAAATCAGAAGATCAGTTGTGCCCAGCTCAAAAGTGATTTATGTTGCCTACCTTTGCATCCTGTCAATTCTTGTCTGAGACGCTGAAATCCCGCCATCAGAGGATTATCTTGCATGCTCTTCCCTTTCTTTCCCCTCAAACCCCATCTGATTGCCAAGCCTGCATCATCGTTCCCCTCTGAGGCAGCCGAACCTTTCGGTGCCCTGCGAGTTCCTGGCTCATCTCGCGGTGTAGAAGGCCTTGAGTTCTGAACCCCAGTGCTCAGCGGACTTGAATGCCCACCCAATATCGAAGAAGCCGATGAATGCGCCCACCGAGGATGTTTCCGCATGGCAGAAGTAACAGCACGACATTCTTGAATGATAAGGGTGACAGGGTCGACAGCGACTGAAATCATACTAGTATTCGAGGCCATGCTGCCATTAAGTCGTTGCGGGGCGACACTATCAATGCTTTGGCGCAAAGCTGTAGAAGATGTTGAATGACATTTGGGAGAGGTAGCCGAAGCTGTATCTTGTATTGGGGCATTATTGCTCATGTTGTATGTCGATTACCCACCGAGCACAGCATAAGGACTATTCGCCAATGTGAACCACGCGCAGGTGCTGTCAATCTTGAACGATATAAGGAATTCTATTGGAATAGATTCGAGTCGCAAAAAACAAAAGAACTGTTTGTATGTATTATACAAATACGAAAATGACAACTAGATTGGATATCAAAAGTAAATACCTACGGTGTCATTGTAGGCTATACTTTACCAGGTACATAAATTCGAAGAGCACAGATGTCTGTAATGGCAGAAATACGGGTACCCGAGTAGCGATACTGTGTTCTTTGACATGACAGCCAAATAACCTTTTAGGGTTACCCAAGACATGATGAATTGAAATTTCAAGAAGCAAAAAGAAAGCAGAAAAAATAACTGCTTCGATATTTCGTAAGGTGGTTGTTAGTCAATAATTTCAATTCTATAGTACTGCTGTGTGTAGGTATTTTTACAAGAACTCCATCCTAGATTACACTTCAAAGTTAAGACTTAAAAGTGCTGAAAGGCCACCCCCGTATTTACGATTCGGCATCGAGAATGCGTTTCCCCTCTCTCAACCCGTAAGGTAGAAATAATTTGTCGAGTTGTGATAATTTTCTAAATATCCTCGTAGCCTTGTCAAGGACTGGCCCAGCCAAAAGCTAATGCGTGTTACTCACTGAACCAAGTTTCCTTGTACGCCCCTCAAATGAATTCCGTTATTGTACCTGAACCAGTCAACAATGATGCTAATACTTGAATTTTATGACATTCTTACTTTGTCCTTTGGCTTATTTTCTTCGGCCTTGGAGTCTGGAGCTTTTGCAGCACCATTGTCTTCCTTAGCTTTAACTTCAGCTTTCTCCTTCTCCTTCTTCTCCTTGAGAGCCTCGTCTGCGATGACGTTCTTATCCTTCTCCCATTGTGGAGTTGGATCATCAAACTGTTCCTTCATCTTCTTATTACGTTCCGACTTTTCCTTTTCTTCATTTTCGCGAGCAATACGCTCTTGTTCCATTTCCTAAAAATCGTAAGTGATCTGTCAAAAGCCCAATATGATTCAACTGACCTCCATGTGACGAATATCATCAACACTTGGCTCATACAAATGCCAAATAGTATAATGAGGCAATCCAACTACCGAAAACTTCATTCGTTTTGCCATCTGTTCTGTTAATTAGCATAAGCATAACAAAAGTGTAGAAAGAGTTTCGAACCTTTCCGAATCCCTCAGTCTCGGCATGCTTTTCAAAACTAAAGGCAGGGAAATGGACACCAGATCTGAAAACCTTGGCTTTGGCCAAAATACTAACACCTCCAACACCATCGATATCCATTTCCATATCAGGGTCGCCATATGGGTCTCTCAAGTATGCAAGATGGGGACGCCATGTCGCATATTCCGCATAACCCTCCACGATAACTGCATCTTCGTCAAGAGTATCAGCTAAGGCCAAGGCTGTTTCGGACTCTTGCCATGAATTCAAATCATAAGGTTGCTCTCCTCCGAGCCAATCTGGCAATGGTCGCCAAACATCTAAAACCCGTTAGCCAATTGTAACAGAAATTATACACCATTACTCACTAGGTACAATGACGTCCTTATTGTGGCGCATCAGATCTTCTAGAATTGTGAAAGGTGCGGTCTCGACATCCACATCTCTCCAGTAAACCCAGCTGTGATAAGGACGTAATGCAGCGCTTAGAAGCCAATTTCTAGCTTGTGCCATCAACTTTCTTCGGCTTGCTTGTGCAGCAAAACCATGACGACTCTCTACATCTTGGTTGACCTTTTGACCGAAATCCTTCTCGATGATAGATATTTCACCATATGGTTGTTTTGGGTCCTCGTCGGCTTGTAATTTCTCCAAAAGCTCCGAGAGCAAAGATAGGGTGTTGTCCTTGGAATCAGAGACCAAGAATGCAAGATCTATAAGATGATGCGGGTATGTAAAATTACGAAGGTGCGCGAAAAACATTGGCAAATGGGGCTCGGCATCACGAAGGGGGGCACAAAGTAAGATCCGCTCCTCTCTTTCCCAACCTCTGGCCGTCCCTTGTACATTTGAAAGATCATAATATCGAACGGTTTCGAGTTGAAAGTCCTCCCCTGAAGATATGAGGCCAAAAGATAATACTGGAAGGACCGCGGCACCAGGCCATATAAACAGTCCAACTACTAATGCGAATACTAAGACGAGAGTCAAACGAACGAGAAGCTGCCTTCGACGGCGCAGCGCTGGCGGTGATGTCCTTGGTTGGAATCTGTATTTGAACGGTGTTAGTATATAAATATACAATTGCGCCGATGACTTTGGGTATTCAATTTGATCTGCACGAACCTATGTGGTGATATGGAGTATGTGTCGCTCTTAGAGTATGGATTGCTCTTGCGAGGATATCCATTAGAATATGCGGTTGCTTGATGCCTGGGCATCATTTTGGGTGAGGATACAGATGCATAAGAGGGTAACAATCAAAAGAGTTACAATGAACCCAGATGGCCGAATGTCAATGTTGACAGCTGGTTGTGGAAATATGAAGGTTGTGTATATTAGAATAGAATGCTTTAATTCAAAGCATCTCTAACTTCTGAGAGAGCAGGGGGGATTGCTGAGTGGATTCGTGTTCCTTGAGTGGGACTTGCTACAAACCCAAAAAAGAACCTTAGCCACAACTTCCCTACACACGGAATACAATTTACAGGGGATTCTAATCGAACTTAGAATTTGTATGTACCAATCATATTTATGTCGTAATGAATCAATGTAATTGTTGGTACGGTGAGATGGAATAATAATCAATTGTAATTTTCGTTCATTTCACCTCACAATTGGAGAAGAGATACTGTTCGAAGTATGTAAGAACGACACCAAGTCTACTTTTTTCTTGACATCTAAAAATTGGGACATTCCATGAATAGAAGACGTATGGATAAAGTTTATCTAGCATCTATCATCGATTGACCCTACCTCCCTAATAAAGTACCTACCTGCCTACTAGGTAGTATATCTCATGAACGGCTACTCCAGCAAACCCATCACTGAAAGTCTGAAACGTCGAACGAGCCATACTTTAATTTAAGCGATTAGACGCCAATGTTGAGCTTATTTTAAATATCTATCTGGGCAGGTATCATTAAGGCTGATTCAGCAATCTAATAGGAAGTTTTATAATTCAGCACTTAACTAACTTTTCACCTTGACAGAATACCTAATGAATAAGATTACATTTGCCATAAATCTTGAAAGGGGGCTTAGTAAGGGTTAATAAGATCTTTCGGATATGACAGTTATACGGTGGCTCGAGAGTGGCCCAAGAATTCGCTTGGCCTATAAGAAAGTCGACATTAAAAGTATGGAGATTCTGTTGTAGCTGTGCCCTTTTGACTCTAGGTAATAGTCGCGAGAAGGGGTCCACCGAGTGCTCAGGTCCTCTCACGTGTATTGGTGCCTGAGACCTATTCAGGCTTATATAGTTTCCGGAACAGGTTTAGTCTCTTGACCTAAGCTAGCGCATAAGCTAGTGAGAAGCTCTTTTTAATTCTCTTCGCACAAAAGATTGCAAGAATCTTTTATTCAAAAATTTTCAATCTTCCACAACTCTTAATTGACGGGAATTCAACAACAAATCAACAATTTTTGGTAAGTGACATTTGTCCAATCTCTTATGATCTCCCCTCTTTTCGATATGATTACAAAACCGATCTGTCAATCCCCTGACAACCAGATTTATCTGGACATGATGTCTTAAAATATGTTTTAATTCATGATTCATCGAACCTCAAATTTATCATTGCACAATCTACCACTTTAACAATAGGATCATTGCTAACATGATAAAGTGATCCATAGTCGTGAGCTCCAACTCAAAATGTCTCCGGGCATTGTTCCAGAGCCCGTTGCCATTTCATTCATTGCTGGCCGGTATTTGCTATTCGACATAAATGTCGTGACTCACCTTCGCAGGACTTACCATATCTGTGGTGTGTTGACTGGCACCATTCCACAGATCCCACAACAGAACTTATTCCTTGGCCTGCCCGTCGAATTGCTACCAGAAGAGGCCAAAGTTCTCGTCGATAAAAAGATTGCATATATTGTTGAGGATACCCCTTGGCATAAACAAAACTTCAGTTCGCTGGAAGGCCTGGATAGGAAGAAATATCTGGAGTCCCTCAAAACAGAGGCATTCAAAGCAAAAAGAGCTGCAGATACTGGAGCCAGGAAGCGCACTGAGAATGCTCTAGCGAAGAAAGCTTTGAAAGGTGGGAATGTATCGTTACCAAGTACATCTCGTGCAAGTAATGATACCCAAGATGCTATTTCCAATGAATCAGACCCCTTATTCGAGGATGAACGCCCTGCCTCTAGAGCCTCTTCTGTCGCGCCCTCATCCACGAAATCTTGGGGTATTACACCAACTGTTTCATATCCCTCATCATCTTCACCCCAAACATTTCCATCAAGTTCAGATCCATCCGTTCCTTCATCTTATCCTTTATTTGCTCACTTACACTCTCGTGACTACTTCATGACACCTGGTCTCCGATTCGGGTGCGACTATACTGTGTATCCAGGAGATCCTTTACGCTTTCATAGTCACTTCGTAGCGACAGGTTATGAATGGGATGAAGAAATCCGGCTACTAGACATAGTAGGAGGCGGTAGGTTAGGTACTGGTGTCAAAAAAGGCTTCTTGATTGGTGGCGAAAATCCTGAGAGGAAATCTGTTGAGGAAACCGACGGAGTAAGAACATTCTGTATAGAATGGGGTGGCATGTAATTTCAGAATGATATAGCTACCATATTCCAAGAAAAATGTACAAAAAATAAACAAAAAATGAACTTCAATTACTTTTGTCAAATCCGAGTGATGCCATGGAGACCAATGTATGAACTATGTGAAATTTTTTGAAAGCAGCCTTTTAATCAAAAGCCTCTCGATATTTCCACACATTGCATTTTGTTCTATGGAGGTCAATGATGTCGAAGTGCTAATCAAATCAAAGTTTCATCTCTTTCACCCCTCCTACCTACGATAATGTAACATTTAAGCTTCTTTTGAACATCACTACGGCACCTTTGCATTCTAGAATCGGCCGGAACAACGTATTCCGAAACATTAAATGAGGTCGCATCAGGCAATCAATAGGTCCCTGGAGATGTTTGGATTTCTCTCTTCGACATTGACTTTGTTGACTGTCAACATCTCAGTCATATTCTTCTTCCTTTTAGCCCAGGAGGATGCTCTTTATCTGGAATTTTTGATGGTCCGGTGAGACCAAGAAACGTCGATTAATTATCTCTTTGTGACGACCTAAGCCGTTTGCATTGATTCGAATCTTAGCTTATCATGGCCTCTCCAACAATGCTCGATAATGGTACAAAATTTGATATTGCTTCATGGACGAACTGGACCGCAGTTAATGTTACGCAATATGTCCCGTCTGCAAGGGATTTTGCTTTGGCAGGACCGCGAATGGTCATGAAACTCGGTTCCTTTCTTGCAGTTCCGGAAAGTGTTGATAATATATTGGGTATAAGGATGGCGTCACGAATAATTCCAGAAGCTACTGGATCTGGCATACCTGATCCCGCAGAAACGATAACTGCCGCAGCAGTTGCGGGCATAACACAGATTGTAGAAACCAGCTCGGAAACATTGACGGAAGAGAATATCATGGAAAGCTCAAGATTCTCTTTGGAGAGTGCGCGGAGTCTTGGAGGTTTATTTGCTTATGCCACAAGCAAATGGGCCCTTGGGTGTATAGTGATGGCCATCGTTTTGAATCGCACGCATATAATGGCCAGCACGAGAAGGCCACTCGAATTTACGTGGAAACCACGCTTCCTATTACGAATAATACCTATAATACTACTTCTCTTTCAAGCCAGATGGCTGCTGCAATCAATACAATGCCAGACATCCCCTGATTTTGGTTACTTACGGTGGGGTAATTCTTCAAAATCCCATAATCTCCTGTTCACCCAGGACGGAGGTCCCCTGCATACGTTCAGTCAAGCCCTTCTGTTTGGTGCTAAGGATTCATCCTCGTGTCTGGCAGTGAGTATGATTCCTAGTAATCATACTGTGGGAAACGAGACCAATTCTGAGGAGGGAATTCCCACCACATACGATCTTTCCGGATCTTTATCACTTCTATGGCCTTTGTTCAAAACATTTAGCTTCAGTCAATTTGTCGAAACAGTGTCCTGCGCTGTTCAAGGTAAGCCTACCCTATATGATACCTTTTCATCTTTTCTTTTGCATGCTCTAGATAGTGCTAGAGGATTGTGGTGTTCAAAAATCTCTTCATTTTCTATAATAACTTGGGTATACCATAAGTATGTGACCTAACAACATCCAGGTCGTCAGGTCGCAGCTGAAACGGGAATGACACTCTTCGAACACTCATTAGCCTTCGCTGAGGCCGATGCCGCTATTAGTGCTCAAATTGTTGGCTTTACCAAGATTAAGATCCCAGCGGAAGACAACTCAAATGCTGGACCCACTCAATTTCCTGTCACACGCTCCATGATCCTGAAGAAAATAAATACCACGCCAGAAGTCCTACTTGTTGGGTTCCTCTCAGTTATGAATCATTTGAGTAGTCACATCCTTGCAATCTTCGATATTCAAGGAAGATATCGGCTACTTAGTACCGGATTCTGGGGCATATCATTTATGTCAGTGATTGTATGGAGTCTCGTGTCATTTTCTTTCGATCATCCTTCAAGCCAAGCATTATTGAGGTTTCCTACGGTTTGTATTATTGGATTCATTCCCCATGTTCTCGTTCTGTGTGGTATCATCATATGTTCAATAATATACGGCGTTGCATTGATTTTGTCTACATTAGCCCCTGCTAGTGGTATCGACGAGTCCAACATTCCAGTTGGACAAAATCTGCCAGATACTCCTCGCCCTCGATTATCCTTCTCGCAGAGAGTGATCAATGCACATCATAACATGCAAGCGAATGTCCCATTGTCAAGTATACGAATAACAATGCACATGGACTTCTACACTGCTCTGCTAAGGACAGGGTTTGCTGTTATGACCATGGCTAGTGAAGCTGTTTATCTGAATGAGAGTCGAGGGGTAAATGTCAAACCCAATACCTGGCTCGAAGATGATCGTCTACGTGAGATTGAAGAGACTGGAGCACAATGGCTAGGCCCAAGTTTTAAAGCTCATGAATCTGAGCTTGCTATAGATGATCATATGCCTCATAATGTTGGTCTCGTAGCGGCTACTAACCAGAGGGTACTTCCACAAAAGAATAACAGTCCTTATGCGCGCGAGATGACTGCACAGAAGAATGCAAAGTCCAAAGGACAAGAGCGATCAGTCAGAGATGGTGTTGGTGCTACAGAGCGCAGTGGGCGTTGGGTGATGGCATTGGAGTTCTTTCTTGGGATCAATAGATTAATTCTCAGCTGGTAAGTCATCTCCCATTATTTGTCGTTCGCAGAAGTATCCATTCATCAACAGTTTGACAATGGAAGACTTTATCAAGACGTGCAGAACGGTATCACAAAGTTTCTTGCAATAAATAGTCACTTCCAAATTCACCTTCGCGCATGCCAAAGTATTGTACATTCTAAAAATTGCTAATTTATGGATTGCAGGTGGGCAACATGCATTTTGATGTTTATGAGTTGGCTTGGGATTCAGAGCCGCCCAGGCTGGCTTCTGTGGCTTGTATCGCGAACAAAAAGAGACCCCGCTAGCACAGTCGTGCAAGCAAATGACCCAGATACGCTTAACTTCTGGCTTCTGAATATGGATGGAGAATTGACTCTACCCAAAGATGACCATGTGGATGTAGAAGTAGAGATGAGAAGGCGACTGAAGACCAGCCAAGAATATTGGAGTCGACATAGAGAGACTGAGTTGGACTCCAGTCTATATCAATGGTGGCTGAATGGCGGCTGGTGGGGAAGTGATGATAATAGTGGAACATTTAGCCCCGAGAAAAAAGATATTGAAGATGACATGACCAGTGTAATCTCATATTCGACAGAAGACGAACGAGATTGGGAGTCAGACGATGCCGTTACAGATGGTCAAAGAACTCCCACACAACGATCACCTCACCCATCGCGAGAATCTAGTCCATTTCTCGACACACCCCTATCCACAACAGATCTAGCTCAACTTTTACATCCTCGAAACCCCGAACAAAGAGCAGAAGCTCAAGCCCTCTCACTCCACCTCTCAAGCGATAAAATACTAACCCGTTCCCGCTACCGCGACATCATTCAGAGAGAACGAGCTCATGTCCTGACATCCACTCTTCAACGCCCTCCAAATTTCATCCCCTCCGATCCATCGGGCAAACTTTCTCCAGACGAAGAAGCCCAAATCCTCGAGCATCTCATCATCTCCAAACGCAACTATCAAAAAGCCACCCAAGAACCGGCTTCCTGGATGCAAGGTGCATCCGGCATGGGAGAGAATGGCCCACAATGTGTGGTATGCCAGAGCTCACCCAGAAGTGTGATCGTATGGCCTTGTCGTTGCTTAAGCTTATGCGATGATTGTCGTGTTACGCTTGCGATGAATAACTTCGATAAGTGTGTTTGTTGTAGGAGGGATGTGGTGAGTTTTAGTAGGATCTTTGTTCCATAGTGGGGGGAAAGGGGTGAGAATAGGACCTTGGCAGGATGGGCGTGAATGGGTGCACAGAATGACTTGTTAGTCATGACACTCATCAGTTCGTCGTGGGGATTCGAAACATGTTCGTGCGGTATGAGCATATTCAGAGTCGACAGTAGAAAGGGTGGAATTTTTCTTTTCTTTTCTTTCAAGGGCGTGGGGATCTTATCGCGAGGAGTAGTACAAATTTTGTGTTTTCTTTTGTATCATTAGATTAACCTTTGTTATGTGATGTGTTATGAGTCAGTAGTATGTATCATGACATGAGCACATATCACAATAACGCACATAATATTCATCACCAATCTTACCCGAAACTTCGATTAGCTCGATTCGTGTAATTCAGTTTTCTTTACTTAAAATAATTAATATTTACTATCTTGTGATATCTCCATCTAATGATCCTGACATGGGGCATGTCGTACAAATAGCGCATTTATATCCAGAGCTCTCTGTGTGATATCGGCAAATCCCAATTCTTTCCTGAAATGATCGAATGTGATCAGTAGAGGGTATCGCGTCTCCGCTGATTTTGCTTTTCCTCCTGTTTCATCCTGTCTTCTTTTTACGGCTCTATGGTGCAATTTTCCTTGCAAAGATGCTGAAAGTACAGTAGGTGAATCTAAGTTTCCTATCTCTCTCCGTCCACCCAATTCGCATCTACTCTCTATGCACCTCATTTTGCTCTTCATCATTTTCTTTACAACGCTCCTTGAAATATCAAAACCTCAATCCCCATCTTTTTCCAAGAACCCCGGATCATTCCTCACCCTCGCTTCAAACTTCTTCCACCACTCTTCAAACGCCTTGAGAGGCACAACTTCTACCCCCTTCCCATTTCCCGCATCCATGATATTACCGCTGAAGCTCGCGAGGAAATTGAACGCATTCTTTATTATGCGTTGCGCCAGAACTAGCGTATCCGTATTTGTAGGCTGGGGTCTGGAGAGAACTAATGAGGTTCCAGGATTTGACGACGATGCACCTGCGGAAGAAGAATGGGACGAAGATAGCTGTGCCATTTGTGCAGATACCGACTCGGCGCTCTCGAGAGAGATTCCAATGGTGATTTCGCCTTGCATTTGGGGCGTGGAGGATTCGGCGTCCATGTCGATTTCGGGGGCATTGTTGGGAGCTTGAGAGGAAATGTCGCGGTTGATTTTGAAGATGGCGCTTTCTTTTCCGGGACCGATTCCCCCGAGGAATTTGAAGGGGGGGTCAATTGATGCGCCAGTGGGGGAGGGCGGGAGAGAGATGTAGACTGCGGCGGCGGTGGAGGGGGGGAGGGTGATTCCGGGGAGGATGAAGACGCAGATGTGTTGGTAGGGGCGGGCGGGGAGAGTAAAGGTAAAGGATGTTGGGGAAGGGGCAGAAGTGGGAGTTGTGATTGGTGGGAGACCGGTAGGAATTCTGGAGGAGGGAGAGGTTAGCTTTTTGCTTGTTAGGCTGGCTGCGAAGAGAGATTGGGAGAGTTCGGAGCTGAGGAGAGATGAACTTACATGCCAAATAATTGGGGTAGTGAAGGGGGAGCTTGCTCCATGGTGAATCTGTGATATTCTCGCGCGTTGTGATTGCGATGCGGATGTGACGTATGATAAAAAATAATAGCTACTCAAATATGTATGTAGCTGATCAGAGCTCCAATCTGTGCTCAAATAATACAAATCACACGAATTAACACAACACGATGACTGTATCTGAATAAATTGATAGCTTTTGTAAATGATAAAAATTGCTTGTAAATTGTGTTTGAAGAAATGAATGCGGATTTCGAATTGAGGTAACTGTTTTCACTCAAAGTAAGCTTAAGGAATTTTAACGTCATTTGCGAAAGTTCTCGTTGTGTCTAGAGTAGCAATCTGACTGCGGGGCTTGAGCGGGGCATCTTTTTTTGTGCGTGGTGGGGGTGTAAACCAAGCTGCAAAGTAATTTGAGCCATCGGATTCAGTCAGTCTTTGCTAATTTTGACTCCCGAGTTTCAATACACCTGGGTATAATTGCACTAGCAGTAGTACTGTGTCGATATTTGTACAAGGGGTTTTTGAAATTCTCTTTCTTACAAGACTTAGAAATCTAAGCTTTTGATATTGGTTGAAGAACTATATTTGGCATTCAATAGAAGTTTTTCTTTTGGATACAATTCATTCATCACATACGAATCACGCCTTTCTAGAGAGAAAATACGCAGAGAAGGAGACATCATGAAGACGTATTTAGATCTTGTCAATGAGTGCGATACGTAAGTATTTAATTTTGAGTTGTCTCAGTAACTTGGCTATTGCTAGATGGTGTCACTGCATGAAAACGGTTTGAACGGGTGGTGGCTGTTGAGGGAGGTGGGGGTTGGACTGCTTCTTGGAAGACACAAAATTCTATGACACAACCAAGTGGTTGATCAATTAAGTTTTAATCCATATGAAGATACGTCGGGTTACAAGGATAATGGGAGCCAATGTTTCCAAGAGCGGTTTTGAATTGAGCAAAATTCCAAAGTTCAAGTTGAACATAGGGAATTACTCCACTCAACTGCATAACCATCTCCAATCCTATCTTGAGCCTCAAAATTTTATCGCGCTATCTATCGTCGTCTTTTCAAGCCGCATCTCCAACTAATATCTCCCCAGATTTCCCTACCCCGAGAAAGATGCCACCGCTCACTCAACTCTAACTTCCACCCTCTACACCCTCATCCACGAGGACCCCACCACATCCACCACCTACCCTCTAGGCTACATCACCCTCCCCGTCTACCGTGCTCTCCTCAAAGTCCCCACCAGCATCAAAGGAGAAATGAGCATCAACCAATCTCAACGCACCATATCTCTTTTCACGCAAGCCACCGAGCCCGAACGCAGTGCCGCCGTCGCTGCAACATGCGAGTATTGGCGCACCAACAAAACCTTCGAAGTTCTATCCGGCTGGCGTGATGAGCTATATCCTGTCTATGGTCCCGGAAATGAAGTACTTTGGTCCATTGAACGCAGCGCTTCGGTTTTGTTCGGCATTCTCGGTTATGGAATTCACATGATGGCATATGTGCGTTGTCCCGAAGTGAAGTATGGGATGAAATTATGGGTCCCAAGACGTTCGGCCACAAAACAAACGTATCCATCTATGTTGGACAATACGGTTGCGGGAGGAATGTCTACGGGAGAAGATAAATTCGAGGCTTTGGTGAGAGAGTGTATGGAAGAAGCCAGTTTTCCAGAAGATGTTGTGAGGAAAAATGCAAAGGCTCACGGCGCTCTCACGTATTTCCATGTACGGGGAGCCACTGCTGGAGGAGAAATGGGGTTGATGCAGCCAGAATGTGAATACATTTATGATTTGGAGTTGCCTGCTGATGTCATTCCTAAACCAAATGATAGCGAGGTGGAACAATTCTATCTCTGGACTGTAGAGGAAGTTCAGGAGCACATGAAAATGGGAGAGTTCAAATCCAATTGCGGAATTGTTCTATTGGATTTCTTCATCAGATACGGCATATTGACAAGGGAGAATGAAAGCGATTTCGATGAGATCAACAGCAGGATTCATAGGAAATTGCCATTGCTCGGACCACATAATATTTGAATATTTTAGAATTCCAGATTTTAAAAGGTATCTGGTGCTTGAACGCCCTCAAGACTTTTTCAATTTCCCATCCACAACGCCCCACGCAAATGCAAAACCACATGTGCATACGATAAATCGGGGTTTAACTATCGATTTTCGTCTGCCAGATTCCTCACAAGGATTTCACCACAACATAGATAGCGAGTCCTTTCCTCTATTAGTTTTCGATTTCCCAGACAGTTTTCCAAGGCTATCTATTTCTTGATGAGGAGGTAGACATAGTCGACTCTTAGGGGTGTAAGCTTCTTGTAAGGACCCTCCAAACCCATTAACAATCCACCGAAGGAGACGTATGCCTTGCTATATCAGAAGTCAGTCAACCATTTCATTACATAGAGAGATACCATAGCCAAATAGCAAGCAAACAATCGATCATCATCAAATCCTCAATCCCAAGAGAAAGAAAAACACCTACATAAGATCACTGTTCTCCTGATCCTCAAACTTATAAATCTTTCCGTGACAAACATAATCAAACATATCCGCTAGCGTAGCCTCACCCCCCAATCCCATGCGATTAGCGTCTCTCCATCCCTTTCCATCATCCTTTGTGCCATCCAAATTGAGAGATGTCGCAAGCACAACGCGAATGTTGTCGCCGACGGCTAATGGGAATAGCTCGGTATTGATATCCAAAAGCATGGAGACGGAGTGATCGACCGTGGAGGTCGCCTTGATACGTCCTACTCGTACATATTTTTTATGGTCTAATTCGTTGACGGTGAAGTGCTCGTCGAAAAGTTGCGCGTCTTGAGGACCAGACATTGTGGATTAGAAATTGGAGATCGTGGAAATTGTAATGATAGTATTCGAACTTGAGGATCTTTGGAGGTTTGTATCGATCTTGGTGTAAATTGATCGAGGTATCGAAATATTATTCTGTCGGACTTCGATTTCAATAATTCGAGAGTGTGGTATCAAATGGCGATGCTGTAAGTAAATACTCAGTAAAGAAGCTTTGTCTTTCGCAAAATATTGCACTCTTCCAAAAACATCGAAAATCCAGACGGAGATCGGCCAAACGAATGTTCCGGCGCAAAAAAAATTAATGGCAAGTGGCTCGCTTTAGGTGGGATATGATTTCCATAAAATACTTACCCCGCGACCATCAAAATTAATTCTCGTCATAATTAACACCACCAATTTTTTCCAACATGGCTTTTCGTAAACGTAACGTAGCAATTGCGCAACCGGGAGTCCAAACTTCGCAGACTCCCATTCCGGAAAAAGTAGCACCCATTCCGGGTATTCGTCCCTCACCACTCGATGGTCGTCCAACGACATCAACGGGAATCCGTTCGCTCGATTCTATACTAGCTGGTCATGCGGGGCTTGCACTGGGCGCTTCATTGCTACTTGAGGAGAGTGGGACTACAGATTTTGGGGGCACGTTGTTGAAATACTATGCTGCGGAGGGAGTATTGCAAGGACATCATATTCACGTTTTGGGAATGCACCAAGGATGGGGAAGAGAATTGCCTGGAATGGGGGTTGCGGAGGGATCATCTTTGAAGAAAGACGCGGAGAATAAGGCGGCAGATGATAAGATGAAGATTGCGTGGAGATATGAGAGATTGGGGGAATTTGGGGCGAGTGGTGCTAGAGGTGGGTGGCCCTTTGTATATATGTGTGACCGATTCGTAGAAGAATATAATATCGAATTACAAAAGCTAATGCTCTTATTTGTGTGTAGAGAGAAGTACCGTGCAATCGAGTGCTGGCTCTTCAGGTTCAGCTGCAATATTTTGTCACGACTTCGATCTTAGTAAACGATTGATTCCACCTTCGTCTACTCAAATGCATTTCATACCCACGATTCTCAGACCCGACTTCGAATTCGCAGATGCAACAAACGGTACAAAATTACCCTTTACACCATTTCTCCAACATCTCTCGACTCAACTCTCCCGAACCCCTCCTACAACTATCCACCGCATCATAATTCCCTCCCTCCTCTCACCAGCTCTATACCCCTCGCATGCCTCTCTCCCCCATCACGTCCTCCCTTTCCTCCACGCTCTCCGTGCTCTACTCCGCCAGTACCCCACCCGACTAACTCTCATGCTCACCCTCCCTCTCCCCCTACACCCCCGCACGACCGCCCTCACAAAATGGATTGAGCTCCTCAGCGACGGTGTCCTCGAAATCGCTCCATTCCCATCCATAGCCATCATCCCCAAAGCCACACCGTCCAGCTCCTCCAATCCCGCTCAAGAAGAGCCTCCACAAGGAATGCTCAAAATCCATCGCCTACCCATATTCCACGAAAAGGGCGGCGGAAGCGCTGGGTTCGCTGGCGACGATTTGGCATTCTCGTTGAGTAGAAGAAAGGGACTTGTAATCAAACCCTACAGTTTACCACCCGTTGAAGACGAAGGGGAAGAACAAAAGGGCGGGATCGACATCGATGGAAAGGGAGGAAAAGCCACCAAAGTCGATATTGAATTTTAGATCATTGTAATTTCTCCCATTCATCAATTGTATGGACAAATTTTGTATATAGCGTAGCACCGGCGTTTGAGACGGATAGGAAACTTTATTCGGAATCGGAATGTTCAATATGATCTCCTAACATATCTTGCATCTCGAATTGGTTCCAAGTACCGTGCCCATTGGATGTGATGGCTCCCATGTAGTTACTGTCATATATGGCCTCTCGGGGATTATATGACATTCCTGAAATATGACGGCGAGCTCCTTCGCCCAGACATGAGGTGAGTATCATCCACGCTGTAGCGTTTGTTAGTGCTTGAGTGATGTGTGAGGGGTGGGAATTTTTGGGATAGGATCACATGCCGATGAAAAGCGTGATGCCAATTGACATCACTAGAATCAAGGGCCAAAGTGCAGGCATTGTGAATCACAAGATATCGTTTTAGTTTTCTTGATCCGTAGCTCACGAGTTGCAGGCGATGTTGCTACAATAAAAAGGTCATGCTGACTAATACAATATCACATCTTCGGCGATGCTGAAAGGACTTGCGTATCAAATTTGCATGCTATAAAATGGCCTTTTTCGATTGTACAAGATCACGATGTCAAAAGTGTTATGAGAGACGTTGCAATTGGAAAAAATTGTAGATTTATAACTATATAGTAATGCGCAGAACTGGCCGATGAGGCGTTTCAATGTTCTATAGCGACGATGGCCAAAGGATCTACCTTAATCCAAACTTACCTGCGAATTTTATCCAAACCAACATAGTAAACTAACATGTCAAGTATTCAAAGTCAAGACTCAAAAAACCTAATAGCACACATCTATTAGCGTAGAACTAACAGTGATGTTTAATGCTGAATATAAATTTCCAAGGTTTGTTCAGAAAGCCGTTTAAATCAAGCACTTCAACCGGCGACAGAAATCTGAATTACAAGACGCAAGACGAATCTCCGAAGCTCTGAAACCCCAGCTCCACAACCTATCATCCCAAGCTTGAAGGCCCAGTCCGGTGCGGGAGTAGGGTTCGGTTGATGAGCATTCATGGAATGGATAAGCTGTTATCATCATAACGAGGAGGTGCTAAAGGTGATGGAGTATACCGTACCTGTGAAGAACGTTGTTGCGCCTTGGATGTGTGAAACGTGAGAAGAATCTGTGACTAAAGTGACAATTAGCTTTTGTAATGTTTAAGTTGTTCAAAGCAAAATGAGGTAATGTCTTTTTGGATCAGAAAAGTTTTGGTATATTGGTTATCAACATGAAAGTTCAGAAGCAGAACTGATTAATTTTTTTTCATCATATAAAGACGGTATGGAGCGCGAGATTGGAAGATAGGTGAACTTACAAATGAGAAGACTCTTGCTTCAGGTGCAATAGACGGCAGGGTAGTGTTGTCGGAATGTGTGCTGCTTGTAGCAATCATTATCTATAATCTTGAGACAATCGTTAGCAATTGCAAAATGTGAATATTGCTGAGAAAAACACGAGCATTGAGATCGTGGCTCATATGGTGATGCATGTTTGTTCGTGGCTCAGGAGATCGCCGAGAACTAAAAGGTGTGTAGTTTGAATCCGGGCCAGGAATATGTAAGTGAAGAAAAGGTTGTAAAAACTTACCAAGTTAATTGAGACCAGAAGGTCGAGCTGCGACTGAAGATATTAGTGCGCAAAGTTTTCAAAACTTCTTGTCCAATAATACCGTTGTACCAGATATTGCTAGTATATTGTATTGCATTGCTTAAGAAGCAATTGATGAGGTTCGAGATGTTAAAGAAGGCAACTTGCAACCATCTCGAAACCAAATCAGAAGAATATTTTTTATTGTTTAAGAGAGAAAATCTGGTCGAGGTTCGCGAAAATTTAAGAAGGTTCAACCACGCTAAAACATCTGCAAGGATTTCATCGGTCCGTCTATTTCTCCGGACCCCCGGCAGAAAATGTTGATAGTTCCCACCGCAGAGAGGAGAGAGCTGTTTGCGATGGAAGTAAAAACTAAAAAGACGATACCATAGATACTTCAGGCTGGCCAATTTCACCAATTTCACCAATTTTCATATCAATCATGTCTGATCGAAGGAGAATAAATGGTCCCCCTGGTGGAACAAATCCACCAGTCTTTTTAAAGTATCTTACCAAAGATTCAAAGAGTCGCCCAGAACGACCTTCAAGGAATAGGCAACCCAATGTTTTAAGGAAAATTTGTATGTACATATCAATTTCAATACCAATGATTCTAAACTCATCTCCAATCAGTTTTGAAGACCGGTGTAACTCCATCAGCCTCAGGATCCGCATATCTCGAACTTGAACCATCTCAACCTTCAAATCAAGCAGCGCCAGGCCTTGCTTCCCTCTCTACATCCGGTCTCAAACTTGCGTGTACTGTCCATGGCCCTCGACCATTACCTAAGTCTGCCGCATTTTCACCGCATATGATCCTACAGACGCACGTCAAGTATGCGCCATTTGCAGCTAGAAGAAGACGAGGATATGTTAGGGATACAAGTGAAAGGGATCTTGGAGTGCATTTGGAAACGGCATTGAGAGGTGTAATCATTGGTGATAGATGGCCTAAGAGCGGAGTAGAGATAAACATTACGATTCTTGAAGGCGAGGAGGATCATTGGTGGGGTGATGATAAATCTTTTGGTTCGTTGACTGCAGGTGGATGGGGTATGATGAGTGTACTCAGCGGTTGCATCACTGTTGCTTCTGCAGCTATTGCCGATGCTGGAATCGATTGTGTTGATGTTGTTTCTGGCGGAGTCGCCGCATTAGTACGTTCACCGGCCACTCCAGAGCAGGATGGTTCTACTGAATTGGTTTTGGACCCAGTACCATCTGAACATAAGGAGATTCTAGCTGCATGTATCGTGGCATATCTTCCAGCTCGAGATGAGATCACAGACCTTTGGGTGAAAGGAGATATTGGGCATTCAACTGAGTCTAATACTGATGATCCATCTTATGAAAAACTCACAGAGAATGCAGTACAGGCTGCTTTGGGTGCACATAGGGTTCTCATCGGAGCTCTGAAGGAAACTGCAGATATCAAATTCAGAAGATGAGACTGCGCTTTCAATGCTTGCTCGTGTATTTGAAATTGGAGTTTTTGGGCGTTAGAAAAGAGAGTAACCATCAGCCAACATTGGCATTGGATGAACAAGGCGTTAAAGGAAATCAGGACCTTATTGCATGAAAGCGAGGAGTTTCTCGTGATCTTTCGAAAGTTAGGCTTCGATATCTACGTTGAATGATTACAGAATTGTCATTGTTCATTTTCAAACACAGATGCACATTCTTCTCGGTACACCTCTTTCATGATTGATTTTATATTGTATGCATGAACAACACTTGAAAATTTCATTTGAAGCCCCTTCACCATTTCTCACAATTAAAGAGCACCACAATTACACCTACTATCTTTATGGACTTCCAGGAATCATGTATGAATAACCTCTTTAAGGTACCCCTAAACAAACACCAAGCTTTCAATTCACATCAAAAGCAGGCAGTATCATAAGCCAAGCTGCATACCAATACCCTCCCCAAAATAAAAACATCTCCAAACTCCATCGTTTCATTCATGTATCCACAGTTCGCTTTCATCATCTTGCAGTATATAGAATACCAAACTTCCCATATCCCAAGTCAACTCGATGAACATTTCGAAGAGATTATTGATTACATTTTGAAACACCATACTTGAACTTTTAATTAAAACACAACCCTGTAACCTCACTCGCAAAATCACATACCCAAAGTCGCTAAACTCTTCAACCCCTCAATATCACCCAAAAGGGCGAACCAGCAATCCAATCACTTCCCAACATCCAAGCTCGGCAAGCCTAAGAGTGGAAAGAGAAAGGACGCGAATAACAACAAACATGCCGTCCAAGATTCAACTTGATGAGAATCTGGTGTTTTTGTATATCTGTCTACAGAAATCAGATATGAAAACTGTGAGTACATTCCATAGACAGGATATTTTGTTGATGTTTTAGCTCGGTATATATCGACATCTTGTAAACAAACTATTTACAACACTATATCCCATTTTATCTTTCCCATCCCCTTTCCCACCAACTCAATCGACACCCATGATTCTCCTTCCCCACTCTAACAACTTTCTCCCCATCTATAGATTGATTTCGCCGCCGTAGGCCAAACGACTAATCTCAAATCTCCCGCTGCACGTATGCGCTACACGAGACTGAAACGCCAGATTGAAAAGGGGGTTATAGGGGCGAATGCGAATATTAATCTTCGGAGTGGGGGGGATGAGAGGGAGAGGAATGGGGAGGAGAAAGAAAGGAGGAAGGAGAAAAGAGAGAAGAAGATGAGAGAGAAGAAACAGAAAGAGGAGAAGAGGGAGAGAGAGGGTGTGGAAAAGAAGGAGAAAGTGGAAGCTAAAGAGTGGAATAGGGTGGACGGTGGTTTGGGAATGGAAATGGGGATGGAACTGAAAATGAAAATGTATGATGGAGTGGAGAAAGAAGAAGGAAAGAGAAAGAGGGAAGTTGGAGATACCACGGAATCGGACGCAGACGCGATCTCAGAACCGGATTTCCAGCTCCAAGGATGGAAAACCTCCATACTCAACAACACAACCTCTCCATTCCCCGCAGATCTTCCCCCATCCATCCAGTTTTCCACGCACCCGCAGACCGAACATCTCCCTCACCCATACCTCCACAACTATCCCGCAACATCCGCTCCCCAACCGAACATCTCGCAAAGCGATTTTTTAGCATCACAATCCATGTCCCAGACTCACCCAGACCAACTCCCCTCCCAAACATCCTCCCCTCCCCTCCTCGATCCCCAAATAAAACTCGAACCCTACTCCCCCTTCTCCTCCTTCTCCTCTTATTCCACCGAACGCAGCATACCCAATTTTCACGAGCGCACCGAAGACGAAGACGCAGATTCCGAAGACGAGATGCCGCTCGCTAAACGTCGAGGTTTGGGGAAACGACACGCTTCTCGTTCTCATTCTCAATCTCAATCTCAATCTCCACATGGAAATGGAAATGAAAATCCAAACCCAGATAGAGAAGAAATTTCACATACAAATACCTCGAAAATCGCAGAGGGATATGGAGATGCACATTCTCATTCACATTCTCATTCGTGTTCTGAGATGAGTGATCTGCGGGAGAGTGGATGTGCAGATGAATACACATATACACATCCTCCTCTTCGCAGCTCCATACACGCACCTATTACTTCTTCTCAATACGCATACGCATATCCAAATCCCTACACCACACCCTACAAATCGATCTACACCCCTCCAGCCTCCTCCTACGAAACCCTCGAGTCCTTGAATTCTACACTTTTAGCCCCCCTCCCCTCTCCCCCCTTAATATCCTCATCAAAATCCACCTCTACCCCCTCCAACCCACCACCCCATCCCCATCCCTACAACTGGGCCGACACATACCAATCCTACCGACATCTCTGGGGCACCGAACGTATCGCACGAGTCTCTCCTCCGCCTCCGCCTCCACCTCCATCTATATCGACTTCTTCATGTCCATCTTCATCTTCTTCTTCGCCTTTACCCCTATACCATAACCATGACCATAACCATAATTACAACCACAACCCCACTCACACTCACACCCACACTCCCACTCCCAGTCACAACCATACCCACAACCACAACAAAATCACCAATGCTAATACGATTCCCGACTCTGATTTTCCAGCACCTCTCCCTACTCAATCGCCTCGTTCCAATACTCACCCTTTATCGTTTTCGCAGTGGTGATTTTGTTTCTAACATTTCTGCTTGTTTGCTTGTTCGTTTGTTTGTTTTCTTCGAGTTGCATGTTAACAATTTAGATAGGGGTTCAGACGGGAATGGGGACAGAACAGAATGAACAAGTCAAATTCGATTAAATAGATCCAATTCCACTCTCTTATCCCTTTCCAAAACATAAAAAGCGATGTTCCTACTTCAGATTTCACCTCCTCAATCGCTTTCTCTCAAATGGCATAACGGGTACACGTAAGAAATGAAAATTGACAATTTCGTCCCTTTCTACTCTAGTCTATCAAGATGATATCACTAACACCCCCAAATAATGCCCGAGAAAATGATTATATATCAACTGAATTAATTGATTCATCGGCATACTATGATAATGCCTCTCATCTCATACTCTATGTGCAGTACAGATATACCATCCATCTATTCGCAATCAATGTCTCAAGATTGCAATGGCAGCCCCATGCGTATCCTAAAGAATATTTATGTACAAAAGTCCCTCCCAGTAATAGGCCTAATATCCACAAGCTGCGCCATATGACAAGCCAAGCTTGCAGTCATCTAAACTCAACCAGAACCATCCATCATTTTCAACGCCATTTTTCAACTCCCGCTCCATTCCAAGTAAAAGCGCCATGCTAAAAGAAGAATGTGTGATAAAATAAGTATGAAGAAAAAGGTTTCCAGGTTTCAGAGTAGAACCAGATTCCTCATTCACTGGTCCATCTATTCATTTGTTCTCGAATTTCTCGTATCATGACTCTTCAAGCGGTGTCATTAGAGGGCTTTTCCTCGTCGGACTGCCCGTTCTGCTTCTTCTTCCTGCACCTAAAGAATGCAAAGTAGGAGCTAATCTTTCCCGACTTTCCGTTCTGACTACCAGACCACTTCTACTCCATGCATTTGGCATGCCGGTTCCCAATCCAAGGCCAACACATTGGCCATGCTGCGAATTATTATCGAAATAATTGGCCGCTTCAAAATTAACCACATTCAATTTCGGCGTTGCTAATCCAGAAGATCTTCCTACTCGAGATCCTTCACTTCCATCCGAATTGTCGTTTTCTTCGGATGAATCAACGTCACCCAATTCGAACTCAGCAGCGGCATCACCATCTTCCAATACGCGTTCGTAACTAGTGGAGCCTCGAGATCCGAATAACTTCCCTGTGCCGAAGAAACCACGAGAACCTTTCTTTGGGCTACCCGGTCGACGGTTCCGACGTAAAATTGTATTGACACCCCTATATAACCGAAGTCTTTTATCTCTCTTGCGGAATAGATAAGCAAAGAGTACCAAAATAAAGAGGAATAAAAGAAGCCCGGGAGTGGATCGAGAATGTGCCTTTTCAATGAGATCATCGGCTGCATCAGACCAATCTTCATCGTCTTGAGGTATGGGATTTGCATTAGAACCAGCCAATTGAAAGTCTGTAGGGACTCCCAAAGTATTGCTACCAAAGCCGACTGGTAAGGCATCCTCACTTGCTGGAGGAACTTGACCAGATGCATACAATACCATCTTTCCCAATGTCCAACTGACTTCTACTCCATCGATCTTGTCGACTGCTTGAAATGGATCCAAGAAACCTTTGCCTTTCGAGTGAAGCAGCATTTCCTTCGTCGCATTGTAATTTGGTCCTGGCTTCTCCAATCCGACTCTCGGTACTCCAATTCCATCGTGAAGAACATTCATTAGCCATGAAGCTTTGAAGCAAACTTCTTGCGCTGTCTTGGCATCTACCTTCTTTCCCCATTTCTTCTTCTTAACCTCTTTCTCAATGTCGTCCCATTCCTCACTACAGAACTCTTTTACCAAAGCTTGATATTTTGTGAAATCATAGGCTCTATCTTTGTGTGACATTTCAAAAACCTCATGAGTTGTATGCCAATACTCAGAAACTCCAACGAAATGGTTGACATCAAAATCGATCGCGGGAACATGTTGCCCGTGAAGCAAGCAAGGTTGGTCAGCACAAGGGGCATCCTTATCCAATAAGGGATATGTCGCTGCTAAGCATTGATCGAACCGACCGGTACCTAATAAGATTGGGTCTTTTCCTGCCAGTTTCAAGTCGTCAACCACATCCCCATCTAATGTTGTTTTTAGGCCAGCTGGAAGACAAGGATCGAGCAGTTCTTTAGTATCCTTGGTATAAGAAGCATCCATTAAGCTTTCGACGTAGCGATGTCTAGCTTGGTTGACACCAAATCCTAACCATGTTGTAGTGAAAACTTTATATTCTGCGGGTTGTCCATTCATAGTCCGCATCCGTAATAACTTGAGGTCATTTGCATGTTTTGCGGCCTCGGTAGTATTGGGCGCAAATGCAATCTGCGCTGACGCTCCACCCATATCTAAGAATCCATATGTATGGTGTCCCTTGCCATGGGCATGTTCTTCTGGTGTATCGAAACCTCCGAGTAGATAATTTGCAGCGATCCATCCATACAGTCCTTCTGTTTCACCGGGGATAACTTGGATGTGTAAACCACAATCTGGTAAGTCGAACTTTGTATGTTTTTGAGCATAGGCGCAAATCTCGGATAGAAGTACATTCTGTTGAACTTGAGGTAATAATCGCATACCAGCTGTTGCCATTAAGAAGATTGGCGTATCGGACACTTGATTTTTCGGGACGATATCGAGAGCGTGGTCGAGGAGCTGTTGTAAATGTTCTGGGCCAACATCTTGAGGCCTTTCGCCGAACGTCGATACACCTGGCTTAATCTTCTTCGTCCATTTCTTGTTGGTTTCTAGCTTGGGTAAACTTTGTAGGGTGAGGGCGTCGGGATTATGTAATGCTTTGGCACTGTTAAGCCATCTATAGATGTGAACTCGAGTTCCTGACGAACCCGCGTCCAGGATGACACCATATCGCCCTATTTATTGACAATTGTTGGTTAGTAAAGGTTGGTTGTAGTGTAAGTACAGCTGATAGAATTGCTGAAGGGTTGATTTACATTTACCCATGAGGAGAATGGGAATCGATTGAGATTGGGGAAAGGTGTCGAGGTAACGAGAGGTGATGAGAGACGAGGTAAGTTGGGTAGAATGATGGGAAGGGTGGTCGGTATGCTTGATAGGATGATTTCTTCAATCCCTTCCTTATCTCTTCGATATTTTGCGAGAATTAAGATTACGAATGTATATATGTATGTATGAGGTGAGATGTGAGGAGAATCAGGTTATAGTAGTAATCGCCTTCAGCTGATGAAGCTTTCCAAGGATCCCTCAATCCCTTATCTCTTCGGAAGATTCGCGAGTGTCGAGATTATGAAATTGAATGCATTCGGTCGAGAAATTCGATCGGAAAGAGCGAAAGGGGTGTACTGGAATGTATGTATGTTATGTACGAAGAAGAAGAAGAAGACTGAAAACGAATGAAATAATGTTCAATTAATGAAAATATTGAGATCCAAGTAAGGTATCTAGGTAGGTAGGGTATTAATTTGTTTTGTTTTGTTTGTGAATTAATTAAAAAAGGATTTAATAATGGATTCTTCGTATTGCGATAGCGATGTGGATGTGAATGCGAATATAAAATGTGAAATGTGAAATTGAGTGGTGAATTATTAGTGAATTGGTGAATTAGTGGATATTACGTAATCCTCCTAGGTAGGTACGGATGAATTTACTGCAGAACCAAGACATTACCAAGAATCGCCTAATTTGGTATAAAAGCTTGGGAATATTCTAGAACATGATTGGATAAGTATTGGAAAACCGGGGGTTAGTCAGCATGTCTGATGCCTTAACACGCGTTGATGCAGATCTAAGGCCACAAGATCTATATTTAAAACATCCGTCATTAACCCTATTAGTAGTAACCTTTTCCATCCAGTCCACTTGCATGGTGCACCATCATATCATTATGCCATACACCAACCAATCAATCTTACTCTTTTCAACCTTCCCCAAGCCCACCAAGTCCGCCGAATCCACCAAACAAACTTCTTTGATTTTTTCTTAGAAAGGAAAACCCCTCCTCGAAAACTTGGGGATAGCAATACGAGTCTATGGAGTCCTGATGTTTCTCTTCTTCCTCTGATTCGAGTATATTGCTTATCACACCATCTCTGTACATATACGAACGACTCCAACTTCAAAGTTTGGATGCTGGTTACAACTTGCTACATATCAATACGAAAGGCCACGTAATTTCGTGCTTCTCTAGGATCTACTGAAACTCCAACCAACGACGGTTACAACCACTAGTTATTAGCTGCTCAATCATCGATTCCGTAGTCTTCCTAGGATCTGCAAAATTCAAACGTTCACACCCTCGTCACAGATATATCAACCTTCCTATATGGGGTTCAGACAGCATGCAACCTTATCCAGCAATCACGCGTGGCTTTAGAGTGGCTATCTTATTAATCAAGAACTTTACTCGTTGACATCTCTTTCACATGGCCCTCATCTTGAATCTCATACGTTCTGCACACAAGCATACATAAGCGTGTACCTATTGTTTACATTGTTTACACATCTCTGTTCCGGAGACTGAGATAGTTCTCATACATCAGCTGGAAAAGACACCATGCCGCGTAATACATGGACGTGCGCCGTCTGTTCTCGTTACTTTGGATGAATGTCAAACGGCACCAACCACGCTTACTGTGAAGATTTGTGTAGAACATGAAAACATCTACACTGTTCTAGAATGGCTGAAGAGGAAAGAATCTATGGAGTAAAATTTCTACTAGTATTGATTAAGACTAGCTCCATCGGCATTCTGTCACCACAGGATCATGATAACTCCAACATATACTCTATCAATGTGATAACTGTTCTCGAATTTCCCAAACATGTATGTGTGTATTTGGCACTCTTATCAATGTAGTTATATCGAAATTCTATTTCAATCTTTACCTAAAACTTGTGAAGCTCTAATCAAATGATCAAGTTTGTAGACTGTAGACAGTCTCATTCGTCATTATTGAACATCCCCGTGTCAATCATTTTGTTCTTGGAAAGAGTGGAAAGGCGTATTCTCCTAGAACTTTCGCTACGGGTAACACTCTTTTCTATCTATAAGAATATGACAGATGCCTATTGTTGGTAGAATCTTAGTTTTCCAACATTCTTGTGTTGACTTTTAGTTGGACTGTCAGCAGGGTCACTTATGTATCCTTTTTATCCTTTTTTTCTCTATAAATCTCGATTCACCGATTTTGTGGCCCATGTAAATGTGCTGCCTAGCATATCTATAGATGACTTAAGCGACGGTACACGACGGGGAGGTCTCGACCTATAAATGGGTATCCAGAGGCCCCATTTCTTATTCTTTGTACGTCTTCAAAACGTCCATTTTTGAATAATCTGTAGGCTTCAACAATTGAACATTGGGTAGCGTACAAACTGGTTTGTGGACTCAACGGGTTGGCCAAAAATTCTACACTATAAAAGCTACTTCCAATTAGTGTTCGTCAAGATCATCAATACTACTCTACAATCACCCTCATACATTGAAAACAAAATCCAAAAGTTAGACAAATTACTCAGCGTTCAGTATTCAGCATTCACAGGCGTAATATAGAGAGACAGCTATCGAGCTTTCAATAAACATTTCAGATCAAAATGCCTAGTAAAAAAGATATCGAAGGATTGAATAAACAACAGAAAAGTTCGGGAAGCCAACACTCTAGGAGTGTGGCGAATTCCGGTCCTCCATCTTATTATTCTGCAACAATGCCCAAGACACCACCAAGATCGGTGGCAGCATTATCGGAGGCATCATTCGTATCATCTAGTGCACCACCATCTTCAAAAGAATCAAAAGTTTCGTCTAGGCACGCACCTTCAACGGCATCAACGAAACATCATAAAGCACCATCCAAGGCATCGGAAGTTCAGAAAAAGGATGACAGACTTAGAGGGCAAAGTGTCTGGAATGAAAGTGATGTATACGCAGGAGGGGATGATGGAGGACCTGGGGAGCAATCACATCATGGAGATAGTGAACCGGCAAAATCAAATCATGGGAGTACACACGGCGGTAGAAGAACTCGAGAGCAATCACATCATGGAGATAGTGAACCGGCAAAATCAAATCATGGGAGTACACACGGCGGTAGAAGAACTCGAGAGCAATCACATCATGGAGATAGTGAACCGGCAAAATCAAATCATGGGAGTACACACGGCGGTAGAAGAACTCGAGAGCAATCACATCATGAAGATGAAGGTGGAGATGGAGATGGTGAAAGGCATTATGGAATGCCTCAAGAATCAAGTCCCGATGCAGAGTCAGTTGGAGGTGGTGGACAACCTTACTTTGCGGAACCCATAAACGATGGTACAATGTCTCAAGGATCGGGTCACAGAAAACCTCGAGGATGGCAAAGAGATGGAACCCCCTCAAAAGCGAAAAGTATAATTATGAGTGGTAGTGGACGTTATGAAAAAAAGAAGGATGGGTCTTCAAAATCGATGATTAGTGGAAGACAGAAGGGAGGTGAAAACGATAATAGAGAGGATAAAACACCTTCAGAATCAGGAAAGATTAAAACATATTCAGAATCAGGAAAGAATAAAACAGCTTCAGAATCAGGAAAGGTTAAAATACCTTCAGAATCAGGAAAGAGTAAAACATATTCAGAATCAGGAAAAGGTAAAACACCTTCACAATCAGAAATAGGTGATATGGAACCTCCAGAGTTGATGGGAAATGGTGGAAGCGATTATGGTGGAAGTCAGACTGGAAGTCGGAGAGGAGGTCAAGGATATGATGAAAAACAAGGGAAAAAGGTTGCTTTTTCAAGTGCAGATAATCCAGCCCAGCCACTTGATGATATTCAAGAATGCGAGCCCGATTTTGAGGGATTTGATGTTCCTGGTGGAGGCCGAGGGACGAAACCCCAGGTAAGAAGTACCATGTGGAAAGCAGCAGCGAGCTTTTTAAGAGAACCTGACGAACATGACTCGTTAAACGATGTACCAAGAGGGAGAGTACTCACAGACAAATATGTGCATATAAGGAAAGCAAGTGGTTACAAACCTCAGGAGAAGCCGACGACCGGGGAGATAGAAAACCGGAAAAAGATAGCTCATTCTTGGGGTAAATAAACGACGAACTACTCTTGCGAGTTGCGAAAGCTGGAGGCTTGGAGTATTGAATGGAGTTACCTTGAGATTTTTGCCGGACGTTTCGCTTGGGTTTGCTTGATTTGATTTGGAGCCGCATATCTTGTTGGCGTTTTTGGATATTTTATTTATATAGGATATAAATGGACTGTTGGAGTTTGAGATATATCTTCTTTCTTGATTAATTGACTTGATAAAAATTCGCAACGTGCATATGTATATATGTGTGCGCCTCTCTAGTATGTGTTTATATTTATATATGCCACCTCCTTATTTTCTTTCCGTAGCGTACAGTGCAAGATACTACAGAGAAAAGTCCATTCATCTATGTAGAGCTAGTCTTCGGGGACAAACGCATAGTAACTTGCAATATAGAGTTGATTGAGATATTGTCATTCTGTGTATACTCATATACTCGACATATCTCGCACAAATAGCAAAGCGCTATTAATTTTTTGTATAGTGATTAGCCTTGTTAAAGACTTACACCCGAGAACTCGATTGGTACGAGAAAGTTAAGGGGGAAGTAATGGAAATTGTATATGATAAAGTTATCTCTGACGAGAGATAGATGATGATTGTGTATTGAAATAGGTAGCTATTGAGCCTCTTGAAAGCCCACTCCTTTAATAATTTTTGTAAAAGATTCCCTCTTGCTTTTAACATCTTGAGTTATATACATTGCGTTCGAAAGTTTTGCGATCGAATTAATTTCTAGGTTCAAATGGAACTTGATTATTCACTACTACTTCTTCCAATACATATTTTTCACTATCTTCCACTCAACTCAAGATGGCACTCCCTCTGAATTTTACATTCAAAATACTGCATTGCATATGCGTTGACTCTGCAATTTTAAGCCCACACTATAATTTACTCGAATCTCACTTCCAACATCGACGTCGAGTGACCTGTTGATAAAAAAACTCCGCGACCCTGAACACGACCTCATTCTCCATTTTCCCAATAGAATTATACTCGAAAATCTAAATCAATTCTTTGAACCCCAGTCTGGCCTAGCAGCAGACCACGTCTATACCACCACTCTCAGGTGAAACTACAGCCCCGATTCTCGAATTGCGGCCATGGCTACGACCTTTAAATTTTATCTTTAACCCCAGGTTTATAGATCTACCTACTAGGCAATACTTGTCTTCGACTGTATACGAATCTGTTCTTGATAATACCCTGTAATGTCGCTCATAAATTACTGTTATGGGAATTATTATTGTTTCAAGCTTGAATGAGTTCGAAAAATCTAGAATTCAGACCAGGTCGATGTAGGTCTTTGCCCCCGTACAGCACAGTCATTTCCACAGATACATTGTAGAAGAAATAACAGATAGCAATGTTGGTATTAGGCTCCAGGAATTTATCCTAGATTTGAAAACCCATATATATATTGATTTCCTGATCATCTGTGTACAATATTTAGCACGTCATATCATATCATGTCAATACTATTCTTTAAATTATGCACCCAACCTGATTTCAATATCCATTCATCACATCTCCATTCTCAACTTTCGGGATAACAATTCTTATCTGAGCAATAACGCAACATAAAGGGTGAATTAGCCTCGAGAAAATATACTTATCGTCACCGCAAACTACTGACAATAAAGAACAGATCTCCCAAACCAACTTAAAGACAGAAAAGCAACGACAGAGCCAGAAATTCACTAATCAGTATGGCTAGCAGAGGTGGTCAGTCTGGATCTGGCGCACCGAGTAGACGAAGCGAAAGGCCGGATTCTAGGGTGTCTTCAAATCTCAAATATGAATTTGGACCCGGTATATCCTCTGAACAAGCGTCTGAAAAAATATATGGACGAGTTGGCGATGTGGAGAAAGAGGGAGACAGGGGACAAACGAGAGAAAGGAGAGAAAGGAGACAACCAGGGGAACGCAGAGAATATAGAGGAAATATAGAAGACAGAGAGCCCGGAGAAGACGAAGAACTCAGAGAGTACAGAAAGTATAAAGAATTCAAAGAATCTAGAGGAGATAGAGAGGACAGAAAGGATAAAGAGTACAGAAAGTACAAAGAGTCCAAAGAATCTAGAGAGGATAGAGAGCACAGAAAGGATAAAGAGTACAGAAAGTACAAAGAGTCCAAAGAATCTAGAGGAGATAGAGAGCACAGAAAGCACAGAGGAGACGGACATGGGAGAAAAGATAGAGACAGATCTCATGGTAGATCCAGCATTACAAAGACATCGACGCGTTCCTCGGCTTCGTCCAAGAATAACAGTGCATATCCCCAGGTACCACCACCAGGTGTTGAACCCGATATACCTTCGACGCAAGATCCAATTGGCTCTAACATGTCCACTGTATCAGACGATCCAACTATACGTGTGAGTCTCCGACACGGTGGCAGAAGAATGGAGGTGAATGTTAGATCCGAACATAGTTCTAGAAAGCCGCGTTCTGGGCAATCGGAGGCACCGCCATCACGAACCGAATATTCCGATTCCGATGAGACTGTGACGCCACGTAAATATGATTATCAAAAATCAACAACTCATAAGAGTGATAGCGGGAAAGGAAATAAACATAAAGTTGGATCCAAGCATGGTGCTAGATCACGAGATTCTGAGGATGATGAGGTAGAACCATCCGATAGTATTACTAGTGTCGGTGACAGTGCACAACCAGACGTAACCGCTACTTCAACTCGAACGCCACTTCCACCTCGTTCTGAAGCATCTACTGCATCTAGATCAGTAAAGCCGAAGAGTGGTAACGGAAAAGAAGAGGAACATAAAGTCAAATCCAATCATGGTGCTAGATCACGAGCTTCTGAGGATCCCGTGGCTCCATTCCATTCTGGTAATAAGAATTCCTACGCACCACCACCACGAAGCGCAATGTCTGGTTCAACTCCGACGCCAACTAAAATCCATACTCGTACATCCACTGTTTCTGGGCGTTCTAAGGCTCCGTCTCAAATTAGCAGTACTAGTTCCTCCGAATCAGACACAAGCATATATCCAGCTTCAACTATATTGCCACCTCCACCTAGTTCTATAGGATCCATCGGATCAGGAACAAGCGTATATCCTAATTCAGATAACACGTCACTTCCACCTCATTCTATCGTATCCACTGGATCTAGACCAGCAAAACACAGTAACAATAACGGTAAAGAAAGGAAACATGAAATCCGATCCGATCATAGTGCCGGATCAAAAGTTTCTAGGAGTGTGGGGGCTCCGTCTACTGTTAGTCGTACCAGCACACAAGCATCCTCTAGTCGTGAATCTGGCGTTCCTGAAGTTGCCGAGAAGAAACCGTATTTGGTCCCTGCATATGGGTGTGTTGGTGGCAAGACACCGAGTATGGTTCCTGTAAAATTGCTTCCAAAGGATTCTAGTGAAGACTCATCGGGAAAATGGACAGCCGACAAAGTCATCTATTCGCCGCAACTTACAGCAAAGCCAAACGCGTACTTCACACACAATCAGTCCAAATAGCATTCCACATGAGGGGAATAACGTCCCGGTCAGTCATGAGTATAGTATAAGTTAGTATTAGGCAAGCTGATATTGAAGTTTTCTATACTAAATCAGTACATAATGGTGATTGGATGATCCATTGCGATATGTACGGCCTATGTTATCGTAAATTACCAAAATACTGATGAAGATTCGCAGTATAAATTCACAAGAGTTCCAATTACATTCCTTTCAACCCCTAGAGAGATTCAATGAATTTCAATGAAAGTTATCGCTGAAAATTGCTTCAGTATTGCCTGTTCGAGAGATAATAGATTGAATATCGGCATTCTAAAATCTTTGCAGTGATCTATAGTATCATTGATGACTCTATTGGCATAATATTTGATGACCATATTGAAACAGATAGTAGAAATCATAACTTGCTTCACTACAGTGGGCTGTATGTAGAAAACGGTGTATACTACTTTGAGTACCACGCCCTGGTAACGAAATAGAAAGACTCAACTCTACGTAAGAAATAGAAGAGTATAGGTCGAAAGTTTCTCGCGAGGTAAACGATCTCAGTCGGAGAGGTAGACCTGATAGTTTCTCATGAGCACCTTACCGTAGAGTTGTGTAATAACAATTACATAAAATTACACTATTGTATTCTAGCAGTCACTCAACTTCTTATGTACCAATTTTTACATCAACGACAACAAAATATCATTCTCGTTAACCTCATTTTAAATGTTCATGGTTGTATACCTCATCTCATCCAAATTCAATATGAACTTGTTAGTGTTCAAACGAGGAAGCTCTGAGGCCTCAGGGCCGATGGTTCTCTAGCTAACGTCGAGAAAGTAGCTCCATCGAGCCAGATGGTTTTATATGATTGGTAGATCTAATTTACAACATCTACTTCAACCATATGTAGCTCTGGTTGTCCACAATTTGAACGGGAGGCAAAAACTATTGCGTTCATGGCTAGGATAGACCATTTTGAGCATCCAGTTGCACTTGATTGGTTGCTTCAGTTGCTTGCTCCTGTACATAGTGTTTGTGCTGTGTTTGAATAATTGGGTGCTTCGATAGAAATATACAGTACTTGAAACCTTGACCAAGTTCTGCTAAATTGTTTCCCAATTTCTCTGAACATTTGGGTGTATGAATTCGCGCTCTTGAATTTATCATGGGAGAAGCTAGAGTTAATGTGTACTGGAAAACCCGCCGGGTTCAATGGGTTACTGAATCAAAGTCTATAAATAAGGATGCAGGCTCGCATTACAAATTCAAAAAACAAACGTGCAAAAAATATTTATTATCTGCCCATTGACTCAAGCAATTCAATTGACCTAAAATTGAGTAGCTGGAACGGATTTTCAATACTAAGATAAGGTTCATCAATAACAAGGCCTGTATGGCGGTTCATAAGAAACAGTCTCAAAGCTCAGACTTCTGAACTTATGTTTGTAGCTCTGGATTGTTTTTGCAGAGAACATCCGCCCATCTGCAGTCTTTGCTGGCCGAGTGCCTCAATCGCTCAGAGATTAGATTGAGATTTTCAAGATCAACAATACTTTACAGAGACCGTCAAGTATGACAATTTCCATGTCATTTTCATCGATTCGTATTCATGTTCATGAGCCTAACCTTGACTTTAGTCAAACTTTGAATACGGTCCTGTAGATGCAATGCTTTCCCGTCCTCGATATGATTGAAAAATTAAAGAAACGGCCTCCATCGTAATTTGCGCAGAGTGTACGGAGCTTGCCATTACCGGGTCAATGATTGGAAACAATCGATAAAGGCCTCGGTAGATATGTCTTTGGTTCTAGACCACTTAAAAATTGTGCGCAGAAATATAATTCGATCAAGAAATATGACGTTAGCTGTGGTACAAACGCAAATGATAATCTCTGAGGTACGAAAAACTCAAATTTGACTCAAGTGTAAGTAACTTCCCGAAACGTCGTTCTAGATGTGGACGGTTCTGGTGGCATCTACTCATCAATTTCGGGAAGGAGTGAGCAGCTTTACACGCTACTCGAGTAGAATCTTTAAGTTCAATAGAAGAAGAAGCAGTACCTTCCCAAATAGAAGTAGATTTCGTATCATGTAGAAACAAACATGATAAGCTAGACCCAGACTGCATTCCGGTGTAGTATTTGTGCCTAAGTGGGTGATCTTCAATCTTCGAACTTCCGGAATCTATTTGGGCAACACAAAGTCCACAACTCCAGATTGATACCCCAATAAAGCAAGCATGAATCAGAGAGAGTATAACTGTCAATCTTCAATGCCTGCCGACTGTAGATGTAAGATTAATTCGAGCACAAGATCATGTTCTAACGATCACGTGAACCCGTGGAAAAATTACCTAGTTTCGTCTTATCTGTAAGGTAACCCTATTCGCTTGAAGTTGCTTGAAATGAAGGGGAAAATCGGATGACATTTACGCACGCATACACTGGTGCAAAATGCCATCGTACAATTGACCTCTGTGTCTGGAACGTAATAGCCTGAGTACCACGTTACAGTATCCAGACGTGTGGTAATATTGTTATGATACAGTTGTTCAACTTTGATGCTTGTGATCAAATTTCAATGCAGTTTTGAAAAATTCATTGAAGTTCGAATATAGAGCCAAGAAAGAAGAAACATTGCTGGAATTATGAAGTTGGCTCTCTCGGGTCCCAAGACACCACTAGAATATCCCCAGACTCTCAAAGTCTCCACCACCCACGCCGAGATTCTTGACCGAAAGCTTTACCCCGAGCCCCTCTGCCCCAGCTTTTTGCCCAGCAAATACCAAGACGCCAGAAGAGAATGAATGAGAACGCAAAAAATAATGTCAAACAATCACCTAAAAGATCGTCGTCCTGTACCCCTCTACCCCAGATTTTTGCCCAGAATTTACCAAGACGCCAGAGATGAAAATGAAAATGAACGCAAAAACATATCAAAACAATATCCAACAGGATCGACCTCTACCCATCTTATTTTTAGTCACAAACTGACATGACATTTTGACACATTTTGACACTCGGAAATTAAGAAGCTATCAAACTTTGGCAGGCGGTGTATTCCGACGTCGTCATAAGACTTATTTAATTTCCACACATATATTTCAAGGAGTTCTTGGTTCCTCGAGCAGTAAAACCTCTCCTAAACCACTGCCAAAGCCTTCCGTCTTGGGGATAAAAGCTTGAAACGATTCCAAGATACCAAGGTGAATCGAATCATGAAGTACCGAAACTATTCAGCTCTCTCTCGCTCACACCGCAGCGCCAATGCTGACTGGGTGTTGAGTACGGACGCCATCAGTAGCAAGGGTGTCACCGGATGCAAAATATCACCCAGTACAATACGACAGTGAGGTCGAAAGTCGTTGGTAAAGAAATATGCACTCCGCCATTCCATTAGACCGTCGGCATCCCATTCTTATATACTGGAGAAGAATTGAAAATCTGCAACCTATTTGTAATTCCGGGGGTTGTTTTGTGTTGACTCCGTATTAGGTGTGTTCTCGGTAGACTTGCCTTGCGTACGGTACCTACCTAGTAAAGTACAGAATGAGTGCGGATGCATCGTTCCATTCGGGATCGGACATTAAGGCTTGAGGTAGCTCTTAGAAAATTTGCGGCCTATTCTTCTTAGTCTCCTACGGAGTAAAGTAAGCTCCAAGCCAGAACAGTTGGATCCCTACACTTGCACAGATAATATGTCACTGTGTTCGGCAAAGAAAAACGACACCAATTTAAAGAATTGGTCATTAGAGATAAAGTCTAGACATATTTCTATTAGTCAGTAACTTCAAGATGTGGTATAACAGAGTGGGAGACTTGGTCTGTGTTTACATCGTCGTCGTTTCGACCATGCTCGCCATGCAATGCTATGATACTAACCATCATGGGAGCCCATGCAATATGTCAAAAAACCCTAGTCAGAAGAAAAGAAGATATTGACACCCAACTAGCATATGGCAAACTTGCATTCAGCCGAGGAATAGCAACCAAACCAGGATCAAACAAGCTTATTCACTGGATTACGTTCCATTTTTCCCCCATTCTCCATGCGGGGAGCGCTAGGATTTACTGTTGATGATGGCTGCGCTAAGAACAAATCAAACATTTTTCGAACGCTAAATCACCAGCTGATGAATCAGAGTCCTAGAGGAGATGATGGAAGCATGCATGTATCCACGGTTAGCAGATGGAAGATCGTAAAAAAAGTTGGTGTCTAACTATCGCTGGAACGTTTCCTTGTGCTACATGCGCGTTCGAATGAGAGACAGATAAGTAGGTAGTTCCCCGCCTCTTATTTCTGAAATAATCTCATCATACCATCCTCATTCTTCATTTATTTCAAGTCGAGCTTCGTGTGGACACGGGCTATCACTCCCCTGTTGGAGTGAATACAGAATATTGTAACTCTACTTTCCAATTGGAAACGACATCGATCTCTTAATTGCTTGAATACCTTATCATAAGACTTGAAATTAGGACAATAAGGGAATCGAAAGGTACCAACATACATTCAATCCTACTTATCGCAGTAGAACTTTTTATACCGAAAGCTAATAACTCTTTTACAGACATCAAAGCTCAACATGGCAGACCAATACGGTGCTGCAGGCTATGATGCCCATGTAAACGAATCTCAATCTCCTCAGAAGATGTCCATTGGGGAGTATTGCAGGACCCGAGTTTCTACACTCAAGCCTCCTATGCACAAGGCTCCTAATCCATTCAAACTTCTGGCTATGTTGAATGGAAAACAATGGCTATTCTTCCTTGTGGCGTTTGTTGCTTGGGTATGTTCTGGATCGTTGACAGCATTAGCTCTTTTCCGCTAACCATTCTGCCTAGACTTGGGATGCGTTCGATTTCTTTACAGTTAGTCTTACTGTTTCGGACCTCGCAGAGGAGTTTGACAAGACTACCACGGACATCACATGGGGTATTACATTGGTTCTCATGTTGAGATCTGTTGGTTCTATTATCTTCGGACTCGCAGCAGATAGATATGGCAGAAAATGGCCCTTCATTGTCAACAACATTCTATTCATCATTCTCGAACTCGGTACCGGTTTCTGTCAAACCTACAAGCAATTCCTGGCATGCAGAGCCCTATTCGGTATTGCAATGGGAGGATTGTACGGAAACGCTGCCGCTACCGCGCTTGAAGATTGTCCCGAAGAAGCTCGTGGTTTGATGTCCGGTATACTTCAACAAGGATATGCTTTTGGATATCTTCTCGCAACAGCTTTTGCTAGAGGATTAGTAAATACCACTAGTCATGGATGGAGACCTTTGTTCTGGTTCGGTGCAGGTCCACCTGTTCTCATCATTATCTTCCGTCTCTGTCTCCCGGAAACAGATGCGTACAAGGAGCGTGTTCTTGTTCGAAATGAACGAGGTAATATCGGAGCTACCTTTATTGCTGAAGGAAAGGTAGCATTGAGGGAGCATTGGCTCTTGTTGGTTTACTTGGTACTTCTCATGGCTGGTTTTAACTTCATGGTAAGCTCTCCCCTAACCACTGATTGCAAGACATCTTACAGTATTCATACTAACCCAAATCCAGTCTCATGGTTCCCAAGATCTCTACCCAACCATGCTTAAAAACCAATACAACTTCTCCGCAAACGCTGTTACCGTCATCCAAGTCGTCGCCAATCTTGGTGCCATGACTGGTGGTACTTTGGTCGGTTACTGTTCCCAAATCTTCGGTCGTCGCTTCTCCATAATTGTCATCTCCATCCTCGGCGGCGCTCTCCTCTACCCCTACACATACACCTCTTCCAGCGCCGTCATTGCTGCAGCCTTCTTCGAACAATTCTGTGTCCAAGGAGCCTGGGGTGTTATTCCCATCCATCTCATGGAACTTTCTCCTGGCTCTTTCCGAACCTTCGTTGTCGGTACCGCATACCAACTCGGAAATCTCGTTTCCTCTGCTAGTTCGACTATCGAGGCCGAATTGGGAGAAGACTTCCCCCTCCCACCCAAAGGCAAAACAGCCCGTTTTGAATACGGAAAGGTCATTTGTATTTTCATGGGTTGTGTATACGCCTATGTGATCATATTGACATTTGTGGGACCAGAGTATCTGAGAAGGAGCTTTGATGTTCAACATGATAGTGATTTGGCAGCGGCAGCAGGCCACGATACAATTGAGAAGAGTATGAAGAAGATGAGAGGAAATGGGGGTGTGGAAAATGAATCAACTGAGGATGTGGATGCAGGGTTGGAGAAGGGAACTGGGAGGAACATTGATTGAAGACAGATTTGAAGAAACATGATGGGTGGGATGGAGGGTACGAATGGAATGAATTGCTTTGGATACGGTTTTTGAATTGTCGGATGGGTATACGTCAATAAATAGCTCCCTACGGGATGAATGAATTATGACATGGACATGACAAACTATATCTTGCTGCTGGCAGCGTGCCCATTTCTATCTTCTCTGCGCATCGTGGCTTGTAGTGCAATTATACTTGCTCCTCTACAACCCATTGGGTCGTAACTTAAGTGAAGACTGGCGTGGTGAATTGCTGGACAGGGTTTAAAAAAGCTCACTGAGAGGAGTCTAGCTCAAGAAGCGTTATAATATGGATTTACCACATGTAAGGTTTCCCCCGTGGTTACATAAATTGACCAACTCTACATGGTAGTCCTTATCGGGGAACTTCACAGGGTGTGAGGAAGAAAATTTGCCCGAATGATTCAGTGCGAAAAACATTAGTCTCTCCTTTAAATCATTTTATTCAGAGTGGTCTTGATGAAAAGAGTGATTTGTATTAATGGCCCAAATTGGCCCAAATGCAGAAGAAAATTTGTGTTGTCAATAATTGAGAGTGATGATATGTGTTATTCATTATGTAGATATTGCATCTATAGTTGGATCTTGAGATCTCTTTAACTCTCCTAACCGGACATTATGGTATATTATGCCCTATATGTTTCACCCGCACTCCATCATGTTTTCCGTGCCCTGAGGAACCACAGCTGCAAAGCACTTACAAAAGGCCCTTAACCTAGTAAATACAAGGTTGGACAATGAAAGTATCCAATGTCGAGGCCCCACTGAGAAAGCTCGAACTACTGAATCATGTAGTCTTTGAATCGCTGAATCGCTCCAGGAGTCGTTACTCGTTCAAGATTCATCCTTATCGATCATCATTCGTTTCATTTCATTTCCTATCCAAGATTCATTGCTTATCTCTCATCGCCCTTTAATTTACCAGGTATCTCTTCTAAATCTTCCACACTCTCAATTTCCAACACTTTCGAAACTTCCGCGGTATTTCTCATCAGCTCCTTGGCCCCAGCATATAACATTCGTTGTTCTGCATTGACTGTGGGTGGGAGGTAGAAGATTAGGACATATGGGACGGAGAGACGGCCAGAGGGCTAGGGTAGGTTAGCTTTTGATGGGTAGAACACAAGGAAAGGGATAACATACCAGTGTGCAAGGATAGCTTAGGAGGATAAAACGAGGTGAATGATCTGGCAGGTCGTCACCTATAGAGTCGAGATCTTTATATACAACTCCATCTTCATCTTGTTTTATTTCGAGATTGCTTTTATCAATCAGATCTAAGGGATAAGAGGGAATCAGCAGACGTTCCATTTCACATAACAATCCAGCAGTTTGATGATATTTTATATCCCATACTCATTTAAATAAAATCAAAGTTGTTTCTCAGCAATAACCCGAGGGTTATATGAAGGTGGTGGTGCAACTGGTGTGTAATCATTGTGGGGTGTGTTTGGAGGAACGTTCAAATATCTTGAAAGGAGAGGGAGACAAACATATAACAGCTTGAGGATCACTTGCGCGCGAAGTCCCGAGTCTAAATTTACGTAGATGTGCCTTCGTTTCGGTGCTGAACGTATAAAGGCGCGATTCTGAAGACTAGATTGATCGAATTGGTTAATGGCGCGTTTTCAGGAGGAGTAGGAATGTTTTGTTACCATAATGAAGATATCGATATATCGATGTATGCGTATTTGTTAGGAGTGCAATGAGGAGGGTGCTGTCGAGGTTAAAATAAGAGCTGGGTGTTTCCTTGTATGTCGAGATATGAACTTGTAACTTGTAAAGATGTGAATGTCAGATGGTCAGACCAAGAAACTACGAGTATGAGTGACGAGAAGTGGGCTGTTTAGCTTCATTTCGGATAAAACTCGGATATGTAAGCAAACGAACAACGCCAAAAAAAACCAACACAATTTAAAGATGTGCAACAAAATGTTAAAATTGCGTATGTTGGTCACATGAACCAAGAACGATTGGACCAAGCAATCACATATCCGGTGATAGAACTTGATCATTGAGGTATTAGCTGAGAAACGCAAAATGCTACCCGTTTCCATCACTAAGCAGTCAGGCTATCTATCAGGTCTAGTTTTCCGGGTCGGCCCTTATGATTATGGTTGGAGCGCCGATGTATTTGTGTGATATCGTACGCAGGTAGTTCCATGCAGTCATCAAATCCAAAGTGGACTCCTCTGAATTCCAGCATTTGAGTCATTTTATTGTTATGTTTCCTGCATCCGAGCCTCGTAGGACCTTTGATTCCAAAACCGATCGGTGACAGACTCTCACATCAGCATCATGGTGGTTGTCATTGTGGCAGGAGATACTGGCATGATGAACAATTTGGCAGTCCAAAGATTGGATCCGTTCAACGATCACGAATTTGTGATATCACACGGAACCAGAAAAAGTCTGAGTGTTTGGCTTGCATTGACCGACGATTGGTTCTACCTTTACCATCCTGGCACCTCTACTGAAATCTCAGAAGATTAGAAGCTCGAAATACTTATAAGCTGTGTGTATCTGTGTAGACAGCTCCAGATTCTATCAATGCGAATAGAATTTCACGGAGTATGCCTGCTCGACTCCAGGGTTGATATTTCATGTCTCTATTCACAACACTCGAATGATGATATCTACCTTCCCTATTGACAACAACACCCGCAATATTGGTTCAATTAAATCTTATTTATGCTGCCTTCCTCCGCCATACTGTCCATCTATTCCCTCGAAACACAGAGTTGATGCTTCTCTTTAGAACACCACTTTTCCATTTCCAGGCAAATTATGTCACCTCTCCTATCTTGCTTTAAGCCGACTGCAGTATATATGTATATATCCATGTAAAGTTTCTTGTGGAAAAAGTTTTCATTTTAAGCAACCAGGACATAAGACCAATTTGAAATAAATCTACCCGTTTCTTGATACAAGGTTTGGTCATGTAGTAGTATACTTGGCCGTTAAGAACTTGGTAGTCGATTTTGGTACGGCCAGGTGCGGGGTCTGTTGAAGCAAGAGGGAGTTGAGGTTGAGGGGGCCACCGGCTGGGTTAAAAGACTTTTCTAAAAGGAAGTTTAAAAAATGAAGATTTTAGTAACTTTTCAGCTGTTTTTACGGTCGAAAATATGAGCGATCACTGATTCTATCGTAGAATAACATGTTCACTTCAGGGTTTGGAAAAGAATTCTTGAAGTGTGAGTATATATGAACTTTACAGATGTCTAAATACTGGAAATTGAACAGTTTGAAATTTGGAGTACCATCTAGAGTCTCATCACTACAGTAAAATTTAATTGTTCTTGTCTCTATGGCTATCAAACTGAACCTAGACCATCGCAATTCGATTATCTGAAAAGACAAGCTCAGAATTATGTTCTCCTCGAGTTGTCACGTGGTCGGTACAATTTCAGCTCACGCAGCTAACTCCGTACGGAGTCGGGGGAATGTTGCGCACAGCCACGGCAATTCCACCACTCAGTCTTACCTCTCTGTCCCACCCTTAGTGGTTTTTGAGTGAAGTCTTCATTTGACGTAAAGGATTCGCTTCCCCTGCGCGCGTAATGTACGTTTTGTTTACGTGCGTAACAATGTGCCTCAAGACGATGTCCTAGAATTTGGCCCGATCAGCGATATCTCTAATTATAAGTCTGTACACGATGTCTAATTAATTAAGTATAAAATTGAGGTATGTCCCTTTGATTCAATTCCGATATCATCACTTCATTTCACAATTCAATTACAAGAATTACAAAGTTATTTCTTCACATCACCCAGTCTTCATTTTACAAAACTCAAATAGTATTCTCATATTCAACATGTCTATGACTGCAGCCCAAGTCAACCCCTCAATCGCCCTTTTTGGTGCGACTGGTGGAACTGGACTTGCAATACTCAATGAAATCCTCTCTTCCTCATCTACCACTCATCTCAATGTTTTGTGTCGTACTCCGTCAAAACTCTCTCAATTCTCCAATGAAACAATCTACCCCAATCTTCATATCATTCAAGGCGACATTCGCGATGCCACCGCCTTAAAATCCGCCCTTATCGACCCAGCCACCAATCTCCCCGTCGATATCGTTGTTTCTTCTCTAGGCATGACTCTCATCCGTGCCTCAACTTTCTCAATGAAATGGTCAGACCCAACTCTCTGTCAGGATGGTGTCAAAAGTATCTTGAGCACATTGGATTCTCTAGAACTAGAGTATGGATCAAAGAATGTGAAGACGAAAGTGATAGTGGTTAGCACGACAGGAATTAGTAAGAAAGGAAGGGATATTCCTTGTAAGATGAGACCGCTGTACAGTCTTGGAAAAACCCCATTTGAGGATAAGATACGAATGGAGGAGGAAATTGTGAGGTGGGCGGGAGAAGGAGAAGGAAAGAGGTGGATGGTGGTTAGGCCGAGTTTGTTGATTAATGGAGAAGCGAAGAGAACAGTGGTTAAGATTGGATGGGAGTTCCCTGGCGCTGGGTATAGAAAGAGTGAAGATGAGCGAGAAAACAATATGGCAGAGAAGGTGAAAGAAGATGAGGATAAGTTGGAGATCGGGTACCAGATCACTCGGGGAGGGGTTGGAAAATGGATTTATGAAGAAGGCATTCGAAACGGAGGGAGGAGCGAATGGGAGGGAAGGTTTATGAGTCTGACATATTGATTTCCTTGGGTTTCCTTGTTGCAGGCGTTGTTTGTTAGCTTCTTTACCCTAAATACCCTGTTCCTCGGCAAGATTCGATCTTAGAGCTATATAATTTAGGATACTTGCTTTTAGACAGTTATTATTACCTTTCAAAGCCATGACTTACACTATAGCTCTATTCCCTAGTGGCTCATGATATTCAGAGAGAATTGTGAATTGTCTATAAATGTAGGAGCCACTCAACTTCCGTTTCTGACAGTACCCGTGTACACGAATTCTGGCACCCGGTCAAGAACTGGTTATAGATCATTCTTAACATGCAAAATTAAGAGAAATCTTCTTTTATTATATTCTGAGATTTCACGGACGGATTAAATATTGCTTGACTACGTAGGTAGTCACTGAAGATCCGGCCAGGGTTGTAGAGTTAGCATGCCCCCAAAATATTGTTTCGTTTCGCTTATTCAAAACGACTCAATCACATCGGAGTAATCACTTGTCTGAATCATACAAAAGATTACTGAATCTGGAGTAACCATTCAAAAAGTAGACTATTACTCTTTTCTCACCTACGTAAGGCTCGTTAACATTATCCATCTCAACTATCTCACGTTAACCCACAGCCACTCGACCGACTTAACCACCATATCATCGCTCCATTCCACATCATCTTCTCTTTCTAGACTCTCCACTCCGCAATCAAGTGAATGGTAATCATAGCTAAGACCAAAGCAGCAATCCCAACAACAGCACCATTAATCATCACGAGCCCGAAACCTACCATACCGGCACTTTGTAATACCGCAAATACACTACCAGCAGCGATGTTTCCGAGGATCGTCTGAGTGAGTGAGGCTATAGATCCTAATGTGGGCCTGCGTTAGTCGACCATCTCGGAAGAAAGAGCAGCTTGAAAAGATAACCAACAGGAGATACATGATGGAGGTGTTAGAAGATTCAAAAATCTAATTACCAGAAACAGGACCTGAGATCATAAAACCCAAAAGAGCAAGTAATGGTGCGGTAACAATGCCAGGCCAGATAATCACGGCGATGCTCAGAATTCCAAGGGCTATTGGAAGTGGGTGCTCGCAGATGAATTGAACATAGCGTGATATGAATGGACGCACATGAGTACGGTATAGACGATTGATTGTGGAGATAATGCCCTCGAGTGTTGGCCTGACTTCACGATGGAACCATCTTTTAAAGCCGGAAAAGGTCGAAGTTAAGGAGGTGAAAAGTGCTTTGCAGCCACCTCTAATTGTCGAGACGAAACTGGGCATTTGAATTGATTGATATTTTGGCTTGTTCTTGAGGGACTTGTATCAGCATGCAAGTTGATCATAAGTGGACGAGGTACAATACACGTTGTGCTTGGAATTGCTCGAGTCCAGGACTTGAGATCAGACCTCTATAGATATATAGGGGTTTCTGGAGCGTGAGACAACACGATGACTTTCTATATGGCTCAGAACCTTTCCTAATATCTGACTGATTGATATAATAAAAGTACCGTCGATCCACAACTTTCTCTAGAATTCTTCGACCGTGTGGTTATGCATGCTTCCATTACCAACATCTGATCATGTTTTACAATGAAATTTTCGCCCAAAAGTAAATATTTGCATCCTTTAAGGACCCTATTCCATAGTTATTTCTGTTTGTTACGGGAAGCTACGTTCGGAGAAATGTTTGTTTGTATCAAGGGTCGACCAGCTGCTTACTTCTTAGGAAATTTGCGTACATGCTCCATGACAAGGAAAATTTCGTTACTCTTGAGTCTTGATCGAGTTAAAAACTGCATGTCCTCTATGTTGAGGTATCATCCACAATGCACAGTTCCTTTCCGAGCTCCCGTGCGGAAAGCTGCATCACAACCCAGGATGGCGCGTTTGAAAATTGCAGTTCAGAGATCAAATAAGCTTCACTCTTCTATTTCCTTTGCCTAAGCCCTTGCAGAGCTTGTTGGATATCTATCATAGCGTTTCTACATTTTGAAGCGAGCGCAGAAAGATCACTTGGACAAACGGCCAGATAAAATCTCGGGGCATCTATCGTCGTCATTGAAATCGCTACCTGAGATTCCACAATTTCCAGCCCTTTCATCTTGGGATACAATATCAGAGAATACATGGCCTGGAACCTCGAAGCCCTTACTAACAGGCAAGAAACTGAGAAGAAGCGCAAAACAAGCCGAAGTCCCCGATGAAGAACTACTGAATTGGTAATAGGAACGACAGGAGCTTCGTCATTAGACACTTCTAATGGCTCTGGACACTGGAGTCATGATATTCTATAAATAGGTTGTAGGAAGAATCGATGATGAGAAATTTGCATTGCTTGTTGCAGATATTTGATTCTACAGTATTGCAGAAGAATTGCAATTCGCACGTGGCGCGACTATAATTGAAATGGTCACCGCGCATGAAGTTGGTGTTGAAAGCGAGTGGACGAATGGATAATTTATAACCACGGTCGCTGACAAGGTTTTGGAAATCAGGTCCCGAATGGGAAATTAGTGGAGGTTAACGAGCCGATCGAAATATGATAGAATTTCCATGCGTTAAAGTCACCTCTGATGACGAAGAATACTGTGATCAACGCCAAGGCCATGCATTCAAAAAAAAACTTGAAAGGTTGATGTGGCGGATGTTGGTGGCACCGAGGCCTTCTGTGAGAGGACGAAGGGGTCCAGCTCGGTTAGGGACATCGGCTGGCCAAGGATGTCAGTTACACAAGTTACCAATCACCCCGGTCAAGAAGTCTCTTGTTGCATATCGTAGAGTTTGTGGTTCCGCGGGGTAATGACTGCACATATATTGATTGGTATTTCCATTCAACTTTCCCAATAAACATGACCAAATAGTCTAGGAATGAATGATTGTTAGCCGATTCATGTGAAATTTCGGGGAAAATATGACGGTTGGAAATCAATCGTGGCACCATAGAATGTAGTTATGCTTCCGAAATCAAAAGTTCCTCAATATTGGAAGCTTGCATCTGCTTTGTTAGTGTGGAGTAATCAATACCTTGATCGCATTTCTTCAGTCTTCGCTATCGCTCACAACCAGTACCATCTAACTATTGATACCGACCCGGAGCATACTACTTCGTCAATTATTTGTAATTATTTTATCCTAAATTTCGAGAACAGTAATTGAAGAAAAACGAAGATTCCCATTTATTTAATATATCATATCGAGTACAAATATGTTTAGCCATAAAACCCTTCCCCGAATACCGTAGCAGAAACAAGTCGCTAAAAACTTTCAATTAAACATAAGTAAGTCACCGTTGGAACCCTGTCCTACTGCAGGTTGATAAACTTGCTCGGGTGCGTTCTGATTAACCACATATTGCATCTCGCCTCTACCAACGGTAGGACTACCACCGAATCCTTCATCCTGTCCATTCAAGTTCATGCTTGCCATTTGCTGGCCAACACCGGCAAAGAACGCATCTGCTGCATCGACTGCTGCAGCGAGATCACCTTGTCCACCGGGTTTCATCATGGGTTGAGAGTTTCCAAATGCAGAAAGTGATTTCTGAGCGTCCAAATCCCCATTTGGAAGATGTTGCTTTTGTAGAGCGGGCGAGTCTGTAAGGCGACGTGGGCGAGCGGAACGGAATACTTGCTGGACAGGTTTCAGGTAAACAGTAGCGAGAGTTCCAACGTTAAGGCACATCTCCTCAAGAGTGGCAGGGTCGAGTTTCTCCGATTCAGCTGTGATCGGAGGCTTTTCACCCATAACAATAGCTTTGGCTGTGGCCATATCTGAAGATAGCAGACGCCAGTACATGTAGCCTCTGTCCCGCAAATCTGGGTTATCTGTGTCTTCTGTGGCCCATTTCAACACCTTAGGAACCAATTCTTGCCCTTTTGTTGGCCTTTGAATGAACAGTTTAACGGTCGCGGTGAGAAGAGCAAGTTGAACTTCCACTGGCTCATCCGCGAATGAATAGAGAAAATCTTCAAGCAATACATCTGAGTTTTCTATCCGAGAGGCATATTGTCCGATAACCCAAATCATGGCAGCCTTGGCTTCGGGTTCATCTAGCGAATCCAAATTCTCGCACAATGTACCAATTATGGACTCGTACTGATTAGGGTACTTTCTGAAGATGTTTCGAATTACCACTGTTGCTTCTTGTACAATGTATGTGACCTTTGTGGCCACTAGCTCCAGCAATGTATTAATACACTGTCTAGCCGCAGGCTCGATTTTGATAGCAAGCTTTCCGATTGCTCGGACTGATTTGCGGACGAAGTGAACATCAATTTCTGTGGCGTATTCTCTCAATTCGGTAAGCACCTCTTGGATATTCTTTTCATTCGCCAACATGAAGATCAACTCCAGCTTGGTTACCTTGACATAAATTGGGTCATTATATTTGCAGAAGAATACTCGAATATCGTTGCGTAGAACTTCCGGCCTTCTTTGTAATATTAACAGCGCATTCCGTAATGCGAGATATTGAACCTCTGGACCCTTCGCCAATAAAGTGACTAAAGGGGGCGAGAGCTTCCGGCATAATGCCGATATTTGCTTTTGATCATTAATGTAGTTCATGAGGTACAAAACGACTCTTATACATGTAAGAACGACTGCAGAATTTGAATGTGATAAACGTGGAGATATACGCTCCGCTAGCAATAAGGCCTCAGAGGACTCTTGTGGAACATACGACATCAAGGCTTCCAAGATATATGTTTGGCCCCACCTGGTTGGTAATGTTAGGTCGTTCAATGGAAAATTGGAGAGTAGGATGCTTACTCGGAACAGTCTGGGAGAATTTGAACCATCTTAGAGGCATTACCGTAGTCAATAGTTAACTTGATAGCATCACTCCTCTCCCAGATATCCATCAAGCTGGCCAATGCACTAGCCACGACCGTTGGGTTATCGTCCCTCAACATCGAATTTAATCTGTCGATTAGATCTGAGCCCTCAACCAAGTGCCTATCGTGATCGTATAATTTTGCGACACAGAAAGCTGCTGTCTTGCGAACATACGGGTCTGCGTCTCGAAGGAGTTGCTTTGTAGGTAGTACTGTAGCTTCGACAAAATCTCGAACGTGAATGTATGACATCGTGCGCAATGCAAGAGCTCTGACAAGAGGATTAGAATCATTCATATCCTGGTCCGCAATGGTTAGTTTCAGCAGAGAAGTGCGGAATTTGGAACTTGCCTCTTGCAAAGTGGGTAAAGCCTTGACAGCGACATCTGGTTTCATACGAGCATAATTGACCAGAAACAGGAAGCACCTACTTTTGTGTTAGTTATTCATTCGCGCGACTTTCAATGTAATTAGTCAACCCACATCTTCTTAATCTCCAAGCTGGGTATTTGCATACACCCAACAATATCAGGAAACAGAGCGACCATGTCATTGTTGCTCATGGTCATGTTGGCTACAATCTTCTTCAAAGCGATCTTCTTCGCGGCATGGTTCTTGTCTTTCTTTCCACCACTATTCAATTCCAATCGTAGTTCCGCGACTTTGCCCTGTGGAGAATGATTATAAAGTGAGCCAACTGATCCATATCCGGTTGGTGGTATATAGGAAGGTAGAAACATAATGCAGGGTGCGCCTTCATTGTGAACTCCGAGATGATTGAAATCTTGCAGACCATAAGACCCCAAGCATCTTAGGTGCTACAAATATGCAACAGATCGGGCGAGCACATGAAAGGAAGTTGAGGCGCAAATGATATATAATAAACCGTGAAATTGTATGATAATTGATCCAAGTGACATACCCTTGCAAAGAGCTTCGCATCTCCCCCGCCTGAGCTCATGATGTGCGAGCCTCAATCCCTTTGTGTGTATGGTGACTATGTCGCTGTACCTTCAATCGCACACGAAACCCTCCCAGTTCAATCTCTCCCAGTTCAATCTCGTAAGAAATCCGTCGACCACTGAGATCGTTTGTTTCCCAAGCCGGCACCACAGGGTAAATCGACAATGCGCCACAATCACCGACAGTATAGTATTAGAGTTTGTCGCAGATATCTCTCCATCAACTTGAGGAATTTTGAATTTCGCAGATATAATTTCATCAAATGTAAATGCAATGTTTGTAATTCGTGTAATTCAGTATGGACTTTAAGAACGACGTGAAGTAAAGATCATCTAAAGGGGTGGCTCTAGTAAGCTCGGGATCGCGGATTTAAGCTAGCGTGGGAAGCTTGTTCCATCAACAGTGTACTGCTTCCTTGCTATCTGCTAGGTAGGAACTTATACTAGGTAGGCATTAATATTTGTAGGTTCTGCCTTAATACCTAATTTGACACGGCGTGCGACGACGACAATCTACAAAGAATACGAGGCTATTCTATTATCCTTCAACCGCCGAAACGCAACTTATCGAAATGGCGGAGCTCGCGATTTCACCACCTCCCCCTCCTCCTCAATGGGTTGTAGATCTTAATACTCCACCATTATCGAAGCCAAAATCAGCAGGTATTCCGGATCCTCCAGGATACACAGCTTCCTCTTCTTCAAGCCGAGTATGTTATTTCCGACCTATATACTATTAACTGTCTGCTGAAAATCGTGTTCTCCAGAAACAAACCACCAAAACCCCACGACAACCTCCGACTTCCGCTGAAATGGATACGCTGAAGATCAAGAAAGCATGGGAAGTGGCTTTGGCCCCTGTCAAACAACTTCCAATGACGGCGATTATGATGTATATGTCAGGGAACTCTCTTCAAATATTTTCCATCATGATGGTGGTTATGGCATTCAAGAATCCTCTGATGGGGCTTATGGCTACAAATCAAGCATTTGAACGTTTTGAGAGTGAAGGAACAAGGGGAAAATTGGGTGTAGTCAAACTGGCATATGTTGCATGTCAAGTGATAGCCTTGGCGCTAGGAATATGGAAGGTTAATGGAATGGGATTATTACCGTAAGTTGTCTGTACAAATGACTCGGAGTAAAATGCTAATGGCACTGCAGTACTACAAGGTCCGATTGGTTGGCTTGGGAGACAGCAAGGGATCCTCTAGAACGAGCTATTCCAGCTTTCTGAGGTATTTGGCTTGAGACGATTGCACGTTATGGCGTTAGGATACCATGGAACTATGAACAAACAAAGCATGTCAGGGCTTATGTGTCGCGATTATGTAACAGAAGTCTCGTGAGCGATCGTTCAAACGAGATAGCGCAAATTTTAAACAAAACACAGCATAGAGACTATCAGCGACATATATGCGCAGAGTGATGAACGGTGTTACTTTATCGGAATATTGAAACATGCACTCATTCGAGGTACGCCGCAGCACAAGCCTCCCATGCTAATGCATCCTGATGGATCCCACCCCGAATTCGATGTCAAATGAAAGTCTTAAAACTCTGGAGGGACAAAATCGCATTCCTGCCATAGATCTATCTGCAAGTGCAGACCCAGATTTCTCTCGATACATCGCGCTGACTGCCCTTAAATCTTATCTCCATATTTCCACCAAATAAATGTGCCTGGCTTTCGTTGCGATTCCATATTGTGCCTGCCTCTATGTTTGAGAGTGTAATTCGAGATTTTGGATGCCTTCGATCTTGCATGAAATCTCTGCAATTCCGCAAAATACCTGTCGACCAGCACTGTCCTTAAATATCATTTACTTTTCTGGTAGATTTGACTGTCGAAGTTTCCTTTAACTGCGACTCCAATGCTTCCTTTACTTTATCAGTGTCTATGAAGTCCTCCATCAACAACTGTAATCGCGTTACCCTGCATTGATCGCATTTTTCATGAGAGCATTTGCTACATTTGTCCAACTTCATCCTATTACGTTCACCGCACTTAAATCTCAAGTCAGCATATCATTAGCGTCTTGTATTATTCTTGGGAATAAACTCACCCCTTGAATATCCCTCGATGCGTTATTACAGCACATCCACATTGTGTCGCTGATGCTTGAAAAGTAAGGCATGTTGTTTAGCGACTCTTATACTAGTTGCTGGCTGTAAAATGCCCTGTAAAGTTTATTATCAGTCTGGATGGACTTGCCGTCGTTGTATATCGTCTGCAAAGTGATACTTTCAAGGGATCTGGAGTAATATTCTTCAAAGCTTATATGTTGCATTATAAAGTGATGGTGGGAAGCTAGTTCTAGCCTACGGTTAGCTTGTAGGTTAGGTGCTGGTTGAACATGTTTAGTACGGCTGTGAATAACTTAAACTTTAAATCTGTCCTTTGTACAGAGGGCAATCATCAATTGATTTTATATACTGCAGTAGGATTGAACACATGTTAGATGGTGGCATCGATGGGGTAGCCAAGCAATGCTAGATCTCCTTATTATCAAACTTGAAAATCGTTCAACCTTCAACCTCATTTATGTATTGAGAGCCGTTCTGTAAATTTCGATTCATCAAATTAGCCAAGGTCAAATCTGCGGTCATCAATAGTATCATCTGAATATTATTATTTGTTATCATAAAGCTTGCCCAGAGACGTCATAATGTAAGTTTCCCCTTCAAACTCACTAAGTGATCGGTGTTTTCTTAACGTCTGTAACTCCTCAACTTTGTCTCTCCAATAGGGCAAATGAGAATTTCCTTGAAAACTTAACTTGTGACCGTACGTGTGTAGAGCTAATTAGTTTTCGTCAACCTTGCCGCTAACGCACACCATTTTCTACTCCCTCGATCACCCACACTTCCAATCTGAACTGAGAACATTTCCTCAATTTAGATTGAAAGTACTATGTAAAAGAACCCTAACCTTTTTCTTCCGTTTCTCAAGAAAAGCTTAAACTCAATTTGTTCCATAGTAATTTTTGAATGCCAAAACAGCTTCACCGATGAAAGGCAGCTCCTATATTTTGTCGAAGAGAATATTTTTCAATGTGGTTGGTCTCAGCAATCGACAATTTATATGCATACAGAGTCATGTGAGTGTATATGTGCTCGAACTGCCTACAAGCTCAGATTCAGCCGGATTTTCTGCGCAATTAATATTATCTGAAACTTACAACCAGATGCGTTCACGGAATCTTTTTCCCGCTCTATATTCCTACGATGAATACTTTGAAATGATGGTTCTTGCATTTGCGTAACCTCCGGCGCCAGGAATACTCATACCCAGTACCTCCTCGCTTAGTGGTATTGAGTTTATTGAACAACACCTGGGCACATATCAGTGGTCTTAGCAGACCAAATGCGTGATTACCGGTTATTATAATGAAGTCTTTTATGCCAAAGAGTCTGTGGACAAATTCTTGGATAGTGTTGAAAATATTCTGCTTCACAAGCTATGTCTGGATAATTTTGGGTAAAGATTGAAAGTAGTTCCTCGGAATGCGAATACCCAGTTCGTGGTCGTGAAATAGGATTACAATATTTGTTGGCTCCATGAGATGGACAGCTAGCGGTGGAGAACGAGTGCCTGGTAAAATCTAAGGGCCACAATGGAAACGTCTTTTCTCACATAAATCTCTTGCTCTGCCAAATAATGAATGATATTTGAGTCTATACAAATCCCTACTATGAAGTTGAATTCAACCTTAACTCCAGCCTGAACCAGCCAGGACCCAACAGTATGAGAACTCAATCTTTCATCCGGCCCTGTCCAACAAATATGCCTTACAATGTCTGGTATCTCCTCGAACTTCCACCCGGCAGAATATTGAGCCCCTCTTTAATTCCTTTGCTCGACTTCGGCTCTCCATAGCCTTTGAGCCTCTTGTCCTGCTCCTTTTGACTATTATTATCTTCTTTAAGTCTCTGTTTTGCCTCATTTTTGCCTCTTTCTCCCTTTTCACTCTCTCATCCGCCTGTGCCTGTCTCTCAGCTTACCCTTCTTCACTATCATTGTGCTGGGGTAGTTCCATAAAGTGATAGCGGTCCTGATAATATCTGTCTCTAGCCCGGGTTGGGACCGTGATTTTGTGGGGTTTGATTATTTCTGTCTTGCGTGTTGGAAGAAACTGATCCATATGCTTGTTCCCACTTGGGGAGAATGTATGAAGTGACATATTGATCGATCTGGAGTTTCTCTCTCAAATCCAAACTTGATTTTCTTCGCCGGTAGATAGTTACAAGGTTGTTTTGGTCTACCTGTTCTGATACGTAGGGTAAGTTTACATGGTGGCATGTTGTAGGTATATGGTAAAACAAAGGAGATTTTAGAAGAGACATTTCCGGGCTAAATAGGCTCAAACCGAGAACAGTTCATGTCCTAGAAGTTGAAGTTGAGTGTAAAGTGAAGTAGTGATTGAGAGCTTGATATTGATCTCGACTTCGGTGGTGAATCGCAGTCCTTTTATACAAACACAAATCTACTTCAGGATGAGCCATGAGAATCCATACAGTTCCAAACATTCAATTTGGAACATGTATGCTGACAGAGAATATCAGCACAGTAAACGTATATCAACAGCTTTGTCTAGAATTCACATCCACAAATCTCTCGTATCGTTGTATAATTTGTAAATCCCAAATACTCACATCGTGGTAAGGGAAGCTCCCCTTCAAGCTCAGAGGATAGTGTGCGGCCAACAGACCGAACTTTGTATTTAGACCTAAAATTAACCCTATTGACCCTGCTTACCAAAGGTGAGTGGTGGTCTGAAGTTATTTCGACCGTGCTTTTGACATTGCTGTTTAACGTAATTTCATTGCTGAGGCTGCATAGTGCTTGGCAACTAGACTGGCAAGTTTGGGTAGGATCTAATATCAATTCAGAGTGGCCTTTGAAGTTTGCAAAGCATAGGAAAATTCTTGGTAGTTTTTAATGAAGAAAACGTTAAGTACAGTAAAGTTAAGCGGGGGAATTGGGTGGGGTGAGGAGGATCATTTTTTCGTATTTCTCATCGCTCTGTGGATGAAGCTCTGTGAATCGAGCAAGGAAATCGGAAAAGAAATATGACTTTTGATGGATAATAGAATCTACAAACAAGCAACTTTTTAAAAATAGCTTCAGAAGCTGATGATAGATAAAATTTGGTCAGGCACTAACCGTGGAATGAATCGAAAAGAAGTAAATCATGATACTGCGAACAACGTCTATTAACAGCTGCGGGAATGTAGGCCCTTTGGTCACAATGGCGATGCTCCTTCCAATCAATGCAAGTACATGTTATCTCCTCTTGGAGCTCATCTACTGGTAATCGATATGAAGATGGGGGTGGGGAATATCAGGGAGATCGTGGAATTCGGATCTTAATATGGTATCTGCATGTCTGCTCGATTTGATGGGGGTTTGACCACATTCTATATTTACACCCGAACTTGCGAAGTCGATTGGCAAAAAGGTTCAGCCGCTCATTTTCAATTCATGATATATCCTTTATCTTCCTGCGTCCTTCTTGGTCAAGTCTGCGTTGTTTCCATTCTTGCTTCCCTCGATGCTAGCCATGAAGTCCCTAGTAGATGTTAGAGCATGCAAATGATATATGCCTGTGGGATCAATAGATTCCCTCATTGAACCTACTTAATGTATTTCTCCTCATCTGGACTTTTGGCGTTAATTGGTGGAGTTGACTCCTTCTTTGCAGCAGATCCACCACGAGTGGACAAAGTGACGACACCAGCCAACGAACCGAGAACTGCCATAGCTAACTAGTATCGCGGTTCCTGTCAGTAATATTCCTTGACTTCTGCTCATTGCGTAGCCTGTTCAATTGCACGAAGGAAAAATCAAAGATTTTGAGTAGAGGACTTCAAAATAGGCCACCTACGTAGTGGGAGCCAACTTGCTTTCCGGCGATTTGGTAGTAAGAAACCATTTTGACAAGTTCGAAGATTTGACTAAATCGATAATTGTTCGAATATGATTGCGGTGACGGAGTGAAGGTTCGTGATAGTATTGATCCGGCACAGTTTGATTGAATTGGAGCCATACAAATTTCCAAGCTAGGCGATTTAAGCGCCAAGCGCGCACCGAAAGATTCCGAGATGCCGTTGTCTTCCCGTCCCGCGTTGAGGGACAGAACAAAGCAAGGAGGCGAGCAAAAGGGCTCCGCTTCCAGCTTTCCACTCCACCTTTTAGCGTCTAGGAATTAGAGGAGTACCAGGAACAATCAATCCCCCACTCGTGGGTATCGTCATTTCCCCATGCCAGGACCGGACGAGAACACCGGTTAATACTTGACGAGTTCTTCCGTCCGAGGTCATAGAAAAGGAATGCGACAAAAGACACCAGTCTTTGATCTACCAAACATACAACGTATCCTTTTTCACAATTAAAACAGCCAATCCGATTTTCGAAGCTACTTGATACACTGTTTACTATTCACTTGTTTTCTACTCCAATCTCTTCAGTATAAAAACGAAAAATGGCTGGAAAAGATAACAATAGCTCTCGAGGTCCTCCCTCGACTGGTCTACCGGACGTGGAAAAGCTTCCTGATGGAATGCAAAGAATTGTAGACAAAGCAGATAAGGAGGATAACTTCTACGATGAGCTTTATGATGGATAGTATGTATCCATGCGACTCTTGTCTTAGCTAGTCTCTTGCACTCGAGATTCACATAGACTCATCAAGCACTATTTTTACTCACAAAATGCTAATCGTGATGCGACAGTGCTCCTCAGACCACCGAAAGCAATATTAGATATGCGGCATATGCTACTCGCATACGAACAGGTGAGTTTTCTCATACAGCATGTAGTTTTAGAACTTTAGCTAAGATCTCTGATAGCTCTATTATCTGCGCAACGGTACGTAGCTTATACATCAGATATCGGGGAGTCTTTTCGACCGGTAGCTCATCCAAACTGGGTTCGAGCAGCTTATGGCGTTTCGTGGGCCTATCTTATTGGCGATGTCACACATGAGGGATACAAGGCATATTGTAGGAATCAGGAGGTTTTGCATCCGGAACTCCCGAGAGAAGCAATGCACGATCGATACAATGATGCAAAGACGGATCTTAAGATAGCCGCCAATGAGAACGGAGTGTCACTGAAACCTCGTCAAGTGGCGCCACTGGATGATTATAGGACAGTAATGGCACAGCGTGCCCTATTTCAAGGAATCGCTTCGATGGGTAGGTGCATTGATTTTCATTTTTCACATTCATGCCGAAATTGATGTTAGAAAAGTTCCACCACGAGCCCATCACTAACGCGATCAGGTTTACCCGCTTTTACCATTCATTCTATTGTGCGGTATTCCGGTAAATATATGAAGAATGTCAAGAATGTAAAGGTTAGAACATGGGGCCCCATAGGTCTGGGACTGGCTGCTGTACCCGCTTTACCTTTCTTGTTTGACAAGCCGGTCGAGGAAGCAGTTGAATTTGTATTCCATAAAGGCTTCGAGACCTTCGGCGGTAAACCTGCCGTAGGTAACGCACCTGTCACGGGTCGGGAACATTTGTTAGAACGACCCGAGAAGTCGAAGAAAGAAAAAGAATTGTGACGAATAGTTACTTTTATAATTTGGAGCATAGCGTTTAGGAGACATTGATCTCTATTGGTATTGGGTCAGCAAAATATCAGTTCCGTTTCGAGTTGCGATGATTTCGTTTCCGTTATTTTTGGGTTTCCCACACGCAAAAGGTTGGTCATACTCAAGTATATTTCTATTTCCAAAAAGTAGCACAAGAGGTTTTCCTACTTTCATGATTCACAATTCCATTGAATTCCGTCTTCATTTACGAAACATGATCGACATATTCTACGCCGAGTGGCTGTATTCTCTCAGCTCCTTCAATATCCAACGATCCAATTGGTACTCTGACATTGGTTCACAACACTATTCTTCTTACCTACTTGAAATCTGAATGGTACAGACTGATTTACAACCTTTCCGATTTGAATTGTCACGCCATAGAAATCTGAGGTATAGTACATGAATGTGATTCACTTCGATTCCTCTGCAGTGCCTTCATAAATCTTGAAATTGTCTTTTGTTTTTCTATTTAGCTCCAAAAGGGAACAGCATCATGGCGGCCGTAAGATTCAACCAAGACTTGATAAAAATAGTCGAAAGTGCCGACATTCCGAAGCCTATGTGTGATGAGTTCAAGAGGATGATTTCAGGAATGAAGTCAGTACATCTTGACTCAATAATACATTGATGTGATCACTAATTCTTGTGGCATTTAGTTTCAAAGCGTGTTTAGCCGATTGTATGCCCAAATTCAAGTTGAACGTACGTCGGCATTTACTTAAATTCAACGACAACTCCATAAACGATGAAGATACTCTTGACGACCTCAGAATTCGTCGAATGGCTGTAGCCAAGACCTTATTTGGCAAACTTGGTTCGGATACCAATATCGAGGCTCCCCTATTCTGTACCTGGGGCTGCAACACATTTATTGGTAAAGACGTCTATATTAACAGGGAGTAAGTCATGTATTGCTATCCGGCCAAGATTCTACTAAGGCTGGTATGACAGTGTCTCGATTTTTGATAGTGCACCCGTTCAAATTGGCAACCGTGTTCTCATTGGACCTGGTGTCTGTATATGCACTGATACGCATGAACTTGACGCTGTGTCGAGAAAACAAAGCCAGATGGGGTCTTATGCAAAACCAATAGTTATTGGCGACGATTGCTGGATTGGAGGAAGAGCAGTTATACTTGCAGGGGTTACTATTGGGAATGGATCGACGGTTGCAGCTGGGGCTGTTGTGGCCAAGGATGTTGAAGCAAGTAAGTACTGTGCCTTTCTCAGTTGGGCTTTTCAACCTTGTTATTCATAATGCGCGCTTCAAGCACGTGCGATAGATCAGGTTGGGGGATTGTTTCGCTTACATATTGATGAATGTACAGATTGTCTTGTTGGTGGTGTACCTGCCAAGATTATCAGGAGGCTTGATCACGGAGCTATGTTGCCAAAGCAGTAACCTTCAGCTTGATGCTTTTTTGATTTGGCGGCATCTTGTTTTTGGACCTCAGGGTGTGTGTAGGAGTATTTGGAGTCAGGTAAACACCTATATACGTATATGTCGCTACCTCGATGGTTATATATCGTTGATGTTTTCGGGCTTCTTTCTATAGTTGCTCCTAGTCTGCAAGTATCGCTAGATATGATGAAAATCCCTATCCTCACTTGCACTAAGAGTGAGACCCCAAACTGTATTGATGTGGACCTTCGGCACAGTCTTAATACTCGGCATGTTGTTTGCAAATCTTTAATATAATCTCGATATTTACATTCAAGATCTGATGGCTTTAACGTTTCAAAAGGCTCTTGAGTATAGTGATAGTGGTGAAACACTGAGATGAGTACTCATAACCTCGTTATCATAATGATGAGGATGGCTTTATGTAGAAGTGAACAAGACCGCACTTGTAAATCATGTTTGTGTTTGAACTAGTATATCGAACTCAGCTCTGAATAATAAATACCTTGAGAAATGTGAGCCTGATAATATAATATCATAATATCACGCCATGTTACAGGATTCATTGTGTAGATTATCATCTATCTTCTAGGATTTGGAAACTCCGGAATCGAATTCCAATGAAATACTTGCGATAATTTGATACCTACCTATGTTCGCGCTGAGTATTTCCTTTTTCGATCTCCAGTTGGATGAACTTGGCTGGATGTAGTGCTGGAAATTTGCAATCCAGTCTCTTACTTATCCTTGCTCTTCAACTCGAGTAGATTTCGGCGATGAATTGTCATGATTTCTGAGTGAAAACACGAGGTACTCTTTGTCGAGTAGGACGACGGAGGTTAGATCTTGAGGCTATTAGGAGTGTATGCGATAATGGATCACTGTGTGCATATTATGCTGCTTGGGTATAACAGTGTGATATATATGGAATTCAAAAGCTTCGATATTCGAAAGGAGTCTTTAGACTATCAAGAATGGCCTGAGAAGGTAAGAAATTTCCTGTTGCCGCAATATCGCGTTCTCAGTGCAGCGAAGCTCGGTCGGAAGGTTCGGATCAAAGGGCACGCTAAAGCTCGGCAAGGTGCAAGAATTGGAGACAGAGCTTTCATAGCCGACGATGCTCACGTACTTAGAGGAGTACATGTAGGTAGAGGGGTCACCTTACAAGAAGGTGAAGTGGACGAGAAGAATATTCCTGGTGTTCGGGGTAGACGTTAGTATAGCAGGCGTGAGAATACACTTGCTGGTCTACTTTTCTCTCATTGTCCCGTAGCTAGACATACATTAATAAGCTTTCGTATATGTTCACATGTATGCTCAGCTTCTGGTGATTTGAAATACGGAAGTGTTGGTATCACCTCGGTGGTGATTATGACGTCTTCACAATAGGTATGCTGTATTCATTGATATTATGTCTCATCTATTCTAGGTTCTAGAGCTACGAAAGCTATTTATAATACGTGCGTATATTCACTCGTATCGCAACAAGAAGTGACCAGAGTTCATGAATCAGCTACTGGGATTGGAATTTTAATCGTGATTTTCTGGAATGTCATATATCGACACGAAAGCCCCCACTCCCGACTTCCCAAGATAACTTTAAAACTCAAACTTTCTACTATGAGAAAATTCAGTCGTCATTTCTCAAGATGACTAACGTGCGCATACAATTGACACCAAGGCCCCTTTCTACTCGTTGCCCAGGGTGCCTAAGAACTCAGACTGGTAGACTGAATCTAAGTCCTCGGTACTTTGCAGCGGTATAATGTGTAAAGTGAAGCAAGTATCTCCAATCATGTGAACAATCTCACAGAATTCAAAAAACCAAAGTCAGACTAGTGGTAAGCCCGCACTTGTGGCTTATTGAAACGGCTCCAAATCATACTAATCGAGAGGTTCCGGCTGTGGCTCCTTAAATGTCGAACATCACGATCTATAAGTCAATCACTCGATCTCTGTTTCCCAAAATGATAATCCGCTGGTGTTGAAATCATGGATGATCTATATTTATTCTTCCACCATTCATAGGAAAACAAAAATAGTATTCATATCAATAGCAAAATCAACAAATGGCATACATACCACCAAATATCGATTTTGACAGACATGAGCGGGAAGCTTTGACTAATTTCACAGGCCAAAACGTCTATTCTACCAGCATTGATGCTTACGAATAAGCAAATTTACAAATTTATAGCAGCGAAGCTGCAGCCAGGCTGGCCGCTACTAACACAATACTCACTGGGCATAATACCGTAAAGGCAGATACACGCTGCTCTGGTTTCGATGCATCAAAGAGATATATGTTCAATATCCGAAACGAAAGCTCTACTGACAACTTTACTTGCAGTATCAAGATTAGCGGCACATCCGGTGTCATTATCTGCGAACCTGGTATGATTGGCGATATGGTTCACCTCAACGCCAGTGGAAAAAAGATTATCCTTAAATCTCGGTGCAGAATTGACAATGATGTTTACATTGGTCCTGGCGTAGTGATTGGAATTGGTGTACACGTCTACGCAAATTTTCAGATCGCTGGCCAAACAGAGGTCAACAATCATACAAAAGTGGAACCTGGCGTGAAGATTGGCTGGAATGCACATATTGGCGCAAATGTATCGATTGAACAAGAATTCATAATCGGAAGGATTGTTGTGATTGAAGAATCGGCAGTCATTTAAAAGGGTGCTGTAATTGAGGATAATGTACGCATGGGAGCTCGGGCAAGGATTTTGAGTATGGGGAGAATAAGGGCTGGCATAAAAGTTGAAGACAATGTACAAGTCCGCTCTTTTGTAAGAAGGTATTAGAAGGACTCTTCTCCAGCAGGCAACGGAAACAGTAAACATCATTTACAAGCCTTTTAAACTATCAAGTGGAGTTCTTAGACTAAGCGAATCTCCAGAATCATCAATGATAAGTCTTTGTGGTGAATACCTCAAATGATCAGGCAGTGTAGGCAATAGTATACTACAGTGAAACTGTGGCGCGTATTAACATATTGATATTGCAGCTAGTACGTATAGAAAGGAGGTTATACCACTCTCGTACATATTCATATGTTTAAAGAATACTAGCAATATACTGAAATACTGGAATCCAATATAAAAATCTACATTCCTATCCAAATTAGGCTAGAAAAAAGGGATTTCATATCAATTCGAATAAGGAATGGAATTTTATTACCTAATATGAATAGGAATCTCTTATTTCTAGTCTAATTTGGATAGGAATATATATTTTATATTGGATTCCAGTATTTCAGTATATTGCTAATAATATTGAATAACTAAATAATATTAAATACTTTCAGTGATATTGAATTCTATACTACATACGTACGTATTTCGAAAAAATTCGATATGTACCACTAAACTAACCTGTATACGAAATACGGGAAATACTATTGTCCTGATCAGATCAGGACATTTCACTCTGAAATGTAGTCTCTCAAAATTCCAAAGGTATACTTCAAAAATAAATCTGGAAACGCTCTGCATATTATTTCAGTGTAGCCAAATAAGGTAATTATCCAACTGAGTCAATATGATGAGTGACAAAGACAGGTGCAGACATCTTCTCTGGTTGCGAGGCCTAGCTTTGGATCATCATCTTGTGGGAACTTTCCCAAATCGAGTAATGATTCATGGACAGAAACCTTGTGGATAATATGTCTAACAGAATTTAGAATCTCATGTCGGAGAACACTGCAGCATCAATTTCTCGCTGAATAAGAGATGATAAAATGAAGTTCACAGGATGAAATTCTGTGTTCTGATCACAACCTCGCAGCTTGATATCCATCCCTCTTTCATTTCTGATTCCGTAGCAGTAACACGTAGTGACTACTGATACCGCTTCATGCAAAGAAACTTGAGTTAAGGAGCGGTAATCAATGGAAGTATGTGGGAAGGAATAGGATAGAGCAGTATGATTTCTCAAAATTTACATTACATTACCAAACAACGCCTAATACCTAAAACAAAACACCAGCTCAATTATTGCAACCTATTGCTCTTTTCTCGCCGCCGAGATCCTCTTCTTTAATTCTGGTATGCGCCATCGTGAGGGTAGCAACAAATCCTATTACTTGTTAGTGCCATCAATCACCCAGAAGATTAGATACGTACCCAACTAGTATGCCACAAGAAGGTCGAGACGAACCAAATTATCGAAGCATCTCCACCAGCCCATTGATGTGTCTGTGGATTCTTCTTCAAAGCGTTCTTCACTACTTTATTGGCATAAACATTGACATCCATTGCAGTACTCAATACGACATCTCCTGCCGCAGCAGATTCAACGAGATCTCTCGCCGGGGCATATGGCGAGTTATCTGGTAATTTAACCGATGGTTGATTGTCGAAAAATTTGGTTTTTACCCCACCAGTGATCACAAGAATGGCTTTGACACCGAGAGGTTCGAGTTCGAGACGAAGTTGATCAGTAATTATGTTTACTGCTGCTTTGCTTGCATTGTAATATCCTTGCCAATATCCAGGGCTGATGCCAGCGACTGAGCCGATGTTAATAACTGTTCCTTTAGAGGAAATAAGAAGTGGCGAGAATGCTTGTGTTACTGCTACGAGAGCGAAGACATTGGTGTCGAACATCTTTTGAGCAACTGATACTTCAGTATCCAGCAATGGCATGGCGTAACCTAAAATTTGTCAGCTTTGTTTTGAGATGCCGGTTCAGCCATATGGACTCTTAAAACATACCACCACCGGAATTGTTAACGAGGAAATCCAACTTTCCTCCAGTCTTTAACTGGACAGCATCAACAGCCATCTTGATGGATGTTGAATCTGTGACGTCTAATGAAAGAGTTTCAAGTCCTAACTTTTTAAGATGTTCGATTTTAGCAAGATTTCGAGCTGTAGCGAAAACTCGAAGACCTTGGCGATGAAAAGCTTTTGCGAGAGCATCTCCAATTCCACCCTCACTGCATCCAGTGATCAAAATTGTTTTCTGGGCCATCTTTTCTATATGAATCTGTGGATAGATGTTGTGTTTGGAATTTCGAATTCTAAGCGAAGCTGCCTTTTATGTTACGTGAATATATATAGTCTGCAAACGGAAGATGAATGTTATGAGTTGATTGATTGACATGAGAATGAACAACTGACGAACTATCGTATCTATATAATTTCTCAAGATTCTAACTAACTGCTCGGATTCAACTTGAATTCCATTGTCTTTCTTCTAAACTGTACACAAATGACCATATTGGTAATTCGGAAACAAAGTTGCTCCGTACCGTAACGTTACAAACCCACATTTCTGCTTGCATAACAATGAGATAAGTTTGTAAAATGAATGGGCTTTAAATTGACTTTTGGGTCTATGGAATGATTACTGATCAAGCCGAGACACTAGCGATTGGACTTTTAGACTTTTGGACATTAATCTCAATGAGGGCAACTGGATCATGTTGTGATAGTAGAGCAGCCTTAATGATTGTCAGGAAGGGTTGAATTGAGAATTAGAAATGATTGCGGATTTGCAACCTTTGTTCTTGCAAATTGCAGAGATCAATGCATGTAGCTTATTTAATTTGAAATGCTGAGGGTTGTCTATCATGAAATTGAATACATTTGGCCTCAGGCATGATTCTCATCTCTAGCGTCGAAATACCACTTTACGCGTCCAAACGCGTCTCACCACCATTTTCCATTTCACTTTAATTTCACACTTCTCCTTGGAACAACAATACAAATTCTTCACATCATTTGTCGAATTCTACAAACTCAACAAGAATCAAAATGTCACCATCACTTGAAGAAGAACTCTCTACTCTTCCTCGCGAAATTCCTGCTACAAAGGAATCCACAGAAACAAAATCGTCTTCAAATTCAACATCTACTCCTAAGAAACATGAAGAATATCAATATCTAGACTTGATCCGCGAGATTTTAGAGACCGGTGAACACCGTCCTGACCGGTAAATTCCAGTTTTCATCTTGCACAACCATTATAATCCCCAGATGAATACATGACTGACAAAACAACCAAATAGAACAGGAACTGGCACCATCTCCATCTTCGCCCCCGCACCTTTAAAGTTCTCCCTCACATCCCCCACAGGAATCCCAATTCTTCCCCTCCTCACAACAAAACGCGTATTCCTCCGCGCAGTCCTAACTGAACTCCTCTGGTTCATATCCGGTTCCACTTCTTCTCTACCCCTCTCCACTGCCGGAATAAAAATTTGGGATGGCAATGGATCCCGTGCATACCTAGACTCTATCGGTCTTTCTCACCGTGCCGAAGGAGATTTGGGTCCCGTCTATGGATTTCAATGGCGACATTTCGGCGCTAAATATATTGATGCCGAGACAGATTATACAGGACAGGGCGTTGATCAATTAGCAGAAATTGTATGGAAGCTCAAGAATAATCCATGGGATAGGAGGATTATTTTGAGTGCATGGAATGTGGCAGATATCAAGTTGATGGCATTACCACCTTGTCATATGTTTGCTCAATTCTATGTTTCCTTCCCGAAAAGTTCTACAACATCTTCAACTTCCGAATCGAATACAAACCCCCCAAAGCCAGAATCGAAACCTAAAGGCATTCTTCATTGCCAGCTCTACCAACGTTCCTGTGATATGGGACTTGGTGTCCCGTTTAACATCGCTTCTTACGCTCTTTTAACACATATTCTTGCTCATGCATGCGATCTTACACCCGGTACATTTACACACACAATGGGAGATGCACATGTTTATGTTGATCATGTCGATGCATTAAAGGTACAACTTGAGCGAGAACCTAGAGAATTTCCAGAAATAGGAATTTTGAGGGAGGATCAAGGTAGTGGAGTTGTAGATGGATGGAAGCCAGAGGAATTTGAGGTTACAGGATATAAACCACATGGAAAGATAGATATGAAGATGAGTGTTTAAGGAATGGAAATGGAGTTTTTGGAAAGAAGAGAATGAAATTTGGGATCAGGGAGGTGGAGGAATAAATGGAGATTTAATTTTGTAAAGATAGATATTAGATAGTATGAATTATTGAGTTATGGTATTTATTCATGAAGCATGATTATAAAATGGAGGATCATGTATTAAGCCTTCAAATCCAGGGTTTATATATTATTAACCTTACGTGTTTTTTGTTGCATCAATAAAGAATTACTTGCAGATACAACAATATAATTCAAAACAAGAAATTCAACCTCCCCTCTCCCAATTCATCATCTTATGTTTACTTACCTCACTCACCCTACCACCGACCAAAAAACAAAAACACTCCCCAACCCTCATTCATCCCCTTTCCCTATTCTCCACGCACAAAAAGCAAAAGAATAATCGTGAAGGGCCTAATCCGGGATCGAACCGGAGACCTCTTACAATCAATTTGGATTGAATAACCCAAAGCAAGAATTCTACCACTGAACTATCAGGCCTTTTTGATAAATATAGTCGCTACGTCTTAGTTATATAAACTAAGATTGGAAAAATTGAATTCTGTGCAAGAGATAGTGGAGAAGTTCTTTCCTCTTTTTTTTTCTCGCGTCGTAGGTGTGGAGACGCGGGAGGGGTGCGGCTGGTAAGCGAGTGGGATAGGGGGAATTTGGGATGGGTGGGAATGTGTGTTTAGGGGGTAGGTGAGTGAATTATTGTGTTGGTCTGTTGATGGCAGGATGAAGGGTTTATTTATTTGGATTTTGAGTTGTTTTTACGTTAGGAGGATTCAATTCAAGAGTGAAGTAACTAGTTGGAGATAGTATCGTATCTCACATTTGTCTGTTTGAGAAGATAGTTTGACTCTCAATCTCAATCTTCATTTACTATATATAGCTTTAACATATAGCATCAAATTTTATATATTAATGAGTCTCCAGATCCATACTTACCTCTTCATGCACAACTCCCAGAGGACATTGCAGATACATTTATAAAAATATCTTCCAAATCTTGAATATCCAATCCAATGAATTTTAAATCAGTAAGGATGATTATTATAGTCAATGAATACCTATCTATCTATCTACCTACATAGTAACCGGTACAGAATTTAAATAGGTTATGACTCTCGATTCTTTCTCGGCGTAATGTTAGATGTAGATAGTAAATTGTCAACTTCCCCCCATATATCAACATAAAGTGAAACAGGTAAGAAATCCAGAATCAATATACTTCTCAAGACATCAATCTTTCCTCTCCCTAATACTACACAGACGAATACCACACTATATGAAACCACATCCATGCACTTGTAATCTTACAACACCCAAACTCGACACATACTGTGTTCAAAACTGGATGAGCTACATAGATGAGCTATGTGATATATTTGCAGATTCACTTGTATCAACATATCATTCAAACTGATTACCAAATAGCATACCTATCTAGATACTATCCAAACCATCTCAAATCTCCCATCCCTCCTATAAACAGCATCACATCTCACATCCCACACCCAACATCCCACACAACATCCCCCTCACACAACCCCTCATTCGTGAATTCTCAAACAACAACATGCATACTCATATGTTCCACCGCATCCTTAATACTCCTCATCCATCTCTGATTAATACAATACGGGCACCTTATTGGTTGTTCCCCAACTTGCATCAGCGAATTTTCATTCTGTTCCGGGATGGCCGGCGCTACAATTCGTTGTGCGGTATGCAGTGTGAATGGTTGTTGAGGACTTCCACTACTACCCGCTCGATTGGTATTCAGAGGTATGGGAGTTTCGACTCTATTTGCGTTTTGATTGGTAGGCCCTCCGTTATTCATGGGTGTGTTCACCTTGTTATTCGTTCCATTTCCATTTCCATTTCCATGATTATTCATATCGGAAAAGAGAACTTGGTTTTGCGGCATGTTATTGTTTCCTTGCATAGCATTGCCATTATTTTCACTGCCACCCCCACCCCCACTCCCAGACCCATTTCCAGAAATTGTACCATCACTCCCTAATCCATCACCCTGTCCTCCACTACTTTCATCTCTACTACCTGCTTTCTTCAAAATTTCCGTCTTTGCTCTTCTACATTGCTGTAAATGTACTTCGGCTCCAAATTCCCTCATCATACGATCTCGAATTTCCACTGGTGCCGTGTCTTTCGTAATCGTCATCAATTTTGGTAAAATTCCCATAAGAAATGGTAACCGACTAGCGCTATTCCTCTGAACTTTCGGTAGAACAGGTAAAACTTGTCCTGAAATTGCCATTCCATTACTTGCTCCATTACGTTGTTCAATAACTCTCGCTCCGGGCATAATATGTCCATTTTCTCCTTCTCCAGCTCTAACCACCATACCAGGTGGTATCCCCATCCCAACTCCTCCCACCCCCCCATTTCCATTCTGTCCCATCCCCACCGACATCCCCCCAACATTCCCATCCCATCCCCCATTAACTTGTCCCCTCCCTACCCCCCCCGCACCTGGATGTCCAACACTGACCAAATCATCCAAACAAGTATGTCTCTCCCTCAACACCGTAACCCTAGCCAACGGTTCTCTCCCTCCCCTCCTCTCCCAATTACACCTCACCACAAAAGGACAACCTGGATCCCTCTTACATCCCACCCTCACTCTCCCAGTATCACTTTTCAAAATCCTCGGTTCGAAATGTGCTTCAATCGCCCAAGCATGTAGCGCTTCTTTAAAAGCTTTCAAAGAAGGAAATTCCTGTCGAAGTTGTAAAGGTGGCATTTGTGATGTAAAGACAATGCTTCCGATCTTGCGCCGAATCTTATACAAAGCTCGAACCCCAAATTCAACTCAAACCACAATCCTCAAAATTCCAATCTCAATCACGTATTCCCACTAATTCTCTATCCTACAATCACCTCAATCAAAACCACAAATCGATTGAAATGCCTCTTGCGTTATCCCCAAACGCAAAATATCACTCTATAGTAGCTAGCTAGCTACCCAGTCCAGTACCCTCAATCGCAAACCCCTCTCCTCAGCTTAATAATCCAGCAACCCAAACAAATCCCCACGATTTCAGAAATGCTTATTATGGCCAGCCAAAATTCCAAAGTCCAAATAAATCTAGCGTCCACAGGGCGATCTTTAGCGTTACCGTTGTCGTTGCCTCACTACGCGCCGTGGCGATCAAGTCCAATTTCGAGTCCAAGTCCGACTTCAGGTTCAAGCTCAAGCGGACCCAAGTACAAATAAATCGACCCCTCGCATCAATCAATCAATCAATCAATCAATCAATCCACACAAATCTCCCCAAGCAACTATTACAAAAGCACAGTACCAATTACCCCCCTTCAAAAAAACAATCCAAACAATTGTCCACGAATCGCATTCAATAGCAAATGATACTTCGTCGCAACCGTTTCATTCGTCTCATTCGTCTCATTCATTCGTTTCGTTTGATCAATAAGAAAAAGAAGCTCGCTCGGTGGAGAAAAAGTTAAATAATTCGGGGTAGTGAAGATGAGAGAAAGAGGGGTGTTTGAGGTTGGAGGATACTGGACCTGCTCGGAAGAAAGATAAAGTGGCACGATCATTTCATTCTTCTTAGGTAAGAATTTCGCAGGGGTTATGTTAGTTTATGCATCCTGGTATGTATGTCATTTGAGAAGTTATCAGCTGCCTTGTGAAGATGGAAAAGCCGAGAGAGCTCACCGGAAGATGTGTGAATAAGCTCACCAAGAGTTAGGAGCATTTATCAAGCTCACCGGGTGGTCATGCCAATAACCTAGGGGGACTATTTACTTGATTTCAATATCAAGATCAACATCAATATCAACATCAATACAATACACCCTCAAAACTCCACAAACTTTTCAGTCCATTCAATTGAATATTTAAATGCTCGCTGCTTAGGTATTCATTCACACACTAAATAAGAACTTAGTCGTCCCTATCATCATCTCTTTAATTTTCTCCCTCTCCTCCTCCTCTCCCTCATTCCCAATTCCATCTCCATCTCCCGTAACTTAAAAAGCAATTGGTAACTAATTTCCTCCAACAAATGAAATTTCCATGGTATGTCCGTCATGCAGCCCAAAATGTTCAAAAGAAAAAAACAACAAGGGGTGATAAAGAAGAAGCGCCATAATGATAACGCCCAGTGCCTCCCTAATATTCTTATCCCCGATAGAATCTTGACGAAAAGGTAAGAAGAATGGTATTGTTTAAAAAAAAAATTGTGTTGATCTGCATCAAAATGAGTGGTTTTGGCTGCCAAAAAGTGTACCAGCAACTATTACCAACCCCTACAGAAGAGTTGTCTGTACATCTGAAGCAGATCAAGAAAGTGTAAGTGCAAAAAAAGTAGCGATAGAACATTTCGTTCATAGAATCGACGAGAGTTGTTTGTTCTCCATTGCCCGTGCAGTAGCAGATACATGTAGATGTAAAAGTTGTGATCAATGATACTATTGATATTCGACGTAAATAATAAGCTTATCGTTCCGTTGTAGAGCAATGTCCAAATCATTGTCGCTCATTAAGTTGGGCTTTTCTCCGCTGGGCTCGTCCTTGTAGTAAAGTGCAATTTCATCCCCTTGTGGAATCTTCAAGCGATCACTGATTTTCTCATAAAGCTGTTGGAACTGAATGTCGGTAGGTACTCGAATGGCAATCAAGTCATCACCGAAATAGATCTTGACCTTCATAGCAGATGGAGATGGTAGTTGCCCATTGGCATTATTGGCTGGAGATAATAATGAGTTGCTGGATGGTTGAGAGAGAGATGAGGTCTGACGTGTTGGACCTTGACCATTATTGACTGATAACGATGATTGTCCTCTTTGATGACCTGGAGCAGCTGTTAAGCCCGTAGGTGCCCCGCTCGAATAATTTTCACCGTTCAAATCGCCCCTTGAAGATTGCCTAGATGCTGCTTGTGTTCTTGAATCGTTTGATGACTGTTGTGAACCACCCGATAGACGGTATTCTTCTTCAACTGCGTTTGGATCCATCTCATAATCTCCTTCTCGAGGCGCGAAGAACTGCTTAACAAGAGTGCATCTTGAGATATATGGTGGTTGGGTCAAAAGGCTCTTGACATAGGCATCAAGATTATGTTGTCTTCCTTCGGTAATCGCGTCTGTAACATAGTTGACAGGTCCTGGCATGTACGGCAAGCTTCTTTTCTGCGTACCAGTGTTTCCTGCCTCCGCCGGGAACTCTGTCAGGAGAGCAATCTGAAAATCGTAAAAGTCTTCGTAGTATCTCGAAAGTTCCCAATGTCTCCCATCTTCCAGACCAGCCTCGATCACGAACCAGTATTTATCTTCAGCGAAACAGTATCGTGGTATCCGCGCTGATATTGGAGCGTACAATTGGGACGTAGATTTGGATGGCACAGAATATGGGTTTTGCGGAACCTGTTGGGCGGGTTGAGATGCTCTTGCTTGTTGTGATTGTCGTTGGTCCTGATCTTGTGTTAGTTTTGAATCTCCATCTGCGCGTTTCAGTCCATACATAGCTTTGACCATTCTGCTGACTCTGCCTTGAGTTCTGTTGTTGCAGACTCATTCTTTCCATGCTCTGCTGCATTTGTTGTTGCTGTTGTTGTGAAGAGCCATTGGGAACTTCGAATTTGCCCAAGGTAATGCTACTATTCTTATAATCGGCGGCCATTCGCTTCCATTCTTCGACTTTGGGCACACCCGCTCTCTGAACTGCCTCTTGCGCGTTCGGCACCGCTTTGCCAGTGCCCATATCGCGTATCTCGATGAAATCAACTGGTATTAGTCCTGGGCCCCCAAGTCGCCCAATGGGTTTCGCGACAAACCATTCCGGATTCGATTGAGCAATCACGATGATTGCTTCTCCAGCCTTGGCTTCCAATTCATCGGGCCTTTCCGCCGCAAAATCGTACATAACCACTCCGTAAACCATCGCGCCGGTGCCTTTCATTGTCTTTGAAAATCTCTGACCTCCACCGCTATCTGGTGGACTCGCCAGTGTCCCTGAACCGGACATGTCGGAATAACCCGAATCATGATCCACCTTCATACCCATAGGCGACTTATCTGATAGAGATTGACCACTATCTCGCTCAGTCTTTCCTAACGCTTGAAAGTATGCAACAGGTACCAAACCCCTCGCATCTGGCACTGCAGGATTACACGCTTCATACCAATCCGTATCGTTTTCTCGTCCTATAACATGAAAGAAGTCGCCCCTCGTAAAACCCAATTCTTGATTTGATGATGGCTCATAATCGTACAATGCGCGAATAACCTATAATAATTGCAGATCGTTAGGAAAATGCGAAATCGATGCAGTTGCGACTCATGCACACGAAATTCGGCATACCTTTTTTGGAGGGACAATCGCGACGGCAGATTTGGGCGTTAGAGAAATATGTTGAGCTTTTGAATCGGGCTTTTCGCCTTTAATCGACCTACGAAGAGCCTGATAGACAATCATAATGTTAGCGATGACTCCTCCCAACGTGGATTTTTACAATCCACCGATCAAGTCAGAAACTGGTTGGGTGGTTACTGACCTTCATTATTCAGATGGCTTTATCGTTATGTCGTACTCCTCGAGAATGCAAGCCAGGTAGGTAGGTGGGTAGGTGGGTAGGTAAATGATTGAATGAATGAATGAATGAATGAGTGAACAATAGAAGAAAGAGAAAGTAAGAAAAGCTTTCGAATTTTGGAATTGTTGATATCGAGGGTAGTAGTTATGATTGTCGACAAGAATTGGTGTAAATAATATTATGGCTAGGGATCGATTGCTCTTGCTTCTTCTTCAACTGCTTCTTCTTCTTCTTCTTCTTCTTCAACTGCTTCTGCTTCCTCTGCTGGATTCTTGAATAACTTTTCCGGCACTTTCCCTTTTCCTTTTCCTTTTCTCAATGCAACCCTTCCAACGTTCTTTATGGCGGCGATAAAACCCCAAGCGCTACTCCGAGTCCACTACTGTACACTACGAAATAGCTAGCCTCGAGCTAGCATGCAAGAAGGGGGGACTGATAAGGTGGGGTGATTAAGCAGATGTGAATCCTGCAAAGGAAAAAAAGACGATGGAGTGATGATGGGTTATGGTTATGTTATATGTAGGTAGTATGATATGGGATCGAGAGATAGATGGGGTGATGGGAAGAAGAAAGATCCTATATATTGCGCGCGTCGTATTTGATTTGAAAAAAGTTTGTGAGAAGTGTGTCTGAACAGAATGGGATGAAGGCTGGCTGGCCGGCTTTCTTGCTTGCTCGCCTGCTTGCTTGCTTGCGTGCAATAAAAGAGGGAGGGGTGGTATAAAAGAGGAATAAGCTAGTTGCAAAACGAGGTATATTTCTTCTTTTTTTGAGGAAATGATTTTCTAGCATCCGGTTGAAACGGGTTGATAAAATCTTTGGAAAAGAGAATGGATGAGATTAGTGAAGGATATCAACATCAACGGTCATGTAATCGGTCGTTTCTCACTCTCGAGTAATATTGTAGCTAGGATCGAGTTCAGTATATTTTGCGTATCGAGATTTGATCATGCATTGAGCATCAAAGTATCGATATCGATATTGTCGTAAGTGGCGGACTTTAATTTGGACTAACAAATGGCGCTTTGCTCCTGGAAGCTCAATATTTTACAAGATAGACAGATAATTCGGACAATAATACGAATAGTAAGAATAAGTTGACCTCGTTACTGTTCTACGGCCTTTTCTTTGTTGGATCAAAGAATATCTATGTTTGGGTGAGAGAGGAGAGGAAGAGGGGAGGGGCAAGGGAATACTTCCACAAAAGGATTTGAGGATGCTTGGCTTGCAGTGAGGAAAGGAGTGTGCATGGTAATAATGGATGATAATCCTTTTAATAAGATGGGATTTGTGATGTGTATGTGAGAGGATGTGAGAGGATGTGAGAGGATGTGAGAGGATGGATATATGTATGTATATGGGAGTGTGTATGTATATATACTCTAATAGCTCTCTATCAGATATTGAATCCATTCATACATCGACGACAATACCTAGTATCTTTACTCTACCAAGTTCTCATTTAGTGATTAGTTATCAAGAGATATCAATGTTTTGATAAGTGTCAGACGAGTATGTAATGAACGATATCATTTCATCACCTAGTACCTATCTATCTATCTAGTATTCAAACCTAGTACCCAGAACATCGGAACCAACACAATCTAGAATTCTCTTACCTTTGCCTCTCTCTCTCTTTTGATTTCCTATCTTTCTCTCTCTCTCTCTCTCTCTCTCTCTCTCTCTCTCTCTCTCTCTCTCTCTCTTACCCATCTCCGAGAGCAAAGATCACTCCTCCAACTTACTCCATCCTTCTAGACTTTCTCGTTCCCTTCTGTACATCTTCATTTGGGGATGCTTGAAGGATATCCACAATTACCGTTACTAGAGGTTTGATATACACTCTCCTAAGTCAGGCTAACTGCCACTAGGAACTTTTCTTTAATTTAGATGCCGCTTTTTTGGCTGCGTCGTGTGGGATTCTGGAATGAATGAATGGAATGAAGGTAGACTTTTTACACTTTTTCCTTGGGGAGACTTTTTAGACTTTGGTATTAGTTGAGTGAGTGATTGCATTGGGTTGGAGAATGAGAAGTAGTAGAATAATAAGTAGTGAATAATAAGTAGTAGAATAATAGAATAATAGAATACCAAGTAAAATACTAACGTGATTTATCATCGAGTGGACCATATCATTAAGTGAGCCATCATTTTTACATACAAAATTTGTTTGTGTATAACCATGCACTTTCTTTATTTATTGATAGAATTTTTTAAAAATTAAAATTATAAAATTTAATTATATAAATATTACAAAAATCTCATTATTTATTAGAAATTCAAATTAATATAAGAATTATTATTAGGAATATTTTTTTGTAACAAAAATCGTAACAATTTTCACTTTTTTTAATATAAAATGAAAATATTTATATAAAAACTAGATTTTTAGAAAACTAATCTTTTATTATTATTTAATCTTTTTTTCTTTTTCTAAAATAATGATTAGTTATTAAAATACGAATATTCAAAAAGCCTTAATTTTGGTGTATTTTGAAGTGGCCCACTCGATGATATGGTCTACTCGATGATAAACCACGTTATACAACATATCAAATGAACCCTTTCCAAGGTCTATTTACACATGTCATGAATGATGTCTTTCCATCTGTCTGTCAATAATTACTTTTCCCTCGATTCAATTCAACTAATAAAAGTATAATACTAATAAAGCAGTAACACATACATTACCTGCATACATTACATTACATTACATTCCAAGCCAATAAACCCTTACTGCATTACCTCTACCTACTTACACGCTTTTGTCCATCCATCCATCCATTCTTTCTCATCATAATTAATCAAATTTCTTATCGAAACCTATCTACCTACCTATCGATAACTAAATCTTCTCATCACTCGTCACTCGTCACTCGTCATTCCTTACTCATACCTCGTGCTTTGCGCTTTGCGCTTGCTTTCTCAAGGTTGACACGGACACGGACAATTCAGTTCATTTCGATTCGATTTGGAAGAGTGCGCACTGTGAAGACTCCATTTGGTGTTTATTAATCAATTGATAAATTGCTGTATTCATACTGATAGTGACATAATACATTATACATCATCTACCCTCGCGACCCAGAGAAAAAGCCGAACATCAAACCAGCAAAAATGAAAGGAAATTCAAATATAATCTCTTTTTCAAAATTCAATTAAAATTTCTTTATTATTATAATACTTTTAAACATAAAGATATAGATTTATTCTTTAATAAATTATAAACTATTATACTTTTTTAAAACAAAATCTTTAAATTTCGTTTCGATTGAAGATTTATCTTCTTAATAATCTTACTATTCACGAGAACTATATAGAAAAACTTAACTATATCAGACTAGGATATATTGGAATCTTGAATATATCAGACTTTTTTCCCGTTTTTTCTGAAATTTATATAGAAATATCAGAATTTTGATAAAAACTAGTATATCGAACACTTTTTTTACAAATTCGATATAAATTTTAGTAATGAATTTAACTAAATAAGCTATATTTTGAATAAGTAAACTTGATTAACTATTATTAAATAATTTTTTTTTTAAAATATTAAGGTTTGGAGCTGAAATCAGATATAAATTTTGGTTAGAAAGCTTAAGTTATTATTTTTTATATCGAAAGATTCTTTATATCGAATTTGATTAATTAAAAATCTCAGTTTGATATAATCAAGTTTTTCTATAGTACTCTCGAGTACTATCTATATGTAGAAGAAAAAACAGATCGGAATTGATTACTTTTAAATTCTCTCAATAGTTCAATTTTTTTCTTTAAATTTGGAATAAAATATATATTTCAATTGATGCCAATATAGCTAAGAATTAAGAATTAATTCGAAACTTTCAAATTCAATTATTTTATTTATAATTGATTTATAATTCAATTAATTGAAAGATTCTGATAAAGAACTAGCCGGCGGGGAAAAAGAATTTTTCAGTCTATCGATTCGTAGAAGTTCCTTTTTTCTTTTTGATTATTAGAATAATTATTGAAACCCTACGAATTCGTAGACTTCAATTCTTTTCCCCCGACGACTAGTACTGTGACACTTTGCCTTAGAAGAACTGCGAGAGTAGGATACAATTTATTCTTAGAGATCTACAACTACAGAATTGAAAGTAAAGTGTTTGTAGAGTATAATGTGTTTTATCAGTGAATAGTTTATATCAATAAATAGATCATTTCGAAAATCATTTAAATCAAGCTTCTTAAAATATTAATATTTTAATAATTAATTATTATTTTTTTAAATAAAAGATTATAAAAAATAATTAAAATCTAGATTTTTTATTGATTTAATTTTTATAATATGTTTTATTAATGAGTGATTTATATTAATAAATAGATTATTTTGAAAATCATTTAAATCAAATTTCTTGAAATATTAATATTTTAATAATTAATTATTATTTTTTTAAAAAAAAGATCTTAAAAATTAATTAAAAATTAGATTTTTTATTAATATAATTTTTATAAAATAGTTTTACTATTTTTTTTTAAAAAAAAGAAATTATTATAATTTTCGTTATAAAAAAACTTTTTTTTATAATAACAATTTTATAAATTCGAATTTCCTAAAACTAATTAGATTTTTGAGATTTTTATATATTCAAATATTTTGTATTAAATTTTCAAAAAATTATATTTATAAATAAATAAAGTATACAATTACGTATAAATAAATTTTATATATAAAATAAGTGATCTATTTATTAATATGAATTACTCACTGATAAAACACGTTATCTATATATTAGCTATATATATGTAATCGTGCACGTGTATAAGTGCGCATGTGAGCGATCGCAACTATAATTAAGTTCGATCCATAACAATTCTCATACAAATTGAAAAATCGATATTTTGAAGCTTTAAATCTCAATCCAGGAAAATCCTAAAAATCTAAAAATTCTGATATAAGCCTAGAATGGTTTGAATTATATGTATATAAATTTTTACTAAATTATATTCAATATTGATAGAGATATTAATAGGTCGAAAAAGTAATTTTTGATGTAAAAGGGTAGCTCAAAACAGGGGTGGCTCGAAAGTAGAGTAGTCGACTTATTAATGAAATGATTAATTGATATTTGATTCGAGGTGTTCAGCTCAGGTATTGTGAACTTTATAATAGATAGAATTAATAGTTATAGTATTTATTATTAAATATATACTGTATAGAATGTAGAATATAGAATATACTAAAGTAGATAATAAACATTACTTGTTTATAATAATGTGTTTTATCAGTGAGTGATTTATATCAATGAATAAATCATTTATTTTATATACAAAATTTGTCTATATATAATTGTATATTTTCTTTATTTATAAATATAATTTTTTGAAAATTTAATACAAAATATTTGAATATATAAAAATCTCAAAAATCTAATTAATTTTAAGAAATTCGAATTTATAAAATTATTATTATAAAAAAAAGTTTTTTTGTAACAAAAATTGTAACAATTTCCTTTTTTTTTTAGAAAATAATAAAATTATTTTATAAAAATTATATTAATAGAAAATCTAGATTTTAATTAATTTTTAAAATCTTTTTTTTCAAAAAAATAATGATTAGTTATTAAAATATTAATATTTTAAGAAATTTGATTTAAATAATTTTCGAAATA